TTTCATTGCCTTTTGCATGCTGCGTCGTTATTTTTACTTTCTTGTGCTAAGTTTTCATACTGTACGGTTTGGTTTTGCAACTGTAAAAGTTTTTCTGCCTTTACATTTGCTTCAACTTCTTTTTTATACTCATCGCTATCCATATATGTCTTCATGGCTTTTTGTTTTATCTCTTCATCTTTCAGTACTTTATATTGAGTAGTATGGTTTTTCAAATTTAAAACATCTTGTTCCATTTTTGCTACTTCTGCTGCTTTTTCTGACACTTTTTTCGCATATTCCTCTGTACTTAGTTCTTTCAGTTGTTCTTCTTTCTTCTTTTTCTCTACGTTTAACTCATTGAGTTTCTTTGTGTGTCTGTCATATTCTAGTTTCTTTTCGTTTTCACTTATTTGTTTCTGTATGTCTATGTTTGACTTTTTGACATCTGTTATTTGATTTTTGAGTGAACTCAAATTCATTTGACTTTGAGGGTTATAAGCTGTTCCGTCTGCAGCTCCACCATAGCCTGCCATTTTCGCTAAAAGTGCCGCTCTTAAACCTCCACTCTGTGCACCAATAACTCGGTTTAAAAGCATATGGTTGCTTGACATTTGTTGCAACATAGTGGGGTCATTCATAATTTGTTGTTGCAACTGTTGTTGTGGTGTCAGTTTTACTATTGGATGTTTCAATGCTCTCTTCCTCTTACGTATATTCTTACGTAGCTTACGTGGCATTTTAAGTGAAGTTAAAAAGCGGTTTTTGACAGTTGTTTATATCCCACTTCAGGGTTTGTATAAAACTCTTTCCATCTCATATTTGCATACCATGGTGGCAAACCTAACGCAGCGTCATTTGACATGGCAGTTTGCATTTGTACATCTGTTGGCACTTGACCATAGTTTGCCATTGCAGTTTGTATTCTAACTTCATTTGGAATATTCTCTGGGTTTGGTTGTCCAGGTTGCTGTGCATTCGCTAAGTTCTGTGCGTCCATTTAATATTAGATAAAAATATCTCTTACGAGTACATATGCTGAACATTTGCAGGCATTGGTTCATCTTCATATTCTCTGTACTTTTCTGCCACGTCAAAGAAATAAATGACACAATGGAAAAAACCTAAAACAAGTAGTCCGATTTCAAACCACATTTACTTACTAATAAAATTTCTTTGTTATGACACTTTCTCCAGTTTATAGGACCTCTCTCATATTCTATCTTGTCATATATAAACTCATAGTCATGTATGTCCTCTAACCATTTCATGACACTTTCCAAACCACTTTTATCGGATGTAAAGTAAAAGCATGGATGGTTATGTAAAACGTCTAAAGTTTCTAAAGAGTCTCTCAAAGTCCAGTCTACTTGGTATTGAAAATCCCATGTGTTATAGAACGGCGGGTCCACTATAAAGAAAACATTTTCCTTGTCTTTATATTTTTCATACAACTCTGTCCAATGACATCTCACAAACTCTATACCCTCAATATATTTTTCTATGTCCTCTTTGAAAACATTTGTATAGTTAAGATATAAAACTTTTGACATAAGTGTTTCAATGTCATGAACTCTTATAGAACCACTATATAATAGTCTAGCAGATATACTATCCCAGTCTATATATTCTGCTTTTTTCAAAACCTCTCTCACAATATTTTTCTTATCTAATGGTATACGTTCCATCTTACCTATAGGTATCTTTTCTTTTAACTCTTTCAATATATTGTTTGTGTCTGGTATATGTTTGAGACGGTCCATATAGTTGTCGAAGTCATTGCATATAATCTTTGAGTCTGGGAATATTATATGGCACAAATGGGATATATAGAAACTTCCACCGAACAAATCTACAAATGTTAGACCATTCGGTAGTTTCTTAAGTTCTCTCAATATAATATCTTTACATTTACCCTTATTTCCAAAGAACGGTAACGGTGGTTTTGTAAAATTCATTTATATATAATAATAAAAATGTTTTTCCCTGAAAAGTGACAGAAAAGTGACAAAACATTTACGAAGAAGTCTTGACAAATTCAAGAGGTGAGAAAACAGGTGAAAAAACAGGTGAGATCTCACCTCTTCACCTAAACATTATTTTTGGGTCCTTTACACTCATTACGAAGAAGTCTTGACAAAACATTTACGTTCATGTTTGACAAAACATTTACGAAGAAGTCTTGACAAATTCAAGAGGTGAGAAAACAGGTGAAAAAACAGGTGAGATCTCACCTCTTCACCTAAACATTATTTTTGGGTCCTTTACACTCATTACGAAGAAGTCTTGACAAAACATTTACGTTCATGTTTGACAAAACATTTACGAAGAAGTCTTGACAAAACATTTACGAAGAAGTCTTGACAAAACATGTACGTTCATGTTTGACAAAACATTTACGAAGAAGTCTTGACAAAACATTTACGAAGAAGTCTTGACAAAACATGTACGTTCATGTTTGACAAAACATTTACGAAGAAGTCTTGACAAAACATTTACGAAGAAGTCTTGACAAAACATTTACGAAGAAGTCTTGACAAAACATTTACGAAGAAGTCTTGACAAAACATGTACGTTCATGTTTGACAAAACATGAAAACATATATAATTTGTGAAAAGCGACACATTATATATAATGTTTTCGACCCAGAAGACTAACAATTTTCCGAATAAAAACTTCATTTATAATAAAACATCTTCAGGGCTAGAAGGCACGAAGTGCCTGGAAGCCCCACTACCCTTTTTTTTTTTTTTTTTTTTCTTTCTTTTTTTTTTTTTTTTTTTTCATTTAAATTATAACAATTATAACAAACATTTATTTTTAGGTTATCATGCTCTCAAAACACAATCTTATTTAGTTGTTGGACTTGCTTGCGTTTGTGATTACATGGCAGATGGTTCTCTCCTAGATTATCTAGTGAACAATGGAGAAGGCGAACAAATTTGGTGCCAAACATTACAAGTTCTGACATTCTTCCCTTGCGAAAGTAATAAGATGAATATTTTATTCAAGAAGATCCTAAACAAGAGGAGTTTAACATATAATGATAGATATCTTGTTTATGCAGTCACGAAAGTTAAAACCCAAAGATTAGTTTCAAATTCTAAAGATACTTTGGATGCTTTCAACAAACTTAAGATGCTTAATGAACAGAGTAAAGCAACAATGAAATCATTCTGGGATAAAGCTTCTTGCCAAAGCGGATTCTTAACAAAGTTTAAGGGTGCGCCCGGGAGGATCATGTAAACTTCAGAATTTAGAACCTTAATTTTTAAGCAATAACTTGGTACCTAAATAGGTAGGAAAACTCTAAAAATATCAAAAAATACAACTTGGCTCCATAATAATCCTGTCATGGTGGCTGTTTGTATCCCCTAGTATTTTCCTCTTGAATCTCTTTTTCTGTCGAAATTAAATTCAAATCTCAGAAGTAGAAGTGAATAATCGACTTATTACTGCTATTATACGAATAAATAAATTCATTATATTATTTTTATTTACATAATATCTGTTTGAAGTCCATAATTCTATAAATTTTTCTTCAAAAACATTACAATCTTGATAGTTTTGATACTGTTTAATAGGTTTTTGGCACCTTATTTAGTATTTACTACGTATAGAGTCGATCTGAACTTAATTTTCGGAAATTTAAAATATTTATTATAAGTAAAATCTGATTTGAAATTTATGTTTAACTACTCATATCTTGCATTATCCTGAGTAGCTTTTGTAAAAATTCATCAAAAAAGATTTTAACGTGCTTTAATTTTTATTTTTTAAAATAATGCATATTATTATATAACTAGCATATTTACAAATTTTAGTGCTTTCAAAAATTTAATCCTCCTCCTCTCAAATAAACGTACATCCGGGTGGCCTGTTTTTTGCAAAAAATAAAATTTCATTTTTTATGCTTAAAAAGTCAGAATTTTTATTTGCTTCTGGGATATATGATGGCTATATCAGATGCCCATTCTTTTTGATACTCAACATTAAACATAAAACTTAGCCGTTAAGGCTCTTCTGAAAATATTTTTTTTCCGAAAAATTTTCGAAAAAAACCAAAAAATTTAAAAATCCCCGAATCTGCAGGGATTTTAAAAAATTCTTTTTAGTAAAACTTAAGGATATTGTATCAGATATATTGGTATGGGCAAATTCAATTTTAATCCAATATTCATCGAGATATTAAGTTAACGAAGCTTTCAAAATTGAGAGGGTAATCCTCCTCCTCCTCTCAAATAAACGTACATGCGGGTGCACCCTTAATGGTATTATTGAAAAAACAAAGAGAACATTTGATTTCACATTAACAAACAATCCAAACAAATTGAGAATCATCAATGAATATGTTGACTTTTTGATTGAAGTATGTGGTGATTTTGATCGTGCAATCATTCAAAATGTTAAAGGAGAAATGATTCAGGATGGAAAGAATTTCTACATGGATCAATCTTACAGATCATTGATTGGATATTTCCCTAAGTACATTAAAAACCAACTGTTTGATAAAAAAGGAAGAAGAATCAAAAAGATTACTGACGAACAAAAAACTACAAGTTCCCATGGTTCATCAGATTCAGTAAACTTCTCCGAAATTGAGATGGAGGAATTTGTTGAATCTAATATCATCAAAGGATCAAGAGTCAGATTAGCTTTCTACAGATCAATCAAAGATCAGAGACCAAGCCATGCAACGTTGATATTAGACTTTGCAATGATATGTTTCTTCGTGATAATTGCCGCCTTCGTTGGTTTCTATGTTTGTGCAAAATTAACTTTATCTTGGAGAAGAGACGGAACTGTAGATATTGGAAATATGGCAAAATGAGCTTTTTATTCTCATTTTTCATTGTTCTTTGGCTTATTGAAATGGAGTGTCTTAACAAATAGATTCAACAATGATTGGTCAGCATTAGGTGATTTGACATCAGATCAAAAATATGTCATAGAAATTATTCCAAAGAATTATAATTACATTCAGAAGATGTATTTTTCATTGAATCAAATTAGAATACTAATGAATGGTATTTTGAATTCTTTAGCATTGATAGGACAAGGAGATAATGCATATGAAGCAGGTCCAGAAATAATCACAGAAGTTTCAAAGATAAACGTTTGTTCCAATGGAAGAAAAGTCAATGAATTTAATGCTTCTCTTTTAGATCTTCTTGTATTCTTAGCTTTTGATTATAACTGGATTGCTGGAGACTTGAATCTTGGAATGTATAAGCAAAATATTTTCAAGGATGATTTCTTTTGCCAAGCAACATTAAATGTAAATTCTGTGACTGTTCATTCATTTCAATCATTGAAATCTTTGCTCTATTATGGATTAGAACATTCACAGAACTACTCAAAGCTCTTCTTAATTTGGTTGATAGCAGGTGCAATTTGCATTTCATTGGCGGCGACAGTTCCGGTTTTTCTTGTTATTTTAAGTTATAAGAATATGGTAAACAAAGCAATGAAAATGCTGCTGAACTTGAACGCATCGATCAAAGAACAAGCTAAAATCCAACTTCGAATTGATAATTTGAATAATAATGATACACTTACTGCTCAAATTGACAGAAGTCATGATGCATCCCCATCAGTAGTTCCTTTAATTAATTTCATCATTGTTGTTGGAATTGTAGTTATGTATGCATTCGAATGCAATACTGCAATAAAGTTGAATGATTCAACAAGTTTATTCACCAAATGGTTCTATCTTTCAGCTCAAAGAATGGTAACTATCAATGAAATTGCCTCAAATTGTGTTCAACTCGTTTTATTAGGTGATAGAAATCTTGAACAGAATGTTGTAGATCAAGAGGAAATGGAAGAAAGAACAGAAGAATATATCCATGTCTTACAACTCCTAACAAGTATTTTAGTTAATGGAAATGAAACTCTAAAAGCATCTCTTGGATATGACAGTACTTTAGACGCCTATCAAATATCAGATACATGTGATTTAGGCTACAATCCTAGAACAGTTCATGATATGTATGCATGCACATCATTAAGCAAGCAGTTGGTAATGTTTGAATCAATTATTGATAATATCCTAAAGAATCATCAAAATTATGGTGGTTCTTTGAATCAAGAATATCCACTTAATTTGCTACACATTTTAGAGTTTCACATCTTTCCAAATATCCTAAGAGTTTCTGATAGAATTGCCGAATTAGTTGAGAATTATTTCGATCAAAACATGCTCATTATGTTGATTTTGACAATCCTTGGATGTGCATTGGCATTTGTAAACTTTTTGTTATCACTTTCATACAGAAATCAAATGATTACAACTTACAGATTGCTATTAGTTCTATTCCAGAGATTACCACCTGAAGTTATTATCAATAACAAAGAAATTCTTGACTTCTTCACAAGAAAGAAGAAAAATGATGACGAAGACAAAATGTCAGTCGCAAAATCAATTGTTTACAAAGCAAAAGAATGCATTGTTATCACAAACGAGAATGCAATTGTTGAAATTGTTAATCAAAGTTACACAGATAATACAGGAATCCAACCAGATCAGATGCTTGGCCAAGATATTTTGAATTTCATTGCAATGGAAGACAATGATAAAATAAATCAACAGATTCAATTAATGTTGAGTGGACAAGGATCATTATTCTGGCAAGATCACATTAAACTCATTAACGATAATAACAAAGCAATTCCATTCATTGTTCAAATGATCGGAATGAAAGATAAGGAAAATTCAACAAAGGTCGAATCAATTGTTTTCATTCTTACAAACGAAGAAGAAGAAATTAAGAAATGAAAAGATGCAGAAATAGCTAAGGCAAAATCTGAAAAATTGCTCTATCAAATCCTTCCAAAAGATATTGTCGTAAGATTGAATAGAGGTGAAACAGATATTTCATTTATAATTCCAAGATGTTCGATTTTCTTCATTGATATAGTCAAGTTCTCTCAATATTCCAGCCTTTTAACACCTTCTGATATTATGTCAAATCTTTCTACTGTGTTTGCAACATTTGATAAAATAATGGCGGAATATCCTTCAATTACAAAATTCAAGTTAATTGGAGATGTTTACATGGCTGCAGCAGGTTTATTCCAAGACCCAGAGGATACATCAAACAAGCATGCTGAAGATGCAGTGAAAGTCTGCATTGCTGTTCAAAGATCTCTAGAAGATATAAACACAAGATTGAATTCATCTCTCGAAGTCAGAATCGGTATAAACAGTGGTGGACCTCTTATTGGTGGTGTATTGGGCACAGACAAACCAACATTTGATATAATTGGTGATCCAATCAATATAGCTGCAAGGTTGCAGTCAACTGATATCCCAGGAAGAATCCATATTTCCGAGAAGACAAAAGAACTTATTCAAGAATTAGATTTTGAAATAGAAACTAGAGGCCCTGTTTTCCTCAAAGGAAAAGGGCAGATGATGACTTATTTTGTCTGGGATAAGCAACATAGTACATCAATCGAGATGATCTATTCAAAGGATTCATTTGATGCATAAATATCCAAAGATGGATACTGTAATTATAATTATAAATTTCTTATATTGAATATTAATACTACTATTTTAATTTGAATGCCCATAAGAGTTATTTTTGATTTTAGTCGTATTTTGCTTGATTTGGTAATATTTTGATTTGAATTTCTACAATTTCGGTTCAAATGAATTGCTACAGTAGTTATTTCTTATTGGTATCAAAATATATATGCTTTAAAGCATTATTTTGGTGAAATTATCAATTAATACAGGATAAAATTGCAGTTAAAAAATCGAAACCTCAGTATCTTCAATATTTTGTTTATTTTATATAGTTTTATAATAAACAGATGGTTCATTAACCGAAATCTAATTTCTCGAATTTCGAATGAATTCAAAAGAAAAAATACAGTCTTTCACTATCATAGTTATTCACATAGCTTCAAATAACATTGGGATTTCATTTTAAGCTATGTAATTATCATAAAATCAACCATATTTACTCAAATTCATTATCTTTAAGGTTGAAATGAGATTGGAATCAAAATGACATTTTAGTGTTTATATTTGTAACACAATGATATTGAACGGCTATGCAAAACAAGATTTCACAAATAATTTAAACCTATTCGTACATTTCGCTGACCATTTCGTTTGGTATAAACCAAAAATAAATATACATCTTCCGGGCACATTCAGAATGGGTTAAGGGAGGCTTACGACCAGATAAGGTTCTCAATTTTTTGTGAAGTTTACAAGAAAAGTGAGATTCGTTAAGCGTTTTTCTCGTTGAATATTCAGTTTTCCCGAATTTTAGTTATTCATAAAGCACCTCTATATTATCCCCTATCTACCGATATGATTATTTTTCAAAAAGCTAGCACATTAATGTATAGATCCAAGGTGATGTGATTTTTGCATCCCTGGGATGGACGATACACCCAAAGTGTCACCTTTTTGGGATAACATGAATTTTAAATATCATGAGAGTTCTGCAAACCATATGCACAATATCTATTCAGCCTGACTTCTTGTATATATGAGTTAGACTTCTTAAATATTGTGCTTGGGGCGATATAAGCATTTCCGAGATTACCATCGTGCTCTATAGTATGCTACTTCTCCCTGGTTCTAGCTCAGTTCCAAGGATATTGGCGTTCAAGGATTTGGCAAGGTCCTTCCGAAGTCTCTCATTCGATGAGAGATTTCGGAAGAATCTTGCCTTAAAGTACTCCAACTCTTGTTCTTTTGTTCCTAAATAGTGAGAAAAGTTATTTGACTACTTAAGGTAGAGATTATCCGAGGTCCCTCATTTGATGAGAGGCCTCGGATAATCTCTGCCTTAAAATTGTACACTTGTAGTCCATGAGAGTGTAAGTATACATTGATAGGACAGCTTTCTTCTGAAGTCTTAGATTTGATAAGAACCTCAGAAGAAAACTGTCCTATTTTATAGTAAAAGGAGTTTCAGGAGCTCCAAAGCTCCCTTTCGTAAGGATTAGGAGCTTTGGAGCTCCTGGTTCGTAGATGTGTTTCGCATCTTTCATCAGCAAAGGACATTTACCATCTGGGACTCTGTTGATGGAGACTCAGGAGCTCCAAAGCTCCCTTTAGTAAGGATTAGAAGCTTTGAAGCTCCTGGTTCGTAGACGTGTTTCGCATCTTTCATCAGAAGAGGCCCAAATGGTAAATAGCCTCTGCTGATGAGCTTCAGGAGCTCCAAGGCTCCCTCTCGTAACGATTAGGAGCTTTGTAGCTCCTGAAGGTAAGGTAGGATTGCTCTGATCTCTAATCAGTAGATGCCATGCCTCATTATGAACTCTACTGACAAGAGATCAAGAGCTCCAAGGACTCCCTTTTTAGTTAGTGGCGTTCTCACAATTTAGTAGGATTGCTGATCCTACTAATGAAGTGATCACTTAGTATACGTTTTGAATAAATTGAATTTTTTTTAGAATTTAGTATTTTTTATAGACATCACATGTATATTATAAATACATAAATATATTCTTTAATTCAAAAAATTCAATTCGGTTTTGGGATGGGTATCCCAGCCCCAAGTATTCAATTTTATTCAATTTTTAAAGAATTTTGGGTTGGGATGCCCAGACCAAAACAAGCTTTATATTTTGATGTGTAGATACGTATGTGTGCATCATTGTTGTGTTATATATTATGTTTTTAATGAAAAAAAATCTGATTCAAAAAAAATTATCACTAATTAGTTGATAATATAAAGAAAAAATAGATAAATTGTATGTTTTGAGAGTATTTATCCACATTCACTCATATGAATTTCATTAAATAGTGTCTTTTTACTCCCAAATTTATTTTGAATTATTGAAATCAAAGAAAAAAAATCAGAAAAATTTCTCGAAATTTTTATTTTCAAAAAAAATTTGGATTTTATATTGAAAACTGACACTGGGAGGACGATAGGGCTGGGATTGGAGATACCCCGCTCACTTGGGAAAAATACGGATCTATACATTAATGAAAAAAGATTTTTTTCGAAAAAATTTTAAATTTTCTAGGCATTTTCGATAACGTTTTTTTATACAAAAGAACCAAAAAAAATTTTTTGAAGAATGATTTGGATAGAATACTTTGCGAAAATTATTTTTATTATAATTTTGGTCGATAAATACTGGCGGATTCAATTTTGGCAAACCTCCAAGATTTCATTTTTGGACGATTCCGAATGGTGTCCTTTTTGAATTTTAATTGAAAAAATAGATTTACCGATATATGGAGATACTAAAAAACATAGTTTAAAAATTCTATGTCAAATCGTCACCTTTTTCACACTTTTCACAGCAAATTTTTATAAAAATCTAATTGTAAATTAATGGACAATACATTGTACTAATTTACTTTTTCAAAGCTGTATCAATTTTTTGAGAGAAATTTTCAAGTTAGGAATTTGGATGAAAAGTGAAGATATTTCCAAATGTGTTATTATGTAGAGCTATATTTCTCAAATTGAAACATTTTTCTTTTTCATAATTTTAATGTAAAAGAAACACATTTCTACAACTTTTAACAACATATTCTATTGTACAGTCGCCACGCACATAGGTTAAAAATTATAAAGTCTCCTTAAACAAACGTTAAGATTCGCTTATTCAAGATAATCAAAAGCGTTATATTCTCAAAATCAAATGAAAACACGACACATATTATAGCATACTAATGGTATTTAGTTTAATACAGATTTCAATAAAATTTTCTCATCATATTCATCATAATAAAATTAACTTAATCAGTCATGTATGTCTTATGATTCAACATCGCTTATTCATTAGAATACTTTCTGTATGAGTTTTAGTTTTGAAATTATAGTATTGAGTTAATTTGAGATTAGAAGTTTAAATTTTTGAAAGAATTAGGAAGTTTGAGCGGTAGGATATGAACCTTTATACTGTACTGAACATTTTTAGCTTTCATCAATTTTTTTGGTTTTCGGGACCTTGGGACCTTGCGAAGTTGCATTTTTCCTTCAAGGTCCAAAAAGTGACAATTGGTTGTAAGCCTCCCTTAAGGGTGCACCCGCATGTACGTTTATTTGAGAGGAGGAGGAGGATTACCCTCTCAATTTTGAAAGCTTCGTTAACTTAATATCTCGATGAATATTGGATTAAAATTGAATTTGCCCATACCAATATATCTGATACAATATCCTTAAGTTTTACTAAAAAGAATTTTTTAAAATCCCTGCAGATTCGGGGATTTTTAAATTTTTTGGTTTTTTTCGAAAATTTTTCGGAAAAAAAATATTTTCAGAAGAGCCTTAACGGCTAAGTTTTATGTTTAATGTTGAGTATCAAAAAGAATGGGCATCTGATATAGCCATCATATATCCCAGAAGCAAATAAAAATTCTGACTTTTTAAGCATAAAAAATGAAATTTTATTTTTTGCAAAAAACAGGCCACCCGGATGTACGTTTATTTGAGAGGAGGAGGATTAAATTTTTGAAAGCACTAAAATTTGTAAATATGCTAGTTATATAATAATATGCATTATTTTAAAAAATAAAAATTAAAGCACGTTAAAATCTTTTTTGATGAATTTTTACAAAAGCTACTCAGGATAATGCAAGATATGAGTAGTTAAACATAAATTTCAAATCAGATTTTACTTATAATAAATATTTTAAATTTCCGAAAATTAAGTTCAGATCGACTCTATACGTAGTAAATACTAAATAAGGTGCCAAAAACCTATTAAACAGTATCAAAACTATCAAGATTGTAATGTTTTTGAAGAAAAATTTATAGAATTATGGACTTCAAACAGATATTATGTAAATAAAAATAATATAATGAATTTATTTATTCGTATAATAGCAGTAATAAGTCGATTATTCACTTCTACTTCTGAGATTTGAATTTAATTTCGACAGAAAAAGAGATTCAAGAGGAAAATACTAGGGGATACAAACAGCCACCATGACAGGATTATTATGGAGCCAAGTTGTATTTTTTGATATTTTTAGAGTTTTCCTACCTATTTAGGTACCAAGTTATTGCTTAAAAATTAAGGTTCTAAATTCTGAAGTTTACATGATCCTCCCGGGCGCACCCTTAATGGAGAAGATCAATTTATGAGCTCGGAAGATGAAAATTCATTGAAAAGTTGATTCAATCAATTTTTATTATTATCACATAGTATACATTTTTTAAGCGGAGCAATTTTTCTTAAAAATTTTGCTATAACCGCTAAGCTTCCGAATTGATTATTTAATAATGGGCTATAGGCTATCACTTGATGAATTTTTTAACGAAAAGGGAAGCAAAAAATTTATGAACCTAATTTTTGAAAGCATTTTGCAGTTATTTTTAATAAAAGCGTACTGATTAGGAATGAACCCAATACAACTCCTTCCTGCGGTACGGCCTATCATTTCAACTTCTTTATCCAAGAACGGAAAGCAGAGCAAATGCAAATTCACTCGAGAAGATGATCTGAAGCTTATATCGTTAGTAATGAGCCGCCCTGAAAGAGATTGGGTCTGGATTTCTCAACAGATGGCTAACAGAAACCCTCGCCAATGTAGAGAAAGGTGGTATAATTATCTGGATCCTTCATTACAAAAAGGTGGATGGACCCCAGAGGAAGACCAATTGCTTATAGAGAAAAAGAAAGAAATGGGCCCACATTGGAACGCTATTGCAAGATTTTTCGCAGGTAGATCAGGTAACTCGGTTCGAAATCGGTGGCTATTGATTATGCGACACGAAGAAAAGAATAATACTGATGCGCCAGAACCAGTCGAAGTTAAAATCCCGCCGATTATACCTGCTGGGATCGAAATTGAAGCTGAGACGCCGCATCCTCAGGCAAATATAACATTAGATGAAAAGCTCGACTCTATTCTCGTCCCTCGAGAAGATGTCAATATGTTCAGTACATCTGTCGATGACTTTGATTTCTTATTGAATTTTGAACTTCATTAGTAATTTTTTTTTGTTTTTATTCATCTCTAGTTTATTAAAATCCGCTATTTTCTGATAGAGTTGTTAGAGTGTAGATAGACGGCTTCACACTTCTTGTGCGATTATTTAATAAATGTTTCAACACATTTAAATCAATTTCTTGGGTGATCTCACCCATTTTTCACATCTTTTTCCTTTGCAAACAAATGATGCTAGGTTTTGGGTTCAATAAACTCGATTTGCTTTAATTTCATATGTATTGTTTCGGAATTGAGGCATATAGGTTTTACATATACAAATATATATATATTTTAAGTAATTTTTATGATCTGTAACAGTTGGAGCATTGATTTCGAACTTCGATTTCATTTCGAATTTATCGTTTTTATTTTCTTCAAAAACTGGTATAAATAGCTTTGCTTCATGTCGTAAATCCTGATGTAGCAAACCATTAATTAAAAACGAAACTGTAAATTAAAAATAAAATAATAAACATATTTATAATCAAAAATATATTAAGCTTTCATATTAATAATTAATCTAGTAAACAACGATTTCACAGATTGGCAGTTCTGAGTATCGCACAAGTAATTTCTAATTTGATCAGCCAATCCATTAAGAGGAGTGTCGCTAAGCAGTATTTGGAATGAATTATTCCAGAGGTCTGCTGGCCACCTCTTAGGAACAGGGTGTTCTAATCCAGACATTGGTTTTCCATAAGCTATTTCGTATAAAATACTACAAACAAACGTTCTATCTTTCATTACACCATTATCATCTGCAGGTCTAAGTTTGTCAACTTCTGCAAGGCAAAATCCTGTGTTCTGCCAATCTTCTCCATCGTCAAATTGATGTAATTCGACTGAAGGAGCGCGAACAAGGAAAGACTTCGTTGTTAGGTTTCCATGTGAAAGACTCTGCTCATTTAGAGTACTAATAATGCGAACAAGCTGCAAAATGACAAAGAATGCGATTTGATGCTTCGAAAACTTCAATTCTGAAAGTTTTGAAAGGAATAGAGCTAAATCCCCATCATTCAAATAATTTGTGACAAAAATTCCATCATAAATTTTGATAGGCATCAAGAATAATGAGTTAAATGATGGTTCGAAGTCAGCAATAACTGTAAAGTTTGTTGGAAGTGGTTTAACAACAAATGAATTGCCATCTGCATCTTGATAGAGTGAAGAATTAGCTCCCATTGATTTAATTTTAGTTAATCCATAACGTTCAGCACTTGGCTTTTCTATCTTTGTCGTTGGAGTTCCTTTTCTAGGTTGTACTCCAAATGATGAGTCGTCATCGAACCTCATTTGAACATGTTGAGAAACTTCTTCATTTGAAGATGGCAATGGATTTCTCTTCTTCATGATTGAACGTGGCTGTATTGTGTTGTCGAATGGCCTTGGAGCATCGAAGGTTGGCTCATCCTCAACCCTTGGAGACTGTCTGAAAGATGAATTTTCTTTTTTAGGTTTGATCGGCCTTGAGAATGTTTCTGGATCTTCATCATCGATTTCTTGGGTTCTTTTGAGTATAGAAACTTTCTTTTCTGGTGGTGGCAAAGGTTCATCATCAGAATCATCTGGAAATCTGAAAGCTGGCTTACGTGCGCTATCCTGATTCTTTTGTCTCTTTGGAAGTGATAGTATAGATGTGTTTGTAGTATTTATATCTCTGCTTCCAAACCTTGATTTAATTTGTTTTGGCTGATCTTCAGTTGTATCTTCAAATCTACTGAGAATTGAACGACGCTGTTGCAAAAGACCAACACCGCGACTCTCTGTTTTCTTAGAGAATTTGGAAACAATTGGAATTCTTTCTTCCGTTTCATCGTCGTTGCCAATTGTGAATCTAGAAGTAATGGGTTTATGTTCTTCCTCGTCATCATCGAAATTCCTTTTGATTGGTTTACTTTCGAAGAATGATTCTCTTGGTTGAACTTCTGTTGCGCCATCATCATAATCATTATCACTGCGTCTTGTAACAGATGGCTGTGGGCTTGGTTGAAGTGGACTGATTTGCTTTGGAATCGATATCTCATTTTCAGGTTCATCATTAAAGAACATCATTGGAGAAGGCTTATTGAGTGATGATCTAATATCCTTTCTAGAACCAAGAATTGACCTTCCAGGTTCCAACGATGGTGTAATAGTAGAAATTGAGTTTAATTTTGAACCAGGAAGAATTAATGAAGATGTTTGCTTGGCAGGAGTATAATCAACTATCTTAAATATATCAATATCTGGAGGTGCTGGTGATTCATTTTCTTCAAAAGTACACACAATTCCATTTTTGTTGAATTCGTATTTTTTAGCATTTAATGAACCTAAACTGACATATTTCTTTGATGTTAAAAGATTTTTCAGTCTTGTTTTGAAATTTTCGTAGCATTTTTCGAAAAATTCGTTTCTTTCATTTTCAGATTGATAAGTTTCGAATATATGGATTGACGTAATATATTTAGAATTTCTTTCGTAAGCTAGAGCTGCGCTAGCCATCCACAAAGGATGATATAATCCGATACCTTGAGCAAGATATTCCTGAATTAAAGAAATTTGTTCTTTATCGTCAAATTCTGAGATATATGCAAGTAATTCGACAACTACATTCCTGTCATTACCCTTTTCTAATCTTAATGCTTCTGCTGCTAAATGGTTGTGTAATTGAGACCATTCTTCTGTTTTATTTCTTCTATCAGGGAATACCAGAGATACCTCATTAAATATAGGAGTTAGTTCTTCTGATGTAATGAAGTTACGCTGTCTGGTAAAAGCATACATTCAGGAGACCGTTTATTAATTTTTCACACAGAAAATGACATTTTTATTTTCAAGCATCAATTTGGTTAGATATTTTGAACTATAATTGCATGCACATCAACTTTTCTCCATAATCACAGCCTTTTTGGGTTAGATTTTTCTTTGATAATTTTAATTCATAATCTTTCATCGTAATTTGTCTAATAATCAATTCATTTGATCTATTTAATTCTGGCAATTACGAAAATGGCTCTTTAAGTGTCATTATTTTTTATGAACCAATATGCAATTCCTCAGCCTGACTTTCGTAAAGATCCAACAGTTACTGGATCTCATGAAGAATATTGGGTTGTATATCCCAAATCTCAGTGGAATAACCAATGGAACTATAGTTCAAAAGATTTAGAAAAACAGATCTTGGATGCTGTTCAAAAAATTCGCAGAATAGGAGTTAGATATAATATGCCACCACGTCTTATTCATTATACGCAATTATTAATATGGAGATTCTATGCAAAAGAACAAATTGATACACATCCTCTAGGAATTTACATATTACAAGCTTTTGAATGTGCAGCACGGTTTGTAGAATGCGAAATACATAATTACATTCAGAGCATACAAGCAGATCCTGATTTTCCCAAATCAAGTAGTCTTTCAACCAATACACCTGAGTTATTGCTCCATTTTCAATTTGTTACATCATTAGAATATACAGTAAGGATCCATCATCCATCAGAATACATTCCAATGTATCTTAAACCACAACAATACGGATTGGATCCAGATATTGTTAACCTTGCCGAGAAAATAGTTTCAGACTCTTTCTTAACTCCTTGCTGCTTAGTTCATAGACCAGCAGCAATTGCGGAAGGCGCCGTAATCATGGCTGCAACAATTCTCGATAGACAAAACTCAATATGCGTCAGATCTGCCAAAGCTCTCTCTTTTATATCTGATATGAAGTTTTATTACGATCATTCTCAAAAATTGTAATTATATTTTTTAAAAAATGTTTGTATACTACTAACCCATATGAATTTCGCATACTTATCTATTTTTACTTTGAGTGATGAATATACAAATATATTGATTTTAGTAGTAGGGTATGATGGGTTATGTGACTTTTTTTGTAAACGTAAGAATTCATACAATATTGAACGATTTTGTATCATTATTTTTAACATTAATTTTAAACATAATTTATTTTTTATTCTTACATAAATGACCCAACAAGTAAAACCAGATAAAATGAATTATCGAATTTTAGAGGATGGTGTTCCTGTTTATATTCAAAGATTTAAAGGGAAGCAATATTATAGAATTCTTAATCCTGAATACATAAAACATTTATTTAAAAAGGAAGACTGTGAATTATTAAACGTTAATGAATATGAAACCAATAAATCAAAATTGAAATATAAATATATTGGAAGTGATGAAAGATGCAAAGATAAAGATAAAGATTATACAGTTTCATATAATGAATGGAAAACCAATAAGATAAGAAAACATTTAGGAGATTATGGGAAATGTTCTGAATTCTTCAAATCTAGTATATACGAGAGAGGAAAAGAAATTAGAAATAATTATTTTCATGAGTAAAAAATAAACTTTTAAAATTCATGTCTTACATTTATGAAAATTTATTTTTATTTTATAATAAATGAGTATAACAACTAATTCATTGAAATCTTTAAAGTTCACTAATTCAGAATTAGAAAATATTTTAGAAAATTTTGGAGACGGTTCTTATCCAACATATATGCAGAATGTGAAAGAGTTTTCCAGATTGTTGAATGAATTTAAATATAACGGGCCAATTACTAAAAAGGCTATAATGAGATATTTATATCCCAAAAAAGTTGAAAAACAGGAGAATATTCCTCTTTATGGTCCAGAGGACCTGGGCTCAGAGAGCCTTGAAACACCTCCTGAATATTTTGAAGAAAAAATTAAACAAGATGAATATTATAACGATGAGATTGAGAAATTGGAACAATTAAGAAATGAAATAGATGAAAAAATTAAGGAATTGAGAAATGCTGAGAATGAAGTAGAGGGTTTAATGAATATCCCAGCTTCAGAATCAGAAGTTCAAAAATCACATGAGGAAAGATATAAAAATTACTTTTTGGAATCTACTAAAAATTTATTAGATGGTGATATTGACGAAACACTTTCAGAAGAAGGCACAAAATTTATTCATAAACATAAGTTACAATTTATTGACGATGGAGATTATCCATGTATATTACTTTCACCTCCTCTTGATTCTGAAAAATTCAAAAAAGCACTGAAAAATGTAACATATGCAACAAATACGATTAAGAAAGAAGACCATGATATTTACACAAATTATTATTTAAATAAATGTACAGGTGTTGATAAAGTTTTTGATTTGTTAGATAAAATATCAAAAGAAACATTGGAACTATAAAATTTTGTGTGATTGTGGTTTCATTATTGAAGATACCAATAATGTTTCATATGAAAGAACAGCACCGAAGGAAGACGAAGTGAAAGGTCTATACCATTCGTTATTAAGAACATAAAAGATATGAAAACTTATAAACATTATATTTATTCATTTATTTCAGAAAAAATGGAAGCAACCCATAAAACATCATCTCATCATTTTATAGCTATTCATACATTCCTTTTCAAAGTTGTGAAATTAAATAAGACAGGAATTAGATTTAATGTATCAGGGTACGCATTCTTGAGTAAATTAAAATGTATTCGTCACGTCGCAGATGATAAAAATTTATGTGTTCTTAATTCATTTTATGGACTTTAGCCCTGGACTTTAAAAAAAATAAACTTTATTTTTATTTATTTTTTGATATTTTTTTCTTACATAAATGAACAAAAATGGAACAGCTAAAATGAATGATAATCAAATAAGAGCCGAAGGTAGAAGGTTATTTAAACGCTTCTATAACATTCCTGATGGTGTTAATCCTAAAACTCGTAGAAGCTATTTAAATGAAGCAATAGATGCATATGAAGGGTTTGACATTTCATCAGAAAGTGAGAGATTAGCGAGAATGTTAAATGTTAATATTGATTTCTATTATTGTGATCCTCAACCAGAAGACGTGGACATAAATAAGGTAGACTTTCCATTAGTGGATTCAATAATGATAGATCCAGAATTTGAAACAGTAAATATTTTATTAACACAGAGTCCATGTGGAAAACTTCACGCTGATAGAATAACAGACGTTGAAGCACTCACAGGATATAAAGTTTGCCCCTTTTGCAAAGAAGAAGTTTATTCTATCCGTGATGACCCAGAAAGGAAAAAACAAAGAAGATTTTTAAAGCATTGTGAGAAATGTAAAGAAAATAATGGAAGATTAATTCAAGACGTTCAGTTGCAAAAGACACAGCAACCATATGCACCACATATTACGAAACAGAAGATATATCAGTGGTTATTAGCTCATAATTTGCAGGAATATTATCAACCGACAAGATATTATATTACTTTTGACTTCGAAACATTAGAGACTAAAGAAGAACTTCAACTTTCTGAATGTGCAACTTTAAACGCTTACTTAAAACCATTTATGGTATCATCAACGGTTAAATTAAATGATAAAACATATACGAGGAATTTTTGCTTAACTTCGAGTGATTCTTTTATTTCTGATTGGATTGAGTTTTTATTTTCAACCTGTTCATTAGTTGCTAAATCAAATATGAGTCAATACAATGAATTAATGAAGTCGCAAACATTAAATGAAAAACAGAAGGAAGCATTTAAAGAACTTCTAGATGAGGAATTCAATAAAGTGAATATCATAGGTTTTAATTCGGGAAAGTTTGATTTAAATTTAATTCTTCGTGATTTAAATACTGCAAAATGGAAGATAAAATCAATGCTGGGTTCATCTTCACAATTTAAGCAAATCATTGTAAAGAAAACAAACGTTCCATATGAATTGAGATTTATTGACATCAGAAATTATATAGCGGGTGGGACATTAGACCAATTCACTCAAGATTTCGGAAACAATAAATCACGTGTTAAATCCTTTTTCCCTTATCAATTCATCACATGGGAAAATTACGAAGAAGAATTATATAAAGTGGAACCATTCACGAAAGATTCATTTTATTCAGCATTAACTCAAGAAACTATATCAGATAGTGATTATCAAATATATCTCAATGATGCTAAAAATTTTAAGAATAGATTAGAATATTTTATTCATTATTGCAATAAAGATGTTGAAATTATGATTGACCCAATTGATAAAATTATCGAAGAAACATTTGTTTATAAAATTGACATGCTTCATAATCTTTCTTTATCATCGAATGCATCAATGATTCGTTACGCGTTAGCATATAAGAACTTCAATCCTAACGAAACATATCCAGAAGAAGAAAATGTGGAATCAAGTTTTGAATTAACGAAAAAGTATTGGAAATATAAAATTGAAGCATATAAGAAACAAGATGAAAAAGCAGAAAGAGATACTAAAAATAATGTTTCAATGGATGATTTTCAATACTATCACGATTTAATCCTTTCATCTAAATGCAAAATGTGTGGTAAAGCGTTTACATATGCAAATAAACCAACATTGGATAGAATCGATAATGAAAAACCACATACCAAAGAAAATTGTCAGTTAATGTGTTGTTATTGCAATGTCGTAAAATCAAATAAAGATGAAGATGTTCAACGTTTAAGAATCAATTTAAGAAATTATGTATTAAAAAATAATTTACCAATGACTTTAGATTCAGTTGAAGCTTATCACATTCTCCGTAATGGAATTACTGGTGGTCTATCAAATGTTCAACATCGTGTTAATCTTAAAGGAATCACGCACATTAATAAACTTTCATATAATCCAGAAACTAAAACTGTATCAAATGAGGACACCACCAACATTATGACTCATTTCGTTGGAGTTGACTTTAATTCATTATATCCTTCATCATTTTCATCTAATCCTCATGATTTCATTCAATATACTGACCATAAAATGTATATGCCGGGAAGATTGAATGGTGTTATCATTTGTGATACAGCAACAAAGAAAGCAAAAGCACTGGGAATTATTAAGAAGAAAAATACTTTATTCGTGGCTGAAGTAAAGGGTCACATTGATGAAAAATACATTAATGATTACATAAACTTTTTACCGATAATAAGAAACTTAGATATTATCACAGATGAAAAAACAATTGGCGGTTTTATGTATAATTACATGAAATCAAACAATCTACCAGTTGACCAGAAACAGAGAAAATTAACTCAGTTAGCATCAACACACAACCAATATCAACCATTTTCTTCTTATTATCTTTGGTATCTAATAGACAAATTTCATTTTATCATCGATGACATTCAATCAATTTTAACATTTACTAAAAACACTTGTTTTAATGAATTTGCGAACAAATTTATGAACGAAAGACAAAAGGCTGAATTAGAAGGAAATAAAGGAAAAAGTTTATTTTGCAAGATTTCACTTAATGGATCATATGGTTACGATGCAATGAATACACAAAATTACGCAAAGACTAAAATAATGAATGCACAGAAGGCGCGCATTGCATGTATGTCAAATAAGTTTAAAAACATAAGAGAAATAGGAGAGGATACGTATCAAGTGATGCTCAAAGATAGATTTTATAGATGTGATACGTGTTTACAAGAGGCATTCTTCACTTTAGATAATGCTAAATACTGGTATTTAGTTTTCATTTATGATTTTATGTATAAATGCATGGATGTTAATCGTTTTCATTTCATTGAAGGTGATACTGATTCATCTTATTGGGCAATCGCTGGCGATCCAAATCTTCCTAACACTCAAGCATTTCAAGCAATTGTTACCGATAAACAATTTTATGATAAAAACATTTTCAAATTCGCACCTTTTAATTTCTTCTGTTTTGATGAGAAATTTAAGCCTAAATTAAAGAATAAAGCTGAAGAAAAAGCACATGAGAAGAAGTTATTGGGTTTAGCAATTGAGAAACAAGGTGATAACATGGTTGCTTTATGTCCTAAATGTTATACATCATTCAACGGTTCAATTGATGGAAGTGATTTTAAAAAGATTGCACAAAAAATGAAAGGTGTTAGTTTACGACAAAATAAACAATTAACACCTAAAAATTATTTGGATATAATAAATGATAAATTGATATTTGATGGTCAGAATATTAATTTACAACTTAAAAACGGGGTAATGACTCGCTTAACAATTGGTAAGACTGCATTAACAGGAGCACACACTAAGGCTGTATGTTGTGAAAATGGATGTTGTATGCCATTTATTTAATGAAATGCCACAGAAGAGACAAAGAGGTGGGCACCCTTAAAACATTGATTTTATTTTTATATAAATGAATAACATACATTTAAAAAATTTAATTGATGATTTAATATTTAATCAAAATTTTCTTGATTATTATGATTTAAAAGCATATCTCCAAAAATATGATAACAATATAACGGGTGATGATATGGAATATTATTATCCATATTATAAAAATGAAATTTTGAAATATCATAATAAAATAATTTCTGAAATTAAAGACAAAATTAAAAATAATGAATATTCAAAGGGAAAAACTAAATCACAGCTTAAACAGTTGAAAGATTTCAAAAATAAAGTATTAACAGAAGAAGATATTGATGAATTATATAAATTATATAATCCTGAGCCACAAAAACCAAAGGAACAAAAACAAATGGTACAAAACGCCCGGGTCCTTCAGACCATAAATGAAGCACAAGCTTTAATTTATGATTCATTAGTTAAACCATATTCAGCCCGACTTTTAAATGAAGATCAACTTTTGGAATTCATCCTTCAACATAAACTCGAAGCAGGAAAGTATATCAAACCTTTATATACAGCATATTTAAAACAAATGAATAGAATACATCCAGAATTAATGAAGGGGGGAATGAAATCCAAAATCAAAGCAGATAAAATTAAACCACTTACAACACCAAAACCTCCAACAACAGTACCTCCTCCTCCTTCAGTTAATCCTTCATCATTCACTTTATTATATCCATTTCAAACATTAAAGAAGCAAAAAGATTTTAAAAAGGATTTCAAGATATTAAATAAACCAATTGACCCAAAAATTCAACCGTTAAAGGAAAAATTTAGTCGCCCTTTATTTGCACCATATCCATATTCATACGAAATCGATCATCTGGAATATTCAAAAGGAAAAGTTACTTATTTATTTGCCATTAACATTAACACTAGATATTTATATTGCATTCCGGTGAAAGGGAAAACAGAACAGGAAACAAGAAGAGCTATTCAATACTTACTAGATCATGAAAGAGTAGATAATATCAGGGGTGATGGTGATAAAGGATTTCAGGCAACTATGATTCATTATTTCCCACAAATTAATTTTTACTTCTCATCCTCTCCATATACGTTTCATAATAAAATAGTTGATGCGGTAATGAGAACTCTTAGAGATGCGTTAGGGGTTAACGGTCAGATATACTGGGATGGAAATCATGACTCCATCATACAACAGTTAGTATATTATTACAATAATACATGGCATAGAACTATAAACATGAAACCAGTGGAAATGAAAAATGATATTTCAAAAGAATGGGAATATATTAGAAAGCAAATGGAAAAGTTAAATGATGTTAAACGTGAACAAATTAATTCGGGGCTCATGAATTTTAAACAAGGAAATAAAGTTTTAATTCATCTCGATTATGGAAAAACTGATAAATCAATGACAAAAAGAAGACGAAGATTTGACACAATAGCTGAATTTGTTAGATATATTAACGGCAATGCATTAGTTGAAGTTGACAATAAATTAATAGAAATTCCGATTTATTTTATTACTCCATTATATTTAAATAATATTTAATTTTTTTATTTCGTAAGAAATGAGTGACAACAAAGCAGTCAAGAGTCCAGACGATGAATATAAAAAGAAACTAAACAGAATTAAATCAAAAATATGCTATTACAAAAAGAAGCCGCAATGTGGTGGGGTTGAAAACGATAAAGAAATAATCGAAAAATTAGAAACTTACCGTTCAATCATTAAACTGAGTGAAGCAAGAATAAAAGAATTTAATAGAATAAATAAATTGGTTGGAAGAGATGAATTTAATAAAGATGAATTTTTAAACTCTATCCAAATTTAATTTTTATTCCTCTTTGACAACATCTCTCTTTCCATCATTACTGCATAACCACATTTTCTCAATTTTAGTGGTTTGTTATTTTTAACATGTTCTTGCATCATTTTTATCATTTCCTCCCTTGTTATGATTCGTGGTAAATTTTGAGCTTGTGGGGTATTCATTTATGATAAAAATAAAAATTTGTTATCACTTATTTTATCGTTAATGTTTTTAGGTTATTCAATAATTATTTATTTTTGAATAACTGAAGGGGTCACCGGGTCACCAGGTGGTCACCAGGTAATTTAACTTCTATGAAAAAATGTGACAACATGACATTTTGACAACAGTCATGGGTTATTCAATAATTATTTATTTTTGAATAACTGAAGGGGTCACCGGGTCACCAGGTAATTTAACTTCTATGAAAAAATGTGACAACATGACATTTTGACAACAGTCATGGGTTATTCAATAATTATTATTTTTGAAAAACTGAAGGGGTCACCGGTCACCAGGTGGTCACCAGGTAATTTAACTTCTATGAAAAAATGTGACAACATGACATTTTGACAACAGTCATGAAAGGATTAATGCAAAAATAAATTCCAATCATACTTTATAAAGCATCATTTACAGGTATTTCATCGTCAGTAAATGATTCCTCATTATCGTTTGGTTCAATTTGTTTATATAATCCTTTCATTTCTTCTTTCAAAACATAATACCATGTTTGTTTACCATCTATTTTTCTTTGTTTCCTTTCACATTTATCCTTAATGCTCATTTGGAAATTCTTGTCTTTCATGTCTGATGGTTTGCAGAATAGAGCATTTTTACACGTCATACCTGCACATAATTCATCATAATGTGTATTTATCCATTCATCTAAAGGATTTGTTGATAACTCGATTAAATCTTGTTTGGCTTCAGTCATCGGTATGATTCGTACATTAAATGATGAAAGGTCATATTGCATAAAATATGTTAAAAGGTTATCATAAAATTCCTTTGTGCATGAATCCATTAAATTCTTGAAGTAATCAAATTGACCCTTGAATTTACCATTAACCCTTAAAACTACATATCTTCTGTCTCCAACTTCAATTTTGACAGGGTAGACGTTGTTAGTTACGAAAATAAAGTTTGCAACATTCTGAGCTGTTCTTCTGGGTTGATTCTTTTCATTAATTCTAATTTGATTATCCGTAATAATTGATTTCAAAGCGTTGAAGTTTGCGAGTCTATCTTCACCTACATTCTTGAGTTCATTAAGTACAAGAAACATTTTATTTTCAACAACTGAGTTGAAATTACCCGTTAGCTCACTTATTTCAGTAATGTTTTTGCATGAATAACCGGCGAGAAGTTCAGAAATAATGTCTGTAAATCTGTTTTTACCTGTTCCCTGAAGTCCTTTCAAAATAATTGCTGTTTCATTCTTGATTCCAGGATGTTGAATCATTGATGCAATCCAGCCGAGAAGGTATTTATACACTTCATCGTTATTATCACAAATGGCTTCTATAATGAAATCCATAAACATCTCAATTTTTGAGTAATCAGGCTTTTCAAGAATGTTGTATTTATAACCCTGAAACGTTGAGAAAACATCTGGGGAATCAGATTTAAAGCAAACACCCTTAACGGTTAATGAGGATAATTGATTTAGTAGTACATCCCATGCTGTTATGGTTTTACCTTCTTCTTTAAATAATTTAATCATTTTGAGTGACTCTTTCATGTTTGATTGAAGAACGAATGATATTTGATTCATTTTGTCGTGGATATTATAGTCCTTTTGAATGAAATATTTATTTCCACAATCTACAAAACGGATTACACGTGATAAATCCTCAATTACTTCAGAACTGTTTTTATACTGATGATTTTCAGCCTTGCGTCTAATATCTGTTATCAAAAACGAGTCATCAAGTTTGATATCAAATGTTATTTTTGGCTTACGTAATAAAGGTAAAACATATTCATCATAATATTCCTTTTGATAAAGTTTTAGAATCTTCACCAAAACAAATGGCGAAGTCATTAAATGTGCATATCTACTACGTGCTTTTTCAAAATTACTTTTTGCATTTTCAGTTAAGCTGCAGAAGTTATAAACGTTATCGTATGCTTCATTAATTAAATGATTAGGTAACGAATTAATTGCTTGAAACAGTGTGAATAATGTAACTTCTTTTTCTAAATTCATGTTTCCACCGTCATTATGTACTTCAAAATCACAGATGCCATCGACTATGCTCTGGGCAAGTTTATCGTCAATGTTTACATCTTTGTTTTCATTCATTATACTCTTTATTTCTTCATTCTTCTGTTCAACTCTTACCTTAATATTCAAATCATTTAATATATCATTCACTGTTCTGGTTAATGTTGAATCATAACTTCCACGAATGAATGAGTATGTATTGATTGGTTCTGATGCATTCTTGCGAACTCTTGAATCAGCCATAACCACTAATGAACGCTTTGAATCATCAATAGAAGTCATGATATCAATATCGTAATCATTGCAGGAATAACATTTAATCATTCTGTTCGAGGTTGAATAGAAGAAATTAGTGTTGCAATAAATGTGAAGACCTCCTGATGCAGTTTTAACGATAACATCTTTATCCGAAAGTTTTGATAAAATGTCTTTTCTAACTGTTTCTTTAAGTTCATCATTGTATGATTTATTGATATCAACATCTATAATCGTTAAATTTGAAATTTTATTTACTAATAAAGCTGTACCAGTTTTCCTTCCTCTTCCTCCATCATGTTTGAGGTAGTTATGTAAATCAATCTTGTTTTCACCAATTCTTTCGTTGAGGGTTTTAGTTTCTGCCACAACTAATTCCTCAGCTAATGAATCAATAACTTGTTCATCAGAAATGATATAGTTGTTGTTGCTGTTGTTTGTTGCTGTCATTTATATAGGAATAAAAAAATAAAAATAATTTTAAAACTAACTTTATTTTTGGACTGCATCATATTTTCGTAAATGTTGTCTAAATGTCATGTTGTCACATTTTTTCATAGAAGTTAAATGACCTGGTGACCACCTGGTGACCCGGTGACCTCATCAGTTATTCAAAAATAAGTCATAACTGCCTTCCTCATTTCCCACTATGTTGTCAAAATGTCATGTTGTCACATTTTTTCATAGAAGTTAAATTACCTGGTGACCACCTGGTGACCCGGTGACCCCTTCAGTTCTTCAAAAATAAGTCATAACTGCCTTCCTCCTGTGATGTTGTCAAAATGTCATGTTGTCACATTTTTTCATAGAAGTTAAATTACCTGGTGACCACCTGGTGACCCGGTGACCCCTTCAGTTATTCAAAAATAAATAATTATTGAATAACCCGAAACCATTAACGTAAACATATATTTCTGGTCGTTTATGATAAAAATAAATGGTTCATTTACTCACAATATTTTTGTACAGAATGACCCCAAACTTTTAACTTCTTTTCTGCAGCTTCAAATGCTATCTTAGCGAGTTCATATTCTCTAAATTCTCTCTTTAAATCTTCTTGTTCCCATTGGTCTAGTTCGTATGGAGAATCTCTATAACCATAACATATCTCACGTTCATGTTCTAATTGTTTTTCGCACATTTTTCCAACTTCTTCTTCAAACAAATGTTTAGCATTCTCTACTGTATCTTCGAGTTCTTCTTCATCTAATTTCTCATGAACTTTCTTGTCTATGGAATCCATAATATCTTTGACATAAAATGCATACTTTACAGAGCACCATTCAGCAACAAAATGAACGAGGTCAGGATGTATGTAAATACCTTTGAATTCATTTATAACGCCCTTAGCAAGCTCATAAAATGCTTGTTTTGAGGTTGAGCCACTTTTGGCTCCACCGTATTCTTTCAACCAAAACTCAAGAATTTCCTGCATTTTAGCACTATTGAGAAATCTGTTTAAATGGTTTAACTTTCCTGCTTCTCTTGCCATCTTTGTTGCATTAATGTAACCATCCTTGTCTCTACGTAAGACTTCAATACTATTATAAGTGCCTTTTGTGAATGTTTCACCATTAGATTTGTTTGTGAATGTTTTTGCTTCGACTGACATTTCTGTTCTTACATACAAAATAAAAAAATAAATAAAAATAATTTTAAAACTAACTTTATTTTTGGACTGCATCATATTTCCAGGACTGTTGTCAAAATGTCATGTTGTCACATTTTTTCATAGAAGTTAAATGACCTGGTGACCACCTGGTGACCCGGTGACCTCATCAGTTATTCAAAAATAAGTCATAACTGCCTTCCTCATTTCCCACTATGTTGTCAAAATGTCATGTTGTCACATTTTTTCATAGAAGTTAAATTACCTGGTGACCACCTGGTGACCCGGTGACCCCTTCAGTTCTTCAAAAATAAGTCATAACTGCCTTCCTCCTGTGATGTTGTCAAAATGTCATGTTGTCACATTTTTTCATAGAAGTTAAATTACCTGGTGACCACCTGGTGACCCGGTGACCCCTTCAGTTATTCAAAAATAAATAATTATTGAATAACCTAAAAACATTAACATTAACATAAACATTAACATAAACATTAACGTAACCATTAACGTAAACATTAACGATAAAATATATTTCTGCAGTTCATCCATTACTTCATTACCTAATTAATTACAGACATAAAATATATTTAGTTCATTCAATAAATGCGGTACCATGCGAATACAGTCATAAATGGTGGCATATAATCTTCACCCAAGCCTGTTGGATTTGTTGTGAAAGTATGGACATGATTTCCTCCTGGTTCAGTTGGCCGAAAAGTCTTTTTTGCCGAATGGTTATAATCTGGAGATAAAACGTCATTGCCAGCATAATATTCTGAGTTGTATAATGGATGGTCTCTTAATGAGTGGCTATGGTCGCCAGAAAAGTTTGTAGTTCCCGTATGAGTGTGCGGTGGAAGGTTTGCTTCTTTAATTTTCTTCGAACCACCCGTTTCCTTTGAAGAGTTTGCACAATACAAAAACCTGTCAACTATTTGTTCCCACGTACCAAAACCCAGAACTGTTGCGGGATTTGTTGAATTCATTGACGTATATATAGAACCAATGGGGTAAATCATCTCAAGAATTGTATTTAATCCATTATGAATATTGAATTTATTATATAATATTGAATTTGGGTGAGTATTTAAAACCGGTCTTGTTATCAATATTAACGTATTATTTTTGAAAATTGCTTTTCTAACATCTTGAAATTTTGTGATTTCAGACCAGTTTCTTCCATCACTACTGATATTTACTAAATCACCACATCCTAAAGCAATGAAATACCCATCAATATAAAATAAATTTGTAAATCTATAATTTCGAGTAAGTTTTGGAGTGAATGAATAAACCAATTCCCAATTTGATAAATCCTGTGATAAATAAATATGTCTGTTATAACTTACAGGATATGAATAGACCATTTCACCTGAAACGAGAACATAAACATTTGATCCATAACATAAAGCTTCAATGTCTCCATCAGCTTGAAAAATTTGTTCAAATTGACCTTGTGATATTGAAGATGATCTATAAATTTTATCATTTTGTAGGATAAAATACATGTTGTTAATGTAATACCACTTACTTGTATAATCAATTTTCAAATCTGATGACATCATACTAAACATATAATAATTTATCCCATCCTCACTAATGAAAATTTGATTGACTTCATAAATTAGTACCCATTTATTATTAACGCATCTAATAGGATTATTTGGAAATTTAAATTTAGCATCTTGATTTAAATTACATTTGAACCATTGGATACAATCGAATGAATAACAAGGGCAAAAATCATCTTCAACCGTTATCATTCCCATAAATTTACCGTTATTATATTCAACATATAAAATTCTTGGATTAATGATTGGCTTTCGTGTATCAGGATTCCAAACAGATGGAGTAAATGATTCATAGTTTTTAAAATCATTTGTTTTAAAATAATAAAGCACTCCAGCTGTATAAAATAAAATACATGGTCACTCCATCGAAACATATCCATTCAAAAGAATCTATATTAAAGGTTTTATCTGATGATTTCATAAAATTTAAAAATGGCGGAGTAAAATAGACCTCTGATTGTTTTATTTCTTCATTAACAAATGATATATCAGCTTTCTTTGCTAACTCAGTATTAATGAATGAAATAACTTTTTCCTTATCTGCTTTCTTCTCTAACTCATTGTTAACATAAGTTTTATCTGCTTTAAGGTCTAAACATCCTGAAACCCATCCTGTATCAGCTTTAGTTTTTAAAATCTTTGATGTCCATTCATGATACCATTCAACCCTTTCTATAATTTCATTATCTTTTTCATTAACATATTCCTTATCTGCCTTCTTCATTAACTCACTAGCCACAAGTCCCTTATCTGCTTTCTCCTCTAACTCACTGTTGACATATTCCTTATCTGCCTTCTTCATTAATTCACTGTTGACATATTCCTTATCTGCTTTCTTCATTATGTCATTTAGGAAACCTTTTATGAATTCCTCATTTAAATTAAATCTTCCAATCTTCAAAACTTTGGGAAATGCATTTAATGCGTAATATCTTTGTTCTTCTGGTGGAATTGATGTTATATCATCCGTTATACCTTTAATTTTTGAATTCATAAATAAAATTTCTTTTATATTTGATATCACTGCACCACCTTTGCAAACGAATTCGAAATGGTCATTTTTCAATACTATCTCCAAATCTCCATATTTCAACCTTTGCGTTTGTTCTGCCGTCTTTGAATTATATGCATATGTGGCGTATGTAATGGTTTGAAGGGCCTGGGTGTTTTGTGCCTTAAGTTGCTGTGGTTGCTGTTGTTTAATCATTTATTATGATTTAAAAATAAATATTTAATCCGTTATCTCATCACCTATTTTTTCTATTTGAAATTGCCATAATATTTCATTCATGAATTCTAAATCACAATCAAATAGGTCGGTTATTCTAAATTTAATATTTGATAAATCTTTTGAATGAAGAATAAATGAATTCCCGGATAATTGAAACGGATATGATAAAGAAAATATGTTTAAGTTGATGGATAAAATGTTTTGTATTGATGGGTAAGAGTTAGGGTCTAATGTTTGATGTGAAAATCTCATTGGGGTATTAACTTTATCACATTTGATTAAAATGAAATTGGAACCAGTGTCAGAATACAAAACATCCCCAACATCTTTTTCAAAATTTAATATCCCCAACAATGAACGAAGATGAGGAGTACAAAATTTAATTTTCAGCGGAAATTTAATAAGGTTATTTATTTCATCAAGTTCAAAAAGTTTATCAGGTTTTGATTTAAAATTTTCTTCATACCATACGATAAATGATTCATTTAAATAACTTAAAATCGTGTTAATATCCCATTTCGTTATCACATTATTTATATACATATCATACGTTTTTTCAAGGTCATCTTTAATAAATGATATATAATCTGAAGGGTCTAAAAGAATGGGATTAAATTTACCACTCACAGAAACGAGAGTAACATTATAAATTCCGCTAACTGTTAAATTTAATTCACAGCTATTATTCGAAATAATATTGATAATTGACATTTTTTATTACGATTAAAAATATGGTAAAGCGTTATTTTCCAGTGATAAATAAAACTAGAATAAGATTACCTCAAGAATTCATAAATTCAACGAATAAGAAATTCATTCATGTTATAAATTTTAGTGTTTTCAGAAAATATGAGTCAATGTCATATTCATCATCGGGTTATATTTCACTTCATTCAAATTTAGTTCAATCAAACCCATATAATGACCATTTCATAAGATTTTCAGATGGTATTAAAAATGTAATTGATAGATTAAAATATGAACAGATTGACAATATCGAATTTTTGGAATTTTGGTTTAAATATCCCGATGGAAAAAAGATTGAAGTTAAAGATAAAGCTGATACTATAACAAAAACAATTACAATGACCGATCCGATAGTGGGGAACAAAAAGAAATAAAACAAACGATAGAAACTGGTGAAAGGTCAATTATTATCGATTATGATTCAAAGGATTATTATTCAATAATGTTAATGCTTGAATATTAAATGGCCTTAACAAAGAATTTTTCAAGTGATATTTTATATTCATCAACTATTTTATTATAAATATCATTATATGTTAAATGAAGTTCAGTTGTTGTTCCGTTCTTTGATATCTTAATTGTGCTAATATCCTTTATAGGATTTATTTTTGCAACTGTTCCGCAGCATGAAACCTCATCATCTATGAAAAATTGAATCTTAACGTCTGAATCTTGAACATCACAAAGAATGGCAATAATGTGAATTAATGATTCATAAGGTAAAATAATTAAACCGGATTGATCAATTAAATTTATTATTGAATCATAATTATCAGTTATTATATCACGGTAAATTTTCATTAATTCAGAATTAATGTCTATTTTATATGGTGCATTGCGACTGGAATCGTAGATTCCTGGGTTCTCGATGTTTGATGAAAGAGGTGGGGGGTATGTTGGATAAGTGGGAATTTCAACAGGTTCTTTACCGGGTTCAGATAAAATGATTGGGTCTCCATCTTCTTTATTTTGCTCCTCCTCTTTCTTTGGTAAGTCACGAGTTAATTCGGGGCTAACATTAACTTTAACATTTTGAATAATTCGTGATTTATCATCATTTACGTTATAACCAACCGTAATCTCTGCTTTTGCGTTTGTGTTCTTTTGACTTGTGAAACGTCTTCTCATTTATAATTGAATAAAAAAAGAAAAATATATTTAAAGTTTTATTTAGTTGTTACGGTAATATCCCAAGGTTCATCATTGTTTGCTTATACTTTCTTTGTAACTGCACCAATTATGTTATTGATATTGCTTTGAGTTTCTTCCAGTCTTATTTTATCATTTACAATATCTTTAATCATTTCATTACATGCATTCTTAAAACCATCTGATTTTTCTAATTTACGTCTATCACTTTCTTTAATTAAATCGAAGTTATAACCTTGTTGAGAATAAAGTGGTTTCTTTATCAATTCCTTGAACGCTTCTGAAAGTGAAGATGAAGAAATTCTTGCCACTTGAATTGGTTTAAATTCTGCTTTCATTGCTTCTTTCTGTTCATTGAACACTGGATCGAATAAAGCAACTTTAAAGAATTTCTTAGCTGGAATTTCAGGTCTCAAATTTGCATATTGACCATCAAACTGATTAACATATCGTGGTAATCCATCCGGTCCCTCTTCAATAGCGTTTAATTCTTCATTGAAATAAGAATATGGATTATGACGGTATGAATTAATTGGACCATGTTCACCTTCTCCAATGTATTGTTTAACAGCTTTTCCATTTTCATCAAATTGCATAGGATAACGTTCATTATATGCTTTACGTTTAGGATAATCAGATATAGTTAATTTATACCCATTTATGACTTTAATATTACCTTGACCATCAGTAACGAAAACTTCATTTATACCATCAGGTTTTCCATTTGGACCCGTAATGTCTGCTTCGTGTGCTTCCCAATTTGGACCATGACGTTTGGCATATGCTTGAGCTTCTGGTAATGTTAAAACATTTCTCATTTGTTTAACATCTTTTTGAAGACCAGCAACAATGTGGACTAATTCTTTCATTCCGTCTGGAACTTTCATAGTTCTATTATATGCACCCCCCTTTTTGTTTGTCCCTTGTTTTAATGGAACCTGTAAAAGATTTGCTATTTCGGTCATGTTTAATTATAAATAAAAAATAAAAATTAATTATAAAAAGTTAATCAAATTTAACACCTCCTTTATTTAAATCAACTATTATTTTTCCATGTTCACCTAATTGCTGATATTGTGTGTAAAGTTCATTAATGCTCATTGGTAAATTCACTTGATAAAGCATAACGTTCAACTGTTGACGACTAAACCCACTGAAAATGAAAAGGGTTGATAGATTTGATTTAATGTTTGTGCTTAATGCTTTGAAGTATTGAACAGCCATGAAGAATGAACACTGAATGTGTCGACATTGAGTTAATAACTGATTAAAATATGATTTCTCATTTGTTATTAGTTTTGATTTCACTGCATCATCTAGAAAAATGAGTGAATGCAAAAATTCTCTATCAAAATTTGAAATAGAAAGTGTTTCAAATAATTCATCCCGTTGTTTATCAATAATTTTATCCTCTAATCCTTGCTTCTTGATTGTATTATATAATTCTTTATACATTAAAAAGTTTTTTAAATAATCTTCTGCTTCTTCTTGTGATAAATAAATAATTGGAATTTTGATTAAATGCTTTAAAGATTCAAATGTATCATCTGAAGGTGAACCTGAACGGTTGATATAAATTAACACATGTGAATGGGGGGAAGTGTTAGCAATAATGATAATTTGTTTTAATATCGTTAATGTTTTACCTTTATTTTGTTTACCAATTGCTGCAGTGATTGAATTTAAGTAACATTCAGAATATGGAATTTTCATTAATTTTTCCTTAGATAGAGCATTTCTATTATCACTCAATGCTTCATTAATCATATCATCTACGTATGTATTATATACTCCCGCTAATTCTTCAGAATTGAAATCCATTTAATCAAAAATAAATTTATAATTTTAAACATTTCTATTCATCAATATTTCATCATATGAACTTCTATACTGTGGTGGTGTACCTGTTGGATGATATTTCAAACCTTCATCCGGTGTCCATGTCCAATATGTAGTCCTAGTAAACCAAACCTGAGGAGGATTTGTCACTTTTGAACAGTAAGTGTCATTTTCACCCTGAATGATTGGATAAGCTTTCACTTGTACTGTAACTTGTGAATTGAAAGTTTCTAATCCATCAAAGAATATACCTGCTCCATCACGTTGAACTGGAATAGTGCATAAGAATGAAGTTTGGTCTTTCCATGTTCTAGCTAATGGTGTGCCATTATCATCATTCAGTGGTCTAGTTAATGAGTCCTCGTATTCTTCCGTGCATTCATTCACTCCATCTAAATCAGAAGCTTGAAGCATACGTGTAAAGAATATATCACCCACTGTGGTCATCGCTTGATCGGGGAAGTTTCTGGAATCTATAGTGACCTGAAGACCTCGAAGCATTGGATTTTCTAAAACCGTTCTTTGCATTGCATTCTTTGGAAATGTTAACACAACATCTGTAACATTATGAAGAGCGTATGAGAAATCTGAGCTAATACCTTCAGGAGTGATGCAACCTCCATTTAGTGAACGAACGTCAATATGTTGAGCTGGAATCATGAATGGATCTTCCTTACTAAATAAACGTGGTATTGCTTTAATTGATTCTTCAATTAAACCGTATCCTGGTGTAATGCATTTATCCTCTAAAACTTCCATCTTTGTGCATGAAATAATAACGTTATCAACTGTTGCGTCAGCAGATGGAGCGGCTAAGCTTGTAATTAATTTGGTAGGAAGTCCGATTTGTTGGAATTTGCGATCATATTTATAAACATGATTCATAATCTTTTCATAATTTTCATCAGTTATCTTTTCATAAACGTAATTTTGTAAATCAGCAACTCTTAACGGGTCAACCTGACAAAATACTAAAGTATCCCTGAAAACATAATATTTAAGAATGATTTCACCAAATGATTTAGGATAATCATCGAACGCCTGAAATGCTAACAAATCATTTACTGGAATAATCATATCAAAAGTGATATCAACTTCTTCATTTGCTTTCTTGAAAACTTCTGAAGGGTCAATATATTTACCACATACTGAGTTATCATATTTTTGAACATTATTATATAACGAATGAACAAACTTTTTAACTTTCCTTTCTGATTTTGGTTTATATGTTGCAAATGCGAAAGATTCACGGGCGCAATCCATTTGAAGATAACCAGCATCACCTCTTTCAGTTTCTACTTCTAATTGTTTAAAGCTTTGATTTGATGATTTGTAACCAACGAATAAACGCATGCATTTAAAAGCGGCATCACATGTGAAAGCTTTATTTGAAACAAGAGTTGCTTTAACTTTGCGTTTAATATATGTGTCACCTAATTGGTTCACATCATGAGCCGGATTTGTAATTCTTAAATGAGTTTGTTTATCATCAAAATATGGAGCATCAGAGTCATAGCATGAACTTTCAAGTTCTCTATAATATCTTCTACCGTCATTCTTTGCGAATATTTCATTTATCTTTTCGAATGAATGAAACACATTTCCATTAATTGGTTTAGTGTTTGGCACTAAATAATTAGTCGTCATTTATTAATAAATAAAAAATCAAAATTAAAAGATGAAAATGAATTTTTAATTTTAATGAAATAATCAACTATGGCTGCAGGTATATTTAAGAAACTGTGGGATAAAGTAAAAAGAGGAGCGCATAAAGTTTGGGAAACAATGAAGAAAGGAGCAAATTGGATATTTAAGAATAAAGAAGCAATTAGTGACATTGCTGAATCAATAACGCCAAAAGCTGCCCCAATAAGAGAAATTTTAAATAAAGGAGAAAAAGTTTATCAAAGACTACAACCGATACTAAGATAAAAATAATATTTATTTATTTTTCCACTATCTACCCCCTATTTTATTAAGTATTCCTTCAGCTATTCCACCAATTGCGTTACCTGCTTGTGCTCCCATCGCCGGATTACCTGCTTTAGTACCTAATACTCCACCTATGATAGTTCCTGCCGTTTTCGCTACTGGTGCCAAAAAGTTTGCAATGGGTTTAATAATCTTTTGATGAACCCAACCTGCAGCTTTCTTAATTCCTTCCCATAATTTTTTAAAGAATCCTGCCGCCATTTCTGATTTAATATTAATTAAAAAATATATTTCATCACTTATATTCTAATTTTTATTTAATGATAAATGAAACCGATTTTAAAAATAAATGAAACAAAGGAGGATGAAATAAATGAAAGTGGAAATGTTCAACAAAAAATAAACGTTGTTAAACCAATTACTGAAATAAAAATTTTTTCATCTGTTGAAGAATTTAATGACTATTATGCTAATAATAAAAAATTATTTGAAGAATTGACAACATGTAAATTGAATAAAATGTTTAAAGTTGATGGATTCAAAATTTCAAAAATAAAAGGAGTGGTTAGTTTGAAATCTATTCCTCAATCAAGAATCACCTCATTAATGAAAATAGATGATTTAACAAAAAGAATAGAAATTATTGAAGAAAGAATGAATCAAATAATTGATTTCATAAATCATGACTCGTTGAGCCTGGGTCCTTAAAACCCATCACTGAGTTCAAGGTTATATTCATCAAATATTTCATTATTAAATGCAACTTCTGCTAGTTTATTTATTTTTTCAATACGATCATTTGAAAGTCTATCGTTTAATTTTTTCTGAAGTTTTTCATTTTCTAGTTCTGAAACTTTATTTGGATGATATTTAAACTCGTTAAATTCTTTTTCCTCAGTTTTGATCATTAATTTACAAAGAACTTTTGTGGTTGGAATTCGTTTAAACCATTTATCATTAATATTTGTTATAAATTCAATATTCGGAATTAATTCCCAAATTTTTGCATTTTCAATTAATTTATTATCAAATGCAAAAGCAGTGGGTTTAATATTATGTTTACCTTTATAATATAAACTTTCTACATAATCATCGAAATAAACATCTACTTGTTTAACATTTTCAAGAATTGGTGAAAGAGCATCCATTAATTGATTGACGGTTACGAATCTTGATCCACTCATTTTCATACAAATTAAAAAAATAAATTATTCAAAAATGTAAGACATGAATTTTTAATTTCTTTTATTGGTTTCATATTCATTAACGTTTAATAATTCACAGTCTTCCTTTTTAAATAAATGTTTTATGTATTCAGGATTAAGAATTCTATAATATTGCTTCCCTTTAAATCTTTGAATATAAACAGGAACACCATCCTCTAAAATTCGATAATTCATTTTATCTGGTTTTACTTGTTGGGTCATTTATGTAAGAATAAAAAATAAATTATGTTTAAAATTAATGTTAAAAATAATGATACAAAATCGTTCAATATTGTATGAATTCTTACGTTTACAAAAAAAGTCACATAACCCATCATACCCTACTACTGATTTTTGAATCAAATATATTTTAACTATTAAACTGATAGTGCAGATGTGGCCTATACGAGTTATACAACTCAAGTTAAAGAATCATTTAATCTAATTTATCCATCAAAATCGGCTCATTGATAATTCAATGCAGCTAAAACTAATTAGACAATAGGAATTAAGCAGCAAATAGTAAACATTTCCAATTTTACATAGTTGTCTATCATATCATATCAATGAATTGAAACAATCTTTTATTCTCAAGGATTTTTATTTGCAATTATTAGAGTTGCATCTTAAAACTATAATGCCATAAATGGTATTATATAGTGGACTTAGTTCTAAATATATTTTCTTGATTTAAAATTCCTGAAGTATCAGTTACAATTCCTCTCAATTACACAAACTTTCCGAAAAGTGACAATTAATTACACAAAGAAATCACTATCATTAATATATGCATTAATATTCTAATAATAATTTATTGGCAAAGTTCGGTTTTGACAAAAATTGACAAAAATTTTAATGACCCAACCCTCGCTTATCGTTCTTGCTGTTAAGCGTGCAATGGAAAAGGGCAAAGCAACCTATGATAAGCAGATCGGATCCTATAGTACATTTTTCGTAAACTCAAAACTTGAAACTACTGAATGTCCAAAAGAAAATTCTAATGAACTCTTAGATTTTTATATTGATGATTGCAAATCAGTACTTCCCAGTAAATTATCTGCAGATGAAGCTAGCAAAATTAGATCAACTTTAGAAATCATTCAAATTACTTCAGCTTTAGATGATGGTAGTTGCGTAGGCACGTCTGTCGTTCAGTCATATAACAACGAAAATGGTAAATTATATACATTTTTATACTCATTTACACCAAAGAATTCTGAAATTATTGCCCAAACATTAAATTCAGAGTTCTCGATCAGAATGGCTGAAAGAATCTTTGTATCTCGTAGATCTAAGATTATTCTTAAAATTTGGAAGAGAGAATGGGAAGAATATCAGAAGATTCCAGCTGTTATTTCACAAGACACAGTTGTTCAGACATTATCAATTGCTTTTGCTCCATTCGTTTATGGTGTATTCTCTGGCCCATCCCAAGTCATTGATGATCTCAAGGCTCAGGCTAAAGCTACAACTCAGACAACTGTTAAGGACTACCATCGTATTATTTACAACCCAATGAAGAAGATGGAAGTTCTCGTCACAGATCCAGAAATTCTCAAGATTATCCCAACAAGATGGTTCAAGACTTCTGGTAGCTCTATTGTTTATCCAGTTGACTATAAATTTGATCAATAAAAATAACAGCTTACTTTTAGTCAGCTATTTTAAATAAACTTAAACATTTTTTTTTCTGGAAAATTTATTTCTGAATTTTGAACATTTTGAATAGTTATTATCGAGACCTATCATCATTCCAACATAACACATGATATACTATCTACAATACACCTTAAGGAAATGAAGATCTTGGATACAATACTTTTTTTATATTATTTCATGGATGAACGATTTAGAAATAAGCATATTTAAAAGCAATAATGATTGATCTTTGAGTAGCTTTAATACTTAGATAAAAATCCGATAAATGTTTAAATAATTATATGTATTTTCAATGTGTAATGCAATAAAATTCTCCTCATCGAAATTTTATGTATCAGGCCTTGTTTTAATTAAACTGATATGCATAAATAAATTAAAAATATCTTAAAAATACACAAATAATAAAAAATTCCAAACGCGAACATTAGTTTACCTTATAAGCGTAGAGACAAGATTAGTTTTGGCTGCGTTGTGTAATTATTCCCGTTTTTTCTCGTATTGTTGAATTCAAAAATTTGTCACTCTTGAAGAGCAAAATCTAGATTTTAGACTATTTCTCAAAAATATATAATGCATTACTAAATACTAATTTATTTATCAGATAATTATATCAATTTATTAAAAATGTCTCAATTTGAGAGGGTCGCTGAAATTTGGGATTTTGGTCATTCAAATGATTCCTCAACGCCCACCTGAGGAACAGTATAAGGATCTTTGTCATTTTCTTAGTCCACACCTTGAATCATTCAATTGGGCCGTGAATACCGGTCTCCAGAAGATTCCAGAGTGGATTCCAGAACAATTTGTCAAGCGCGATGGCGACGATCGCATTTTACACTTCCATGTTAAAGAATTAACACTCACAAAGCCATACGATGCACGCGGAAATAAGATTTATCCATATATGTGCCGTCTTGGAGGACAAACATATGGAGGTTCTTTAAATATCATTCTCGAAGCAGCTATTAATGACCTTCCACCAAAGAAATTTAGTGTTGTTGCAAACAACATCCCAGTTATGGTCAACAGTGACCTTTGCCATCTTAAGGGCTTAACACCACAAGAAAAGGGCGCCTTGATGGAAGAACCAACCGAGGCTGGTGGCTACTTCATTTACTCCGGTTATGAGAAGCTTCTTCGTCTTCTTATTCTTAATAGACAAAACTACGTTTTTGCTTTGAATCGTCCATCATTCCACTCTCGTGGTCCAACATTCACAAACTTCGCCACATCTTTCCGCTCAATGGCACCAGATTGCTCCTCAATTACAACAAATGTTCACTATCAGAACACAGGCAACATGGTTGTCCTTATCCCAATCCAGCGCAGAATGTTCTTCGTCCCACTTCCAATCCTCTTACGTGCTCTCGTCGAAGTTGATGACCGTACAATTTACGAATCAATCTGTGGCCAAAACCCAGACTCATTCTACTCAGATCGTGTCATCGCTACACTCCGCTATGCCTCAGAACTCGATATCCATACAAGAGCTGGCGCTCGCGACTTCCTTGGCGCTCATTTCAGGACAGTTTTACAATGCCCACGCCATTTCACAAATGAAGAGTGCTGCGAAGTTCTTCTCAAGCGTAACCTCTTCCCACATCTTTCAGACGAAGCGCCAAGCAAGAAATTCGACCTTCTCATCTACATGACTCGTCGTTTACTACAGCTTGTCAAGGGAGAGATTCTTCCAGACAACATGGATGCAAACTCCGCCCACGAACTCCTTACACCAGGCACTCTTTGGCTTCCAGCCCTTTCAGATGCAATTACAGACTTCTTGAAGGCTACAGCGGCCAACGTCTACAAGGATGAGAAGAACGCGATCGACGACTTCGATGCCCTTCAAACAATTCTCAAGAAGAACGCATCAGGTGTCGAAAACAGAATGCGCTACTTATTCTCAACAGGCTCTCTCCGTGGTAACTCCACTCTTGGTCTTTCACAGACAGAAGGTCTTTCCATCATCGCAGAAAGAATCAACTACTGCAGATATCTCGCTCACTTCAGATCAGTCCATCGTGGTGCTTTCTTCACAACAATGAAGACAACAGCCGTCCGTTACTTACTTCCTGAGTCATGGGGATTCATGTGTCCTGTCCACACCCCTGATGGCGGTCTTTGCGGTCTTTTGACTCACCTCGCCAGATTCTGTGAGATTGTCACAGGTGATTCTCAAGGATTCAAAGAGATCGTCCAGATCTTCACCAACTACGGCATGGTTCCATTCCTCGGCAGCGGCGACATGGTCCCTGTCATTGTCGATGGCCGCGTCGTTGGCTCCATCCGCGAAAGACTTTCCTCTGCAGCTGTCGAAGCCCTGAAGACAGCGAGAAGGAAAGGAATCATTCCGAAGATGGCCGAAATCGCAGATCTCCCTGCCGGCTCATTCACACGTTCCATCTACGTGTTCCTCAACCAGCAGAGAATGATGCGTCCTGTTTTCAATGTCAAAGCGCAAGAACAGGAATACGCCGGTCCTCTCGAACAGATTTTCATGGATATCGCATCCAATCCAAAGGACGAATCCAAGGCATACAGAGAGATCCACCACACAGCGATGTTATCATTGATTGCCTCTCTCACACCATTCTCCGACTACAACCAGTCACCACGTAACATGTACCAGTGCCAGATGGCTAAGCAGACAATGGGATATCCATCACACAGAGAAGCAGCATCAACAGAAGTCAAGACATACCACGTTCACTATCCACAGCGTCCTATTGTCAGAACAATGGAACAGGATTCCCATGCCTTGGAAGATTTCTTGTTGGGAACAAATGCATGCGTTGCAGTTCTTTCATACACCGGTTATGATATGGAAGATGCTTTGCTCATCAACAAGTGCTCTGTAGAAAGAGGTTTCGGACATGGCTGCATCTATAAGACACATAGATACACAGCTGAAGAAATCGAGTCCAACTCTTACTTCTGCAACACTAAAGATGGAGTCATTGTCGATCCAGATTTAGATGCAGATGGTCTTCCTTTCGTTGGCCAGAGAGTTTCAAAGGGCTGCAAACTCTTGAGAGTATACAATCCAAAGGAGAACAAGGAGAGAATCATGTCATACAAGGATGGCGAAGATGGTTTCGTCGACAAAGTCATCACAACAACTTCAGATGATGGAAAGAGAGTTCTCTCAGTTGTCCTCAAATTCAGAATGGTCAGAACACCAACAATCGGTGATAAGTTCTCATCTCGTCACGGCCAAAAGGGTGTCTTCTCATTCCCATGGCCACAAGAGAACATGCCATTCTGCGAGAACGGCATCACTCCAGACGTAATCATCAATCCACACGCCTTCCCATCACGTATGACAATCGGTATGCTTATCGAGTCAATGTGCGGAAAGTTGAGAGCTTCCCAGGACTGCGCATTCTTCGATGCTACTCCATTCACACACGATGAAAAGAACAGAATCACAGATGAAGTCGGACAAATGCTCGCAAAGGAAGGATTCGAGTACTACGGAAATGAAGCGATGTACTCAGGAATCACTGGCGAACAGTTCAAGGCAGACATCTTCATGGGTGTCGTCTACTACCAGAGATTGAGACACATGGTCGGTGATAAGTACCAGGTGAGAGCAACAGGAAAGATGAACAACATCACAAGACAGCCACTCAAAGGTCGTAAGAAAGGTGGTGGTATCAGACTCGGTGAAATGGAACGTGATGGTTTGCTTGCACAAGGTGTTACATTCCTCCTCAGAGACAGATTCATGTGGTGCTCTGATGGACACGTCGCTAAGCTCTGCAACAGATGCGGTTCATTCATGTTCACACAGACAAAACATGATGAAAATGGTGTTGAAGAGACTTACTGCACTTACTGCAAGAAATCTGGTAACTGCACTTCTGTTTACGTTCCTTACGTTTTGAGATACTTGTGCGCTGAGTTCGCTGCTATGAACATCAGAATGAAGTTCTCTACTGAAGAACACAGCCATGCTCATGTTGAAGAAGAGATAAAGGAAGAATAAAGTAACAAACAAAAATATTTTTTAGAGATTTGAATAAATAAAAAATTTTGCTTTTTTTTTATTTTGAACTAAAACAAACTTTAAAAGAGAAACCATTATACTTCTCTAATGCTTTCATTTGTTAGATTTCCATATTTTTCATGGTTCTGATCATTTTATCTTCTGAATTTTGTAGAAAAATTCACTTCCGGAAAGAGATAATATGAAAAAAAATTCATACAGACAATCATTTTGCGTGCTCCACTTTGAAATCTTCGAACAAGATCTTATTTGGTTAGAAGGGAATTTTCTGATAAGAAATCATACCAATATTCCAAGTGTAACATTTGTGCTATATAATCTGGTTAAAGAGACTCGGATATCATACAACAAAAAATGGAAGAAATTATGGAAGAAAAAATTTGAGAGCGATAATGGAAGAAAAAAATTTTGAAATAAAGGAAGTAAAATTGAGAGCAAAAAGGGAAGAAATTTTTTTTGAAAAGGAAGAAGTAAAATTTGGGACTGAAGAATATTGCTAAAATCCAGTATAAAATTTTGGTCGTTATTCTGACATCGAGGAAGTTCCTCATTTTTTTCTTCAAGTGATTTTAATTCAAAATCTGCCATTTTATAACTGAAGATTCACATTGATGGAGCCTAACTGGAAAGAAATTGGAGAAAATATAGGGAAGTATGTTGACGATGAGCAATTCTTGTCGAAAACAAAGCCTCAAGATATTTGCAAAGCTCTTAGTTATGCAAAATTAACTTGTTGCCAATTTTCAACATTGTTCACAAACCTTTCAAGGTTCTATGGTAAGCAAGACATGCTCACGATGCTTATTCGTGCACGTACAGATTCTTTGAAAACTCGTGAAGAATTATATGAAGTTTCAGAGACAATCTCATCTGTTCTTGGCATTCACGTTCTTAATAAAATACTTGCATTCTCCCTGAGCAATAGAACAGCTCCGACAAGTCCAAGAACTCAAACTGCTCCTGCAAATCCAGATATAGCTAATCAAATTTTTGTACAATCTAGAGATAAAAGATACGAATTTAAACATGTTAACACCAATATTCCTGTTAAACAATTGAAGAAAATGATTTTTGATATAGATGGAATTGCAATCGATCAGCAAAGACTCTTATTTCGAGGAATACAGATCGAAAATGATAAGTTATTAAAAGATTATGATATTCGTGATTTATGTGTAATTCATTTAGCTGTATATCCGAAAAATTGATGCAAAGATAGCTATCTGAAAAACTCTAATAAAATATACTTATTTAAAAAAGTCGTATTATTCAATTTTTGAATAGATTACATTTTTCATTTTCTAAGAGTGAGAGAAAATTATTAAATTTGATGGCTTATAATAGGCTGCCAAAGCAAAAGCAAGTATAAAAGTTTCTAATTATGCTTAAATTACAGATTACAAGACTTCGAGAATGTATAATAAAGTGATAAATGTTTCGAAAAGAAAAAGAATTGAAAGCTTTGTAATTCCAAAATCAATCTTAAGGATTCAATACTTTAGTTTATACAGTTATTCAATTTTTAACACTGACAGTTATTTTTTGCCTAAGATAGATTTGATATTAATATGAATAAACCTGAATATAGCTTACTCTATCTTTTCACTGTTTCAAAATCTAAAAAAGATCTCTGGATGAAGACTCGAGATAGTGAACCCTTAATTGATTCATATAATGATATTATCTAGATCTAATCTCATACACAGCCACAATTAAATACTGATGTTTATATATCTATATAATTACAAACAGTTTATTTTTTAAATTATAATTTTCTTCTTTTTGGACGTGCTGAAGAAGGAAGTTCTAATGGCTTATCAAATGGAATAGGTACAACCTGTGGCTTGATTTGATTGGGTTGTATTTCTTTTACTTCTTTTTGTACCTCATTTTTCACTTCACTTTTCATTTGACTTTGAGAGAAATCATCCAAATCTTCTGGCTTTGGCTTTCCTTCTTCCAAAGGGTTTCCGTACAAATCTGTTGCGGTGAAAAACTCCGGAGCCATCTGCGACAACCACAAAGGATCAATTGCTGTCACACCATGCAAGTAATGCCTCTTTGTAAGTACTAATTCGTGGTAAACAATGTATTCAGGAATGTATGATAAACCAGCAAGTGAAGAAGTAGGATGAACAATGCATTCGACGCCTGTCTGGATATTGTAGTAAGTAGACAAGTTCTTTAAATGCGCCGCGTGATGGAAATACGATGAACAAATGACTTTTCGAACGATGTCCCAATTCTCTAGACCGCAATGGCTCATTTTCATTCCTCCTTGAAGGGCAATGTCTTCTAGCTGTTGCCTGATGTCAAGAGCTTTGCATAATGTAACATTATGAAGGAAATGGCGTTTTGCAAATATTGCTCTTTCTTGTTCTTGCTCTTTTTTGGTTGGTCTGTTAAGCCCTGCGTTGAACCAAAGGTTAAAAACATTAAGCATGGTCAGGTGGTCGCTCTCTGGCACTAAAAATTTCATTCTCATTGCATCTGCTTCTTCTTCCCTTCCGTGTGGCTTGTAGAAGATCTCACTGACTGATAGCATCGAAACAATGGTTAATATCTCCTCGAGGCAGCCAAATTTGTTACCTACGAGCAGCATTTTTGAAAGTGTAGGATCCAATGGGAACTGGACCATATCCTTACCAAGTTTCGTGAGCTTACCTTCATTATCCAGGGCTCTAAGACTCCATAATTGGTTCATTGCGTGTAAAAAGTTATCTAATGGAGGCGGATCCATGAAATCAAAGGATAAAACATCATCGAAGCCGAGAGACTTTAGCAATAAAATTACATTTGCCAAATTTGTCCTCTGAACTTCAGGAATCGTCATCGGTAGCATCTCATATTTAAATGAAGTTTCAGTAAACAGCCTCCAGCACTTTCCTTCGCTTGTTCTACCTGCTCTACCCATTCTTTGGGTGGCGGCGGCTTGCGAAATAGGCTGTACAAGTAAAGTATCCAGTCCTGCTTTCGAAGAATAACTTTTTTGTTTGCAAAAACCGGAATCTATGACATATCTTATTCCATCGATGGTCAGACTTGTTTCTGCAATGTTTGTGGCTACAACACATTTCCTTATTTTCAGGTTTTCGAACACTTTTGCTTGTTGTTCGACAGGAAGTTGGGAATAAATAGGGAATACAGCCATTTCTGGAGCATTTTCGATCTTTGCAAGATGTTCTCTGATTAATTGGCAGGTACATTCAACGTCATCTTGGCCTGTCATGAAAATTAAAATATCTCCGGGTGATTCTTTAAGATGTATGCTGCAGGCTTGGCGGACTGCTTCATATACATAGTCTTGAGGGTTGGAACGAAGGAAAAATGGCTCTACGTCGTATGTTCTTCCTTGAATATGAAAAATTGGAGCTCCTCCAAAGTATTTTGAGAATTTTGAGGCATCCATTGTAGCTGATGTAACTATAACTTTAAGATCTGAACGCCTGGAAAGGATTTTTTTGAGAACTCCGAACAAAACATCTGTATTTAAGGCTCTTTCGTGAGCTTCATCCATAATTATAACGGAATACTTGTATAAATCATCTTCGTTAAGCGATTCTCTCAATAGAATACCATCTGTCATATATTTGATAATTGTTTTGTCACTTAAAGCTTCTTCAAAACGAATTGCGTAGCCAACAAGGCCACCAAGCTCTACACCCATCTCATCTGCAACTCTTTTTGCTATAGAACATGCAGCAACTCTACGTGGTTGAGTACAAACAATTTGGCCAAATTTTCCATAGCCATCTTCGTAGAAAAATTGAGTTAGTTGTGTAGTCTTACCGGAACCTGTTTCACCGACAATGATAACGACGCTGTTTTCTGAAATAACTTTCAAAATTTTTTCTCGAAAATCCATAATTGGTAATTTTGCGCGGTTTATTTTGCCTGTATCCTTTAGGTGATTGATAAATTGGGAGTCTCCTGCCGTTTCTGCTTCAATTATTTCTTTTCCTTTTGAAATCTTTTCTAAATTAACTGACTTAGTAAGATCTGTAGCTAACTGTTCCTTTTCTTTCCTTTTTCGCCATTCAGCGACGCTTTGACTGCCTGCTTTTGCTAATTGATAAATTTCTCCTTCTAAGTTATAACGTTTATCAACAAATGGCTTGTAAACTCGGCTTGTATTTTGATTTGTTAAGAATTCTGGTTTTTCAGCATTGACTTGAATGCAAATTTTATTTTCTGTTTCATCATCATCGATTTTTCGAACAAAAAGAGATTTATTGACACCAGACTGAGAAATTAAATCTTCTTCCCATTTGTTATTATCAAGATCCCTTTGTGCATTCTGAGATGGAGCCATATTTATTCTTTCTTTAGGAGTTTCGACAACTGCAGCTTTCTTTTCCTCAATTTTAGCCTCAGTTACTACTTCGTCACCAAAATCATCAATATGAAATGCATCTTCTAAATCTCCTTCATCAGTCATAAGAAAAAATTAGAAAAAAAATGTGCCATTTATTTTTTTTCTTGATGTTTTTCTTGATATATTTCGGTCTTTGTAATGATGGTATTTCGATACATGTGACAGGTGTAAGTCAATTTGTAATATCTCCACACAAAGAACACATAATAGAGTTTAGTTATACACCTGAAAATGCACAAAGTGTATCAATATATTGTGATGGGATTTTAATAGACTGTGGCCCACTTGCAGGCGGACAAGTCAATTGTTCAGTTCCTAAAATGTCAGTAGGTCTTCATTTTTGCCAAAGTAAAATAGATATCGTTGGTTCTTATATTTTAGTATTAAATTATCCGCTTAGAATCATTATAATTGCCATGATATTTGCAATTCTTGTACTGATATCAAAGGGTGTTCTATTCATTATAATCAATTACACTAACGAAACAAAGAATGGATACGAAAAAATTTCTCCTTCATATAAACAAGAAAAAGACTTTACTGACGACCTTTTTGATCCAATGCAAGAAAAGAAAGCTCATAAGAGATCGAATTTCGAAAATTATTAACCAAATTATTTCTTAATATTGACCAAAATCAGTTATTAATATGATCTATATTACTACATTTCATCGAACACCATGAGAATTTGTTAGTTTCATGCATAAATTGAATAAATTTGTATTTTTATTTTCAAATAAAACTTTTTTATTACATTGATAGAATAATCTGTAATGACAAGTAAAATAATGATTAATTAATAAGGTATCAAAATTAAATTAAAAACAAAATTTTGAAATTGAAATTTTATTTATGTTTATGAGAGTATTTAAAGTAATTTTTATTTAAAAAAGATCAGAAGAGATTAATAATTTAGTTACAAGAATGAATCAATACTTTATTAATTAGTTATTGTGCACATTGGAGCTATAACCTCTTCGAAGTGCTTCTTATTAAGGCTTCTAACAGCAGCAACGAAATCGGCTGCGTTCATATTGTGGTTGCGTAACTCCGTTGTAAGAATTTCCATTGTTTCATGAAGGGCGTCCTTTGCAGCATTTTGTGTGCATGCCTGGCCCAACATTGGATCAACCTGGTACTCAGGAATCTTTACGTTCTTGTTTTCGTCGATTCGATTCTTAAGATTTTGGATATCAGGTAAAATTTCTGATTTCTTGGCCTTAAGAAGCTTAACAACATCTTCATTTAAGGCTGTTTCCTTCTCAGATTCTAGTGTTTCCTTGATACTCTTATTGACATCAGATATAATTGACTCTGCTTCAGTAACAGCATCATTGGTCAATTGCTGTGTATTAGAGCCACCTGCTGGAGCTCCTGATTGATATCCAGAGCCTTGTTGTGGTGGGAACTGTTCGCGAAGGAAGTTAACGTAATTTGGCTTGTCTCTTTGCATGTACTGGACGTAGCTTGGATGGAATGGTGGATTTGCTGAGAGAACTTCGCGGAGGCGATGCATATAATTTACAAGTGGTGTTCTTGGCTCCCATCTCATAATGGCGTCTGGGATAACGCAGCGCTGTGGGTTGATGAATGCGGATGGAGGGACTTGAATTGATGGTGGGATTGGCAACTGGCAAATTGGTGGAGTTGTTGGGAAGTTTTGTGAAAGCATCATGTTGATTGGAAGTGGGCATGGTTGGCCTTGGATGTAAATAATTACAAAGCCTTGAATAAGAGGCTGTGCTGGATTATTATTATTGCGGAAGAATTGAAGTGATCTGTATGCTTGTACAAGATAAACAAGGTTGTTGTAGTGACCTTTTTGTATATCCGGGTGTAAATTTGAACCCGCGAAAAGATCGTACATACTAATCATTTGAAATTTAGAAAAAGTGACATAATTCACCGGAGTAAAGAGCTATAACCTCAATACTTTGTATTTATTATTTGTCTTCCTATTAGATGTCATTCTTTATTGAGAATCATATTCGTCTTGATTCATTATGCAATATTGCATTTTCAAAATTCTTTTGTAAGCATCATCATAATGAAAGTATTATTGCTTCCAAAAAATTTTGGATCTTTGATGAAGTGATTATCTCTAAACATTATCATATTGGAAAATATTTCAATTATTCGGTTTCTTATAGAATTATTCAGAAATATACTTCACTAAATTAGTATGCTCTTTGTCTACTATTCATTAATTATACATGTATATAAGATTGCGAAGATTTAAATCCAAATGCATTTACCTAAATTTGTGAGTTAGTTTATGCACTTATATCTCCTCATTTTAATAGCCTATGAGATAAGGCTCTATAGCATTATGTACACATATGGACAAACATATATAATGATTATAGCAACACTCAATAAATATCAAATATACCTCCGTGAAAAATGGAATTTTTAAGTCCATAAAATTTTGAAACTTGTTGCTTTTTATAATCGATTCTAATATAGAAATCAGAAGGAAATCTAATAATTTCTTAGGTTTATGAATATGCAGTGTGATGTATATGCAACAATAATAGGCCTAAGACATAGAATCAAAGAATATTGAGAATAATAATAATAATATTTTTATTCATTATCATTTGAAGTGAGTTTTTCGAAATCTCTCTGACCTTTTTCGTAGTACTTCTGATCAATTTCACTTTCAACAGGTTCAATAGAAATATCTTTAAACGGCAACTCTTTGTACTTATTTTCGAATGTTTCCCAGTTCTTTTTGAAGTCTTCTTCATCAGGCAAATCAAAAATTTTTTCATTATCAGTAGTTTTGACAAATTCAGCAATTTTCAGTGAAATTGATGTTGATAATCTACTGTGTTCACCGAGACTTTCCCAGAACAACAAAGAATTTCTTATCGCTTTGATGAAATTATTCCATTGCTCTTCATCGACAATAAATGTCTGGCACATGTAAATAATCAAATCAACAGTTGTTGCTTTTGGAATCAACTTCGCGGCTCTTGAATCAAGATCATTTCTTTGGAAAGGAGCAAAAATGAACATTCTTATTATGTGTAAAACAAAAGCAGGATTAAAACGAGAGTATTTCGCAAGATATTTCAATCCTGAATCAACAAAATGTGTTCCCAATTCCCAAATATTAGTTTCTTCTTTGAATTTCTCGCCAAAATACATGTAAACTTGGTAATCTAAATATTCCAATTCGGTAATTGGAAGAACTTTGTCCAAAAGCTCTTCATATGAACTCATACTTTGTGTTGATGATAAATTAAGGTCAATTTCCTGGTCTTCTTCATAGGATTCTTCAAATGAAAAATCATTATTTTCTTTGCTCCTGAATTTGAGCTGGCAATACGTCATTAGTATATAATTGAATGTATCTTTGTCGGAATAATAAGGATCGTGGTCTAAATCGGATAAAAACATAGAATATTGTGAATTCAAAATTTTGATGAATAAATCAGCAAATAGTAAATATGTTTTATGTGTAATTGAAAACTCATAACATAACTTGAAGAACTCGCGATAATTTTGAAGATGAAAATTATCTTTTATATATTTCATTGAATTCGAGTTTAATTGGAATCTTTCTGTATCTTCATCGCTGATGATAACCGTTACGTTCATTGTTAAGAGGATTTGGATTAAGAATGAGGAATATTCGATATTTTGGTGTTTGATAAGAGATTTAAGGAAGTAAAAACACGAAATGCAATCTAAGTTATTCACAAGTGTATAAAACATATAGCTTGATTCAAAAAATGAGGTAATAATTGAACTTTCCATTAAAGTTGCTGTTTGGAATATATCAAATATCGTATCTAGCTTTGATATTGATAACTTATCAGAAAATATAGATGATTGGAATAGCTTATCAATCAAAACATGATTTGATATAAGTGAATTCGTTAAAATTTTAACATCTCTACCAGATAGAAAGAATGCTGTAATGTCAAACTCTTTTTCGTTATAAGAGCCGAGATTTTCAATAATATTTGTTAAATTTCGTTGTAGATAGTCTAAAAGTTGGCTGTTTGATGATGTAAATGCAGTAATTATATCTGGCTCTTTCAATATATCAGTGTATTTAATTTGAGGGTCTTTTAACTTTTCCAATAAATGAGAATTCTTCATTTCACCCTGAAAATGATGGAAAATTTCTAATTTTTTAGATAAAAAATCCAACAATTTAAATGATCTTGATTTCAAAATACCATAATAATTCATATACAAATTTACCAAAATTTGAATCTTTTCGGAAAAATTCAATCATTATCTTATAATAAGAAGTTTGTTGAGTATATCATTCTTTTGTGTGTGATGTGTGTGCATAATGATTGGCCTTATGGCCTATATCTAATATTGGTTTTTATCATATATTCTCTATAAAAGAAGATGAGCAATCATTTGTTAGTATTTTGTTTTGAATATAAGTATTGTTGTATTGGTTGCTAATAATAATCATTCCTAAGTTCATTTTATGGATGAAGCGACTTTCATTTCGATCTTACTAGATTCACTTTCAGAAAATCAAGATACAATGAAAGAAGCTGAACAAAAACTTATCAGTCTAGCTAGCAATCAGCCTGAATTAATCCTTTTATTGGCATCAAATATATTAAACTCAGATAACAGAGAAATTAAAGTATATAATCTATCACTAATAGCCATAAAGAATACATTGTTATTACTTAATTCTAAAGAACAGCAAAAATATACATGGTCAGAAGTTTTATCTGAACAAACTAGAGAAAATGTTAAGCAAGGAATACTTAGAGGTACTTTAATTGATAATCCAATAGTATGTGGGCTTGCTGGTGCATGCGCTCAAATTATTTTTGCGATAGATCCGTCAAACTTCAATATTTTTGAATACTACGATCAAATACTTCAGATAGATGACTATTCAGACATCATTAAAGAATCAATACTCAATTCTATTAAAGATATTTTTGATAATGATATCAAAACTATCATTTCAAAGACTTTTTGGCTCGAGAATACAAGAAACTTAATGTTTAATATCTTTCAAACTATGATATCTCTTGTTAAAAATGCGCAAAACCATTCAATTAATTTGATTTCATCAGTTTTTCATTTATTACATTCTATTATTGATATTATGAAGAATGAATTAAATACGCAACAATCTCAAGAAGCTGTTATTGAAGCAGTTAATAGTATTTTACCAATTGTTATGGATATTGATTTATATTCTAATGTTCATGAGTTTTTACAACAGTATGTATTAGTTTTTAATGGACTTAGATGGAATGAAATACCAAGAGTTGCAGAATTAATTGAAATTGGAATAGAATCATCAAGATCTGACTTTGTATGTGTTTCTCTTGATTTTTGGTGCAAAATATCTGATTATGAAAAGACTCTAAATGAAGAAAAATGTTTTTCTGAAAAATTTCACCTTGCAAAAGAGCAAATTTGTTCAGAATTCCATTTTACAAGAGAAATAAAAGATATAATTGTTCCTGATGTAGAGTGTTGTACAAAATTATATTGTAAACAGCTTATTCCAAAGATTTTGATCATTTTACAAAATTCTGTTTTATATGGGAACCAAAATGAAGAAGATTTGGATTGGAACGTATTCGAACATGCAGCAACACTTCTAAAGAAACTAATGTGGTGCTTTTCAAGTGAAATTTATGAGCAAATTAATGATTTTATTTTAGAATCAAGGAGAAATCCAAAATATTACTATTCAGTCATTCTTATATTATCAGCATTTAGTTCTTGTAAGGATGAATGTGCTCTAGAGTTAATAGAAAACAATTTACATTTAATTTTGGATTATTCTTCATTTGGAGTGGCCGAAATCTGCCAGATTGCATTGAAAATAGTCAAATCTGTATCAGAGTTTAGTGATTTATTCACAAACAATGATCAAATTCAAAAAACAATTGAAATTATTTTATCTTTGCAAAATTCACAGCCAATTGTTATTCAACAATGTATAGATTGCCTATCTACGATCGTTTCACGAGTATCAGACTTGTTTGCTGAGCAATTCATTAATTCTTTCGCAGAATCAATATTTAATTTTATTTCTTTCGTAATTTCAAGAGAGGATTGTCTAGAACACGATTTAGTACGAAAATCATATGAAATATTTGAAGAAATAATTAAGAAATGCCCTGAAAACATGCCAAATACGATTGAATCACTTTATTCATCAACTTTTGAACAATTGACTTGTACAATCAATGATTTAGCATATGAAGGAATTATTCCTTACTTTATTATTAATGAATGTCTTTTGCATCTGATTACTCAAATTTTTAGATCATTTCCAAACCAAATGAAGCCCCATGGGATAGAATTTATAGAATTTATCTCACAGTTCTTTAAAGATGCAAGTTCTCCATTGTTTAAAGCAGTTCTTGACACAATTTTAGCAATAATTCTATCAATAGGCTTAGAATGCCAAAAAGTAATGAATATTATTAATAACATGCTTTCACATGCATTGCAATCAAAGAGTCCTGAGATAACTCAACAAGGAATTTTATTATTAAAAATTATTACTCAAAATTTGCCTCCAGAATCATTTGATGACTCAGATAAAGTTGTCAAGGACCTGATTGATATAATAAGTGACTCTGAGATGGTTTTAATTGCTCCTTTATCGCTAAATGCAATTGCACAAATTATGTCGAATATTCCAGAGAAAATCACAGATGAAATGGTCGATATTCTGATCAATAAAACAATTGAAATGTGTAATATCGATTTGATACAAGATATCCATGAAATTGAGTTCAGAAGTGAAGCATTCTCTTCATTATGTACAATTGGATGCATACTGCTTTCAATTTCATCCCAAGAGAATGTTTCTGCTCGAACAAAAACAATTTTTGACCAATTTAAATTCTTTAAGAATTTCTATGACTATGATGTAAATTCTTTAAATTGCTTTTGTTTGTTAGTAAGAAAAACAATAAATGCGCTTGGAAAAAACGCTCAAAGATTAGTTACAAGAATTCCTGTTTTCATGTTCCTTATATTAGCTACAATGCATGAGGATGATGAATTGTGTAAAATTGCTCGGTCTCTGTTTGAAGAATGTACTAAAATATAATTTTGAAAAAATATCTTAATTTTTTTACATATATCTCTAGGGAAATTATTGTATACACAATGAGTATTAACTTTATTCCCAATATTATCATTATAATAGCCAATTCGATTTTCTTTGATTTTGTTTATACGAAATGTGAGTTACTAACAATTAATTATTATAGGCATGGCATATTATCACTATTTCACCAACTTTTACCAGTTAGAATTCGATTTCAAATCGTCTTCCAAAGAAAAATAAGCTCAAATTGCTGCGAAATCGTATCGTTTTGATACGACGGATGCATACAAATCTGGGATGTCGAAGAAAATATCTCACCGTTTATATTTTCAGTTTTTGAATACACTGGAACTTTTTCTTGTCAAATTGTGGCGTACTCAATTTTTATTTCCATAACCACGAATGTATGTACAATCTTGTTTTAGACCCTAATTTTTATGCGGTATAAAATTCTGTCAATTTGACGAAGATAAAATAATTCTGCTAATGCATTATGAACGATTCGTTGTGAAAAAATATAATATTTAAAATTGATTTTTGAATGGATAATAATCGTTCAACTGATTTTTCTTCATTTGGCGTAAATGTGCAAAGAAGTTGACGATGCCAATGGAAGCAATGATGAACTTCCGAAGATGAAGACAGAATTACCAGAGCCATATGATCCTTCAAATAAACCAGATGAAAACGACACATTAAGGACTCCGGCTCATTCTACAAATTTAGCAGAAAAATCAACCGCAGTTGCTCAAAGCAAAGGTAATCCAATCGAAGATCTTTCAGTTTCTTCATAATCTCTGCAAATTTTCTTTTATTCTATCATGTTATATAATATATAGGCTTTTGTTAGGCTTGAATGCTTTTAGGTCATCACCCAAAAATCTAAAAGTAAAAATTACAATTGTTGAACGGCTATTATTTTTTTATACAAATTTATCATATTATTTTTTTCCAGTTCACAGAAAACTATATTAGATATAATAATTATCTCATGAACATTTATGCTTTATGATAACATGACCATGGATTCTATCATAAACGTATATAAATTTGATGCAACATAGGAAGTTATATAATATTTATAGGAAAAAATGTTGACATAATCCAATATAAATCTTTATGTGTAACTATGATGGATGTAGCTATCTTATATCACTGGAAATTACTAAAGATATGATATCGAAAAAAGTGACAGATTTTAGTTTCTATTCTTAGTTATTTTCAATGGTTAATGGTTTATGGACAGGTATCTTCACTACTGAAAGTGATGTCCAACTTGAAATAGAAGCTAAACTCATTCCGAAACGCGGCAAAAATCATGCATTTGTGATTGATGGTGTTGCTCTTGCGGAATTCATTCTAAAAGTACGAAATCAATCGAATAATTGCGACTTGTGGAGTGGTGGAAACTATGATTTATACGCTTTGGAGATAATTCGCTTTTTCAAAGTGTTGAAATCCATAAATGCGAAGGCTGAAATAGTTTTACCATTATCCAGATTGATGGGTAACATCAACCAATTCGAAAATGATGCTTCAACTCAAGCTCAAAGGTATTCTTCGAAAAATATTTTCAAAATCAACGCAGATGACGCTAAAAACAATGATATTAGAGGAATTTACCCACACTTTATCTTCCAAGTTATCAAAGAAACTGCAAATAAACTTAGAATTCCATTAGTTTACACAAAATTTGACTTAAAACGCTATATTGCTAAGATTATTTCAATTGGTGATGCAGATGCATGCATTATAAGTGACTCAGAATACCTAATTTTCCCACAAATAAAAGCTATTCCGATTGATTCTTTTTATCATACAGAAAGCGGAGTTTTGATTTGTTCCTACTTTACAGATGATATGGTTGCACGTCATGTTGGCCTTGTAAATAGGCAAAAACTTGTTGAGCTTTCAATTATTATGGGAAATCACTTTACATCACCATTATGGAACGATAGATACAATATTTATACTCTTCTCCATACACAACCTGATCCTATTTATCCATCTATTCTCATGGTCGCTTCTGTTGAAAAAATCAATCAAGATTACCACTTTTTCATAGAAGAACTGTCACCATTCACCGAGATTATCAATGTAGATCCAGATCTCCGGACAGCCATTGACAAATCTCGTGCATATTTTGACATTTCAGATGATCTTCCCAGCGAAGGTGATTCTTTCTGCAGACACGAGTCCGAAAAAGGTCATTTACCACCCTGGGCCGCCATTGTCGACGAAGGAAATGATCTTTGGATCGATCCTTGTTATGATGATTACAATCATGACGTAAACGCGCTCAAAATCACTATTCCCTTCCGCGAAGCTTTTTGTTCCATCCTCAGCAGAGAGTCTGTCATCGAACATTTCGTCTACGGCGATGGTCCAAACACCAGATCAGTTAAATTAGACCAAAACATTCCCTCTTTGATCAAAGTCAAGAGTTTGGATGAACAACAAAGGTATGAACTCCTTTACCAAGTCATCCACAAGAACTTTCCTACTCTTCCTTTGCTTTTCGACGATCCGATCAATCAAATTGAAGAGCCAATGAGAACTTCAGCCTTGGCCATTCGTTTTCTTCTTTCCACTTGTTTTACTGACCATCAGACACAGTACACAAAGATTACTGATGAACAAATGGATCTACAGAAGAAATACAATATACAAGGTGCTCCTTGTTTGGACTTTTTCGAGTTCAAATCTTTAGTTGCGATGTCAATTTGTTGTGTCTTCCTTGATTTGTCAAATGTCGAAATTCCAAACATGAAAACATCGCTCAGGAAATCACATGTGTCCGCGTTATACCAGACAACTGTACAGCATGTGATATGGCTTCAACAGTTCTTTGATTTAAGGAGATCGATGATTGAACCTGAGAGATTTTGGAATGGAAGATTGTTTTCTTTGATTTACGAATCAAATGGAAAAATTTTGAACAAAATTTTTGGTTCTTTATTCGATAATAAGCTTCTTAAAACACTTGATGCAACAAGGATACAGCCACTGATTAAGATTATTATGTATCCATTCCCTGGCGAGTTGTTTGAAGCTTTTTCTGGATGTCCGAGATGTCTTCCAATTTCTTCTTTCCAATTTTCGAACAAAAAGAAAGAAGTCAACTGGAAAACAGGCGAATTCACGGAAGTCGAAGTCGAAGATACAAACAAGAGAAGACATATTCAAATGGCTCCTCTTCCTCCTCCTGTTTCGAGAAAGGAATCACCAAAGAAAAGACAAGAAATCGATGAAGATGAAGAAATCGCTTTCTTACAAGAAATGGCCAAAAAGAACAAAGGAGGGCCAAAGATCGTTGAGGCAAAGAAGACAAACACAAACAAGACAAAGGAAAATTCATTCAGAAAGAAATTGACACAAACAAGCCAATTGGAACTCATCAAGATGATGAACGAGTACATGGAGAAGAAAAAACTTCCGCCTGGTGTATTATGAAATATATAATTTTTTTATTGATATATTTTGTTGTGTATATTCATTAAAAGGAAATGTTAGTATATATATTTTTTGCAAATCAATAATGGAAATGGGTTTAATATGTGTGATATAATTATCTAATTCCGTGTCCAATGTTCAAGAATGTTTTTGACTTTAATTCAAATTTCTGACAACGGGGGCGAAGCATCATTGAAAATTAACCGTGAATGTCGGGTAATGTTGGCGTAAGTGCACTCTTAACAAACTGCGAGAAGTAATCTTTTATTACGTTCCAAGTTTTTGAAATGTATCTAATACTATAACAAACACCAAGAATTCGAGATAAGTTTGAAAATATTGAATTGACTAAATATATAAGAATTGATAATTTTAGTCTCAAATTTAATGGATCACTTTCAACATTCTGACACACGCACACATACTATCTCTCTCTCAAATATTTGGAAAAATGAACGCAATACTTAGACTTATCTGATAAAATATTATGAGATGACATGCCTATTCTTAATATTAAATTGAATAAGAAAAGATTGCTTCACATGTCAGAGTGTGTCAAAAAAAATAGAGTTGTAAAAAAATTAATGGTAATTCTTTACAATTATAATTATTTTATTTACATGTGATAAATCATTGTAGCTGATGGTGGAAATGTATCCTTATTATTTTTATCTTCTGTAAAACCATATTCTTTGATAGTTTGCAGTATTGTTTGAATGTTATAATCACCTCTAAACATAAAAGAATGTTCGTGAGCATAATATGGAAATACAAAATCGTACATGAATAGAGATACATCATCCCAACTATTGAATTTATAGATTTGATTCAACATGATTTTGCAATTCCTTTTAATATCAAGTATATGTTTAATTTCCGATTCTTTATATTTAATTGTAGGATCAGTTTTTGCTTTTATAAGCAGCATTTCAAAATAATCAAGCGAATTACAGTACGTACGCTCAAGTTTTGCGAGTAAAATTGTTTGATTATTACGAAGATCTTCACTTGATTGATTTTTATTCGAATTACCTAAAATGTTTTTGTCATCTTGAGATGCTTGACGGAGACTGATAATCTCCTGAAACTTTTGATCTCCTATTATATTCATTGGTATATTCTCTGTAAATATATGAATAATGTGATACAAAGGAATTTGAGAATAATTATTATTTTCTGTGATATTAGAAACTGCTAAAGATAATGATTCTGAATCATAACAATAGTTGAGGAAATCATTGAATAGAAGATATAAAGATGGATAGTATCTGTGATCATTATTGATGCAAAAGACGAGAAAAGTAATGAATGGATTTGGATGAGATTCATATCTTGAATTTTTTTCTATAATTTCAAATAATTCGTTGAAATCAAGTGAATAAGGTTTCAAAATTTCTTGATTTTCATATGCTTTAATGCATATATTTAATAGGCGGCCTCTATCTACGTCTGTTAAGTTGTTATACCTTTTGTTGAAGAAATAATCTGAAATTAATAAAATTGAATTAATAAATATGTCAATTACGGTTTTAAAATCATTACTTACGTGTAAGTCCTTGGTATCAATTGATTTGTAAGTAAAATCATTTATTTTCAAAATTTGATCTGATTTGAGTGGAATGCAAGCCCAATCTATCGCATGATTAATAAGTTTTGATTCTTTTTCTATTAGTTTGACAAATATGTTGAGATAAACGCTGAATGAGATTTTGTTATCAAAATTTCCGTTGTTAGGGAAAATAGCAATGCCTACTGGAAACGATTTTGCTACAAAATATGAAAATTCGCCGGCGTTACTTGAGTATTCAATTTTGTTTGTTTGATTTTTTATTTCTCGATTTAAAGTAATGCCACTATCTGTCAATGATTCAGTGGACATCATCACAAAGAGTTTTGGCTCTTGTTTGTCAGAGAAATTTCGAAATCTCCAATAAAATTGTTGAGCTTGACTCATAAAAAATCCTGAAAAAAAAATCCACCAGATTTCTCTGGAATTTTGAATTTTGCTTTGATACAATTATTCACAACTTTTAATAGCATTTTTCATGTTTATTTGTATGAATTATGAAATATGTTTGAATCTCAATCGCAAATCATTCGTTACAATTGAACGAGAAGAGCACACAGAGCATAATAGTGCATGTTTCAATCAGAAATATGACACTTATTTTTAATTTTAGAAATAGAACTTATAATGAGTATTCAATTTATTTAAATGGTATGTTTTTAGTAAGTATATGTTAACCTAATCTCATGTTAGATCATATTGCAAATTTATGAAATTCACAAAATTTGAGCGTCAATATTGAAATTTTGATTTAAAATCAGTGATAAAACCCAATTGTCAATTGATTTTCAGGAATGAAAGCGCTTAACACTTCATTTTTAATTTGTCATTTATTATGCATCAAGAAAAAAGAAGGCAACAACTTCAAATCTTCTTTGATGGAGCCACATGGAAACTTAACGAAAAGTCAGCAGATACAATTTTCAATTTAGTTCAATTATTTGAAGATTTTCCTGAACTCAACAAATTTGTTCAAGGATTTCTTTGCGAAAACTTCATTTCGGTGATTAGATCATACTTCCCAATGTTTATTTTCTTATGGATGACCGCTTCCTTCAACCAAGTTTTTAGTATTTGCTTAACAATTTTTATTTTTTACGTAATTTTCATATTCGCAATTCAAAAAGTTCCAAAGCGTGATATATCACCAAACTCAGAAGGACTTCATATGGCCCTCAGCTTCTATTTTACATATCGAAGAATTTATGCTTACATGAGTTGGGGTAAAGCCATTTTGATGACTCTAGTCTTACTTTTAGCATTCTTTGGTTTCCCTCCGATAATTACTGCCATATTAATTCCAACAGGTGTTTGTTCCATATTATTAGAGACAGAAACTAGTGTTGGAAGGATGCGTGTTATGATAATGTAAGCTTGTTGTTTGTTTATTTGTAGATCTATCCAAATATTAAAAAAAATTATATTATCTTTTTTATTTAATTCCCTTTTATATTCTTATTTTATCCTAAATGTGTATTTACTTCCTACCTGATTTGCTTGTAAAAGCGATAGAAGTTGCAACTATAACCATTAGAATTATTTCATTCAAAGAATAAATATAAATATATATTGAATATGATGAAATTACGCTCTGATATCCGTTCTCAATTGATAATTTCAATGCCTTATTTCGAAATCTTTCCATTTAGATAGTTATTTTGTTGAATTAAATGAAATATATGATTTGTTTCCATTTTCCAAATAATTTTTGAAGTTTGATTTGGGTATTTAAATATTTCAATTGGCATCATATTAATTAAGCAACTTTTTAATCTTGGTAATTATATAACGATTTTCTACGTAGCCTTTGTTTGAACATATCATTATGAAACAAGTTATTGTGTTTATGTGTAGAAATTTCCTGCTTACCTTTATAAAAATGATTCAAAAAAAATTGTTTATAGAATAAGTAAAACAATTAGATTTTTAGACAAAAGAAGTAACAAAAAAGTGGGATAATATCAGAAATAGTCACAAGCTTTATGAGAAAATTACAATTTCACCGGTTTTGGACGTGCAATTCTTTTAGCAACTGCACGAGGTTTAGCTTCGTATTGTTCTGTATTATCAGCTGATTTTCTTGGAGCCGCCTTCCTCTTTGGTGGCTCTTCTGGGATAGAAATAACTTTCTTGAAACCTGTAGAATGTCTTTTAGAAGTAATCTCTGTAGCAGCTGCTGCTCTTGACGAAGCGGAAGACTTTGGCTCCGGTTCATCTGTTGATTCCATTATTGAAGATCTTCTGACTGAATGTATGATTAAATCTTTCTGATCCTCGTTTGTTCTAATAAGGCGAGCATTACGAGCAAATTTGGCTGGCCGTAAGCGAACTCTTGTTGAAGATTTGCCTTGGATGATATTCGAAGATTGTTCGTAGTTAAGAAGCGCTGCGGATAAGTTATCTGTCTTCCTATAGCCAGTTGGGATACTAGAGCAACTGATATCAATGTCGAAAAAGTCGTCGACTCTTCTTAAAGAGATGTACTGGGAAGCATCTACATCATGGAGTTCAACCTGTTGGGTATCACTCAAGAATGGATGCTTAAGGGCTTGAGGAATTGTCAACCGCTTTTTATTATCTACGGTCATCAAACCTCTGATGAAATCTGTACACTGATAAGATAAATATGATGGTATTGTATATTCTCCGTGTCTAATTTGTTCGAAAAGTTGAGTTTGGTTTCTCTTTGTCCATGGAAGCTGTCCTGTAACCATTGCGTACAAAATAACGCCGGAAGACCATACGTCACTTGTAATTCCATCGTATGGCTTTCCACTGATGCACTCAGGGGAAGCATAGCATGGAGAACCACAAGGGGTTGATGCAAGACCTTTGGAGTCAAGGAAGCGAGAGAGACCAAAATCTGATACTTTAAGCTGACCGAACTTATCTAGTAAAATATTTTCTGGTTTCAAATCACGGTGAGTGACTCCCATGTGATGAATATAATCTAACGTTTTAAGAAGTTCTCTTATTTTCGGACGGGCTTCGTCCTCTTTCAGACGTCCATGATCTACAATATACTGGAATAGCTCTCCATTTGGACAGAATTCCATAATTACGTAATAATTTAATTTGTCCTTCAAAATGTCTATCATTCCGACAATACCTGGGTGGTGCATTTGCTGGTTAATTCTAATTTCAAGTTCAAACCTTTTTTCCAAGTGGTGTGTCGAAAGTCTAGATTTGGGAACTATTTTGCAAGCATAATATTGCTGTTTTTCTTCATTATACGCTAACTTTACCACAGAAAATGCTCCCTCACCTACTGTGCCACGTATGGTGTAAGGACCGATCTTCGTTGGCGCGACAACTTGGACGCCAGTGGAGGTCATTATTGTGAGCAAACCGATGCATAAAAATATAAACATCCTTTTTATTGCGAAATCATGGTTTTAATAATCTATATGATGTATAGATCATATTTAAATAATAAAAATAATCTCTTATAATCACCCATTCTCAAATAACAGAAATTAATAGAAGATTTCTGACATTTTACATGGCATAATAACGGCCGTTTATAATAAGCCAGACAACTTTTTAAGTGGTATAATATTGCTTGTTTTGTAAATATGAATTTTCACATTAAAAATGTAAAATTATTCTAAAGATATTTCGGAGATAAAGGTAACTAAACTCCTTTCGCCGATCCGATTTGCTCCATATTTAAAATATAGCTTGCATATGTAGAAGAAAAGCTAATTTTGAAGTACGCCCGAAATCCACCAACAGGATTTCGAGCTACTAAAAAGGTACTTTTAAATGTGATTTTTTTTATAAAAAATTAAATTTATTTTAAGATCAGACTAAAAACTAATTTTATGGAAAATCTATATCGACAAATTTATTACTTATTGGGTATATAGATTTTTTGATTATGGCGATTATGTCTGATATGCTTCCAATAAGCCAAAACACATTTCATACTGATTTCTATAAAAGGTATCTTTATTATAGAAGTGTAAGCTATATCTGTTTGTTTTTTTATTATAACAAATTCAAAATTCTCTTATAAGGATTAGATGAAATCTGTATTATTAAATCATTAGCTAAATGAAGGTTCAAATAGAAAGTAAATATCAATTTATATGATACTGAAACCAAATAGTTCTTTTAATAAAAGATAACACGCTGAAAATTATTGAGTATTTGCAAATCTCAAAAATCTATTGGTGAATTTGGCTCAACTTTTAAAATTATAACATCCATATCAAATCATAAAAGCAGACAAAAATTAAAGCCAAACCTATCGGCCAATTTTTTTTGATATTTTGATTTTTGAGGTATACTTTTAAAAGTGGATTTAAAGCACTTATGAAAAAACATTAACTTCTGTCGTTATGATTATTGATTTAGACAATAATGATTTTAATCTTTGATTATCAAAACACTAAAGTCATCTTTTTAACATTTGCTTGGTAGCATTAACTCAAGTCTAAAGTACTATTTTATGTGGCACTCTTAGAATTTTTGTATTCATTGTACACGCTGAAATAGTACCATTAAAGTTATGGCGGACTTTCAAAAAATAGTTTGGTCACCTTTTCGGAGATCGTCGGGATTGACACATTAATCAAAAAAATGTGAAAATCTATCATAAATATTCAATTCAATATTGAATCACTGACGATTTTGGTTTTCTGGATTAAAATTGATGAATCGATATTTAGCATATCCGCTGAATCATAAAATAAAAGGCACTCTGGAATCAACTGTGCAATGTTTGTATAAATGAAATATCAATCAGTTGGATTAGATCTTGATTTATATCAGTTTTCTTCAATTGCCTTGATTGGAACCTGATCATTGAGTTAATTTTGGTCAAAATGTTAATGAAATAATGGAAATGACTATATCATCACTTCCTTTTGCAAATCCCTCAAATCTAGGACGAAAGATTTCTATTAACTCTATGGAATGGAATCACTAAGTCACATTTAGTAAGTTGAAGAATATTGCTTCGTGTTTTTTATAACAAATAGAAACTCGGTCATTTTTGTACTTTTATCCTATGTTGCAATTCATAGAGCTGTTTACCCATATTCAACGATTATATGAAAAAGTGCAAAATATTAATCAGAAGATCACCAAAATGAGTAATTTCGTCAAGAGGTAGTAGCTCAACGAAAGAGCATGGGATTGCAGTTCCCCGGGTTGTTGGTTCGAATCCAGCTTGCCCCTTTGATATTTTTGAAGTTTTTTTTTGTTAATGAATTTCCTAACAAGGCATATTTTCTTTCTATTTCTTTTCTAAACAATTAATTGATAAAATTAAGCATAAAAACAATCAAAACACAAAGTTCTCCAAGTCGAAGTAATGAATCCTTATGATATCCATTGTTCTTACTTGTATTTATAGATATCATATTTGATGTAGGAGTTTCAACCAAAGTTGATGATCTCATATCTTAAGTCGAAGACAAAGAAAGTATTCACCAATCAGCAGCACTTGATCTTTGCAGACAAGTAACTTGGAGATAATCATTTATACGCATTTTTTACACCCAATGTATAACCATAATAAATGAATGAACTCTAAGTTATAGTATGTATAGGGTGTCCAAAGGTGCGTTTAGCACAGCGCTCTATATGAGACTATTAAAGGAGATATATGCTGATTATAAATATATAATAAAAAATATGAATATATGTATATGATGAGTATGTTGTATTTTGGCGCCATGCCGGAATATAAAATGAATTTTGAGACAAGAGGCGGTTTCGCGGGAAATTTTGGCGGGATTTTTTTCATTTTTTTAATGAATCATAAAGAAAACATCCTCGCTCTTGCAAAAAAAATGCAAAGACTGTAAAAAAATCTACGAGACATTGGTAAAATGCTTCGGTATGGATGCTCCTAGCTATTCCACTGTAACGTATCATGTTAGGATGTATCACTTCATGAACAAAAAGGCGCCCATCATAAAAATTGACAAAAAATCGCCGGATCAAAGAAAAATCAAAGCAATTCTTCAAGCGCTAGATGAAGACCCAAGAGCATCACTCAGAAGGATAGAGGAGATGACAAAGATACCACGTACAACAGTCAGTTATTATCTGCACAATTATTTAAACTACAAACTAGCGTATACACGTTGGGTTCCGCACAACCTTAATTCAGTTCAAAAAAAATCTAGAGTCCAATCTTCGAAAGAGCTCCTCTATATTGGGTGCGTATCAATCCAAGAAGTTTCGCTTTTTAGTAACAGGGGACGAGTCTTGGTTTCAATATGCAACAGAAGCCAAAATCATGTGGATCCCGAAGGATGAAAATCCGCAAACATTCCCGAAGAAAAAAATTGACACACCAATGATGATGTTGTCGGTTTTTTGGGGCGTGAATGGCATCATCGCAATTGATATTCTTCAAAAACCTAATACGATGAATGCTCAGTATCTAATTGACAATGTTCATACTCAAATTATCAATTCTGATGAGTTTGAGAAATCCAAACAACAAAAACAAAAGTTTGCAATTCATTTTGATAATTCAAGAGTTCACAAAAGCCATAAGGTAATGAATTACTTGGTGGAAAACAATGTCAAAGTTGTTCCAAACCCAATTTATTCACCTGATATTGCACCCTCTGACTTTTATTTATTCGGCACGCTAAAAAAGAGAGCTGAAGGACGCGAATTCGCGAGTCCAGATGATCTTGAAAATTTTGTAAGAGAGCAATTTGAGCAATTTTCTCATGATGATTTAAAGCGTGTCTTTCAAGCCTGGATCGATCGCTGCGAACGCGTGATTGAATCCAATGGTGATTATATTTAAATAAACTTTATATATATGTAACTTGTTTATTTCTATTCGCAGTATTCAGGTTTGTGCTAAACACACCTTTGGACACCCTATATTATAATAAAAATTAATAATAAAAAATAAATTTTTACATGTATGCGATATCAAGAACTTTCTTACAAATGTCATCCACAACATTGAGAGGCTGACCATATCTTTGTGCCAAATCACTTCTTTCCTTTTCCGGCAATTTCAAGAAAAGAATTGCCAAATCCAAGTTAAACATTGTCTGGCAAGGCAATCCGAAGTTGTTTCTCATCACAATTCTGTGAACTTCAGCAGAAAACTGTCCTAAACTCTCAACATTGTTGCACAAGAAAGTAAACAGAGGTTCTGTGTCTGCAGGCAATTCTATAACTCCAATTAATTGTCCTTCAGAAGTTCCTATGACAACCAAGCCATTATCAGCGATTGCAATCGATGTTGCAGGAGAGCACAATGCGTATGACGAGTCAATGACCAATTCATTGACTGTCGTGTTGTGGAATTCGCTGTATTTGAAGACATATAATGATCCGCAATCATCAATTCCAAAAATCATTCCGTTTTTAATTAAAACGTTGACAATTGACATTGCCAGTGAATTCCTTGCTTTCTCTTCGAATCTCTCTGATGCTCTGTTATATTTAATCAAAGAAACACTCTGTAGATCATCACCAACAACGATATAATCATTTTCAGCCGAAATGCAACAAGATGCGCCCAAAGTTTGGTAAGTTGCAGCTGGTTTCAGCTTGATTTCGGAAAGAGAAACAGGAGCAATCTCAAAGATCTGTATCATATCGGAATATGCTACTAAATATGAATCACAAAAAGTGACAATATTATAAGGAACATTTTGTAAATTGAAATCAGATCTTGGCTCTAGAATTCCATGGATAATCTCGTATAGTTTGAGTTTCTTAGAGAAAGCAGCTGCTAACAAGTAATGGTTCTCGTATTCCAAGACACTCATTGCAACAAATTTTTGGTCGTCACTTTTTTCTGAAATTCTTGTTTCAGAAGGAATAAATGGATGTTTTGAAACGCAAAATTCTCCGGAATTCAAGTAAAGAACGAATTCCCCTGTAGGCAGTCTAACACAGGACTTGATTTCCTCTGCAACTAACTCGGACCTGACTTCCGGTTCTGTGTTGCCGATCAAATAAATTGAGAGCAAACCGTTTGACACAATTACAGCTGTGTTGTTGAAAAGTGACGCTTGGTTGAATCCAGAACACGCCAAAGTCCACATTGCGCCTCCTACGAACATCACTGGGTTCTCACCTGTTATGCAGTAACCGCGCGGTGTCGGGCAGACTCCTGTGTGAAGTCCTGCGCATTGAACTCTTTTTTCTGTCAAATTTTGGTCCAAAAAAATGACATCATCTCTTTCGAGGACAATTACTAAAACATTCGAGTCGAAGAAGGCCGCAACAGCTGAAATGTCATTGATCTCTTTGATGGCGTTGCCTTGGCGATCAAATATTCCAACACTACGCTTAGACCATGAAACAAAACATAGTTTTTCGCCGTCTGAATCAACAGATGAGAAATCAACATTAGAAACATGTTGTGTTAATAGTTCGTGGCCATTCTCGTATAAAACAACTTTATCGTCAAAAGTGACAGTTGTAAATTTTCCGTTAATTGAGGCGTGAACAACTTTTTTAGGGAATTTTGTTGTTTTTCCGAAAAATGACATTGAATCTTCGCAGATTTGGATGTAGCCTTGTTCTGTTGATGCAAAAGCGATGGTCTTGCCTTCGAGAAGTGGTTCTGAGTCTAAAATGGAGACTTTGTCGTCATCAATTGACAATGCAACTGTTTTTCCAGCGAATGAAGTGACGAAACGCCTCTCATTAATCATCCAAACGCCTTCACAGCCTGGAAATGGCATTTGGGCAACCTCTTCCAGCTGAATTTCGCGAGTTAGATGAGCTGCGTATCTTCCTGTGCAAAGGCAGTCAACTTGGGAGCTGCCAACAGGTATGATCTGTCTGATAGCACCTGGTGATTCGAATAATGGCTCGATCTGGGGCTTCTGTGGAAATTCATCATTATTTATATGGATCATCGATGTTAAACCATTCGCGCCGATCGCAATTGCACTTGTATCATTGTAGCGGATAAGAGCAGCAGGGTTGTTGATCTGTCCAACGGCTGCAGCTTCAATTGTCCCTGAATCTAAAATTGTAATGAGAATTATTTGGCCGGAAGCGTCAATTGCCACGTATAATGAGTCACGTAATTTGCAGAGCGATTGCATCATGTGCATCGTAAAAACAGTTGATGAATTTTGAGTTGGAGATGTAGTGATAATAAAGTGTATTTTACGAGCTACGTTTGTAGAGAATGCAACTACTGTTGTTTCGTTGAGAACTGTAAGCATATAAGCATCGCTTTCGAGCATTATCGAAAAGTTTGTCTTTGGAACGAAAATTTGCATTGCTTCGTCTGATTCGAATACCTGTATTTTAGTTGGACCCTTGAAATCTTCAAATAAAACAACTAATTGTGCACAAATGTCGTCAACACACATTATTTGAAAATCGATGATTGATTTACAGCAAACTGGACAGTTAAATGAAGCAACAAGGCGAGAATATGCTGAAATACGATAATATTGAATTGATGTTTGACAAGTTTGGACAAATAAAGCTTTTGGACTGACAGCAACGCGAAATGGTGGGTCAATTTCAACACCAACTGAAGATTTCATATTTCCTGATTGTACGGTTGTAATTTCGCCGTTTGTATAACGAAGAATTGAAAAACGGTAATCTGATAAAATGACTAACAGGTTTGTTTGAGTATCCTGTGGATGTCTGAGAGGGATGACGCGTGCAACATCACCGAATATTTGAAATTCTGTGTATAATTTTCTTTGGTTTGGAAGTATTTTGTAAAATTGAATGAAGCTTCCGTGCGCAATAACAAGAGTTTCGCATTCTGGGAAGAAACCATTCAACAATGCCCCATCGGTGTTTGTTGTTGGCTGGCAAAGAGAGATAACACCGTAAGGCATTGTCACTTTTTTAAATTAAATTAAAATCTTTTGCTTTGCTGAATTTTGAGCACATATAAGAAAGAAATCAATATGTTTTCTTTCATACAAAGCATTATTTTCACAAGATAATTTATCATCTCACTCAAATTCTAATAATTCATATGTTTTAGTTAATATCCTGAAAAATATCATAAAAATATTTGAGAAACTTCATTCATTATGTCATTACTTAAACTATATATGCATTAGCTTTTATTTTATTCCTATAATAATAGTAGAATTCTTTTAAATATCAAAATACATAATCATATTCTTATATTGTTGCTTAATATCAAGTGAAGTAACTTATCTAAGATCAGATTGTATATGTTTTCAGTCAAATTTATATGTTTTCTGTATTTCAAGATGAGATATTTCATTTGCTTTTGTTGATCGATCATTTCGAATTTCATAAGAACGCTCTATTCACAAACTCATAGAAAATCATATTTAGGATTGTGAAATAAGGGGTTTTCCTTTCAGATAAAAAATTGGTATTTTCCATTGATATTTAAATAAATACTTCGATAATTTTATTAAGCATAATTTATTTCATTTTACTTTCGATTGTTTGGGATAGCCAAGTAAATGATTCTTTAATGTTAGTTCCCTGAAGAGCTGATGTAGGCATGATTGTCCACGGTCTATCTTTAATTTCAGACAATGTTAATTTAGAAGTGATTTCGTCGACATTCATTGATCCGGAGATATCTTGCTTATTTGCGATAATTAAAAGGGGAACACCTCTCAATTCATCTTCCATTAATAACGCTTGAAGTTCGTCACGGCATAAATCAATACGTGCACGATCTGCTGAATCGATAACGAAAACGATACCATGCGAATCTCTGTAATAAAGTCTCCAGAAAGGTCTGAGTTGGTGTTGACCACCAAGATCCCAAATCTGAAGCTTAAGATTTCCGACTTCTACCTTTTCTAAATTAAAGGCAACTGTTGGTTGAACTTGTTGTACGTAATTTCCTAATTTTAAGTGATATAAAATTGTGGTTTTACCTGCAGCATCAAGACCGAGGATCAAAATACGAACATCTGGCTTGCCTTGAAATAAGGATAAGACACTCGAAATGATGCCTCCCATTTTTGCTGCACTTTTTTTTGTAAAATAACCGTTCAAACAATTTTATAAATTTCTGAACTAAAGAATAGTATATCCGGAAAAATTATCAAATATTACGTAATTTTGCTCTAATAATTCAGAAAGATGAAAGTGACTAAAAGAAATACATTTTCATCACAATTTTGACTTATAAGAGCAGTCTTATAGCCTATAACTGAACAAATATATCTGTATCTGTACGAAAAAGAACTTATTAGCATATAAACATCCATTTTGAAAGGTTTTTTTGAAACATTTTTAATTCTTTTGTGTGAAATATAGACACAAGAAGACATTTATATAAAAAATCAATGCTGTATACTATAACATACAAGAAATATTTAATAACGTAAAATAACATAATAAAAAAAGCTCTATTAAAAACAAATTTGCGAAAAAATGTAAATTACTGTTGGCCAAAAGCGGAAATCAAATCATAGGATTGGTCAAAGTACACTTGGTCCTTCTTTTGATTCAGAAAAGATAAATTAATCAAAGGAATTGCTCGAAGGTACTGTTTTTCAACAGTTTCTGGTACCTGTTCGAATAATGTATTATCATCAATCTCCAATAGTTGGCCTTGGCCGATTCTACTAATTCTGTTTGAAAATTCAGGATGATTACATTGTTTTAAGCCTGTATTGTAAATTCTGATAGCATTCTCTTTATCATTCTTTTTCTCAAAGATAAATCCGAGATTTAGCCATGCAACTCGTCCATTTTGTTTCATATAAATCGAGCGTTGAAAAGCAATCGCTGCTTCATCTAATTGTTCATTCTGATAGTACAAGAGGCCAATGGCAACCCAAAATGTTGCATTTTCACCCCAATAATCCATACAGACTTTGAAATATTCGTAACTTTCAACGTATTGGCCTAATAAATAGTAAATTCTAGCCAAAAGGAGGCTGATATAGTAGTCTGGATAATTTCTATAGTAATTAAGTATTGTTGGTAATAATTCATTCAATCCAATTGTATTTGAAATTAAAAATTGTAAAATAAGGCTTTCGCGGATTAATAATTCGTTCTTTGGATATACAGCAAGTAAGTTATTGACCATTTTCAGGGAATCATCTGTTTTTAGGCTTTGATAAGAAGTGAATGCGATTTGTAGTGTTATATCTTCAACGGTAAGCTTTTCTGGAGGGTTATTTGCAAGTGAACTGAAGAGTTTAAACGCTAAATCATAATTCTTAAGTTGGCGGTTTAAAATTGCAAATCTCATTGTAAAATCTTTATTTTTTGCATCGCTGAATTCTTTAGTGTTAACTTTGAGGAAGCAATCTAAAGCTTCATGGTATCCCGTAAAGTGTTGATGTAAAGCCCCAAATAAGTACCAATCCTCGGATGTAAAGACTTGTTGGTTATATCGAAAGGCAGATAAATAAGATGCATATGCGTTAGGAAAATCGCCTAGTATGTAATAACACTTTCCTATTTCGAGTAGCTTTTCCGCGTTTGGTTGATTTTTAATTTGATCGATTAATTCCGTTATTCTTGAGTTTACCAAGCAAATTAGTTTGGTATGATCGTCCTCACCTTCAATTTTAACATTTGATGGTAAATATGCAACTATACGACTCGATGCTATTGACATTTCTTCATTGGCATTCATTAGTTGGCATAATTCTTTTGCTGATGTGAAAGCGTTCTCTAAGGTAGCTCCAATATTGCCGAAAAGAGGTGTTGTAGAAATCGGTGAAACAGTAGAATTCATAAAAAACTTATTTTATCGGTATAAAAAAAATTGAATGTTTTACAGTTCGATACATAAGTCCTATTTTATTGAAACAATCGATTTTATTGCAATAGGAAGATGCATTTATGCTAGATTTGGCGCGTTTTCTCAAGTTTCAAAATTTTGCTTTCTTACAAAATCAATAAATATACTAAAACTAGTTATATTAGGCAATAATATGAGAAATCTACTTGAAATTTGAGATCAGAAAAAATTGATTGTTCTTTCACTAGTGGGATCAGCACGAACCGAAGTGATATGTGAAATTAGCATAGGCAGTACTTTGTAATAGCAAAAGAATAACAATTTCCACAAATTGGCCTTACATTTTTATGTAAAAAAATCACAAACTCTATAATTTTGAAAATGGGTTAATGTTCTTTAAATTTGATTTCCTTATTGATTGTGTGTAAAATTTTGTAAAAATGTAAACCGTTTATGTGCCTTCATCGTTTTTTATGAGGGTAATCCAATAAATATGATTAGCGAATATAGATCTATAAAAAAGTCGATAGGGTAGTTTATTTTTGATGTTAGATTCGTTTACATTCATCTTTGTGTCACTTTTATTGTAAATTGTCATAATGTGACCGAATGAATCCTATCAGGGCAGTTAATTATCTCTAAAAATCCATGCATATGGCCAATACGTATGATACTTTAAAATTTAATGGTTTATTTACTAATTTTATGACCAACTCATTGAATTTTCGCAAATTCATTATTTATCTGAGACATCATTATGAAAGAATACCATTTGTGAAAATGTAACGTGTCAATTCCATATCAAAATAGATATTTTGATCGAATAGCTAATAATCTTTTTATGATTCAATCCACTAACAATATTTATTCTTCTTCATGAAGTGGAATAGTATGCGTACTGAAATTTTAATTATTTAAGTATTTGTTCCTCAAAATTCTGAAGTATTAAACGAATTTGAATTCATTTCTGGAAATAATAGGTAAATATAAAAGAATTGACGGTACAAAAAGCATTAATCTAATTGCCAGATAACATAGTTTGCAATATTTTTGGTCCAATTTGATTATTTTTAGGAATACAGTAAACAAATCTTATAAAAATTACTTAATCATTTGATAAAAATGCTATTTGATTGAATAAGACTTGTTTGGTATTGTTCATTATGTTATATATCTCATGTTTAGCAAAATCCATAAAAGTGACAGTTGAGATGAACGTTTCGAATAAAATTTCTTCATCAATATCAACGGCATATATATTTATTTCAGCAGAAAATTCAAACGAAAAACCTGTTAGACTTCGTCTTCCGAATGATTTTGATCGCTTAAAGCAAAAAGCTCAAATCGCGTTGAAATTAAATGAAGAAATAACATATTTTCAAAGAAAAACAGGAGAAATGGTTATGTCTATTGCAGAAATTATGCCTGGTGATAATCTTATTGCTTCAACTCAACAGCCTCCAGAAATTGTTGACCTTTCATCAGATGAACTTAAATTTGATGAGTTAAACGACAAGTCTGTTGAAGAAGAGGACTTTGAGGAAGATGTTTTCGAGAATAATTCGATAAATGAAGAAGATTCAAAAGAAAATTCAGAAATAATAAACGAATCAAATGTCGATGACAAGCCTACGCAATCATTTACTGAAAATTCTCTTCCAGAACAAAATGTAGCGGAAGAGGAAGAGGAAAAATTCGATGAAGAAGAAGAAAAGTTTAATTTTGAAGAAAGAGAAGAAGATTATCCTTCATCAAACTTCATTTCCACTCAAAATGATCAATTATCAATCAGAAGTCGATCATCTGTATCTCAAACCTCAAATTTATCTCAAATTACCGAAAAAACACTTCTTGGACCAGCATTTTCGAATCCAGTATCTAAGACATTTACAATGCAAGCTCTTGATTCAAGAGTTAAACAAGTAATTCAAGACTGTGAAAAAGCAATTTTAAATGGACAGAGAAAGTTCTTCAAATCCGCATTAAAACTACTTCCAGGATCCTCCATACTACAGAAGAGATCATCAATCACACTTTTACCACAAATGGAAGAAAGAATTTCGAGTTATATCGATAAACACAGAATTCTCTTCGAAGGAGCTACCTGCTACTCATTTAAGACCATCATCGGTGGTCCAAACAAATCCGGTAAAAGTTTGCTCATTTCTTTACTTCTTGAGCAAATAATCGCAGATATGGTCACAAGTAAAGTTGCTCAAGACAATTTTGTATTTGTAGTCGATGGAGTTAATTTAGCCGCTTATGCTACAAGTTTAGAGACTTTTATGACGAATTACATTGAAATGGCATTTAATCAGATATCTCTGCAGAGAACAGGATTTTCCAAATACTGTAAGTCTGTGATTAATTATTTTGCATCATTGTTCTGCATGCCAGATGAAAATCTCCCACAACTCCCTCATCTTTTCATGAAAGATGAATATTTCAAAACAGCAGCGAAGAAATTGTATAGTTTGGCACTTAGAATACACGAGATATCTTTTACTAATGGAGATGTTGATGACTGGCAGACAACTCTGATGATGTTCCCTTCTTTAGCTGCAGAATGTTTCGGATTCAAAAATTGTCACTTTTTCATCGATAATATCGAGACTTTAAGTGTTACGGCCAAAACTGTTACAAATGACAAAGAAATGTCATTAGATATACTATTTTCATTAAAAGAAGTCTTGAATACTCACAGTTATGTTATTTGTGGAAATAGCAGCGCTACAGCTTTAGCTTTGCTTTCTGGAACTGATGGAGTTGATTTAATTGGAAAGAGTGATATGCTTTCAACACTTGGATTCTCTGGAAGCTTCTACGGATCAAATCAAGAATTTAATATCAAATTTGTCAATGAAAAGAGAACATTGAGATTGACAAGTAATCATTGCTGCGGATGTCCAGCATTTATTGCCAAATGGGAAGAGATTTGGTTCGCAATGAACGAAGATGACGAAGATTTCAGTGAAACTAAGAGTAGGATGTCTGAATTGCTTCATCTCATCTTTAGAGAAGGAACAATCATTGATAACGAGATTGAGTCAGTTAAACCTGTTTCAGTTGTTGCTTGAATTTAATATTATATTGTTTTGTATAAACTCTTATTTGTTATATGATATACATCTTATTTTTATGCTTTTCCTTTCACTCTTGAATCCAAAAAAATCTTCAATTTAAGAAAAATGAGAATCAAATCTTTTAAATTTTTTCTCATTTTTTGATTTTCAAAATAAATTTGGAAAATTTTACATGATTTTCAGACAAAATTATAACGAAGAAGATATTGTACAATAGATACATAATTAAATTCCCTCATCAATTGAGGCAAAGGAAAGAATTTCACATTTATATTTTTTATTATTTAGATATTGACACTCTTAAAAGAAAACATAAAAATATATTAGTATATTATACGATAGTTTTTAGCTGATATTAATATCTAAAATATTAAAGTGGAGTTTCAGATGTAAATTTTGCAATGAAAGTATGGAAGTGGTTGTAAAGTTCATCAACATTGGAAACATGAGGGAAGAATCCTCCTTTTTCAATCTTAATAACTGTAGCGTTCGGAATTGCATGATTTGGACGATCATTGCTATCTAACTTGTAAGCGAAATCAGTAGGCTGAATAATAAGGAAATTATCGCCATTTTCTGGAATTGGAGCCTTTAAGTGAGATTTACGACATTTAATTCTTCCTTTAATAACATCGGAAGGAACTGTATCGAGCTGGCTAATAACAAAGTCAAGAGCTAGCTTTAAATGCGGTGGAATTGCTTTTGGAGATAATTCGACAATAAGATCGCTTTTGCTGCCTTGTGAGAAGAAGGATAGATTCTTCTTGTATTTTGTAGAGTTAATGTAGCTGGATACAAGGGTAAATGAAAGAATTTCACAGCTAAGGAATTTTGAATTCTTCAAAAACAGCGAAATGAAGCCTCCAAAGTCAACACCGATGATGTGAGCAGAAAATACCTTCAACGATGCAGTAATAGTATCAAAACCAACAAGTAATTCATTAATATTGTCATATGCTGGGATAGAGAGAATTAATACTCTGTAACCATCTTCAAACAACTTTGTAGCAAGCTTATATGAAGTATTTGTGTTTTCGTAGATACCAGGCAAAATAATTACTGTTCCTACAGAATTTTCAGCGATTGAAAGCCTGTATTCCCAACATTTGTTGTTAATAGTATCAACGAATGTTGTAAGAGGTGCTTTCACAGAAAAATTGACGAATTCTTCTGATGAAACACTATACTCTTCTTTACTCATATCCAAATAAAAGTGACAAAATATGATACCTTTAAATATCTTAGTTTTACAGCTTCGTGCGAACAGTTTACTCTCTTCATCACCGATGTTTATGAAGACTGAAAACATTTTCATGAAAAATAGCTATTTTAATAAATTTTCTTCAAATATAATTTATGCAAACTCTTATTTCAATAAATTAAATATCGTATCATCAAAGTTTTCTAATGGACTCAGTGCACCCATCAAAATTTCGTCAGAAAATTACGAGAATAAACTTTATTTTCAACAATTATTAATCGAAACAGGAACTGAGCATCTTATTAAGGATTGCTACTTCTATAAAATCATCTCCCCATTCGAATCTGCTCTTATGATTTCAATAGAAACTTCACAAAATATTTCTCTAATGCATTCTACGTTTTATGAGTGCAGTTCTGTTAAAGCACCAGGTTCAATATCATTAGATTCTAAAACAAATGCATACATCACTAATGTCTGCATTCAAAAATCTCAAACAAGTGTTGAAGATGTTCCAATTTTCCTTTTAAGACCAGGATTTTCGTATGCTGCAGATCAAGTATCAATTTCAGATAGTATCTGCAATGGATCAATGATTAATTTTGAATCAAACAGCCAGAATAATAAAAAATTCAAGAATTTAAACGTTTCTCACTGCAATTCACACGTTACAATTTATTCATTATATACAGGCGAAGATCTTCAGAATGGAATTTTCGTGAATAACAATGTAACTGACTTTTTACTTTCATTTATTTATGATTTTAAGATGAATTCAATTTTTGTTACAGGAAACAGTGCAAAAGATATACTTAGTTCAGTACACAATCATTTGACATCTCAAACAGTGTTTTTTCGAAAAATATTTTCAGTCATAAATTTATTATCCATTCAGGACCCGGAATTGGCAGCTTCACTAACTGTCAGTTTGATTTTGATCAAGATAAGCTTGAGGATAATCAAATATCTTCTTGCCAATTCAATGTTTCCGAATTTAATACTCCAAATTTCAAATTTGATGAATGCCATTACATTCCACTTCCAACACAGACACCATCACCAACATCGACACCATCCCAATCATTGCCTCCACCAACACCAACAGAACCACCTCCAATTATCATCGGAAGAGACGTTTTTACATTGAGTACGAAGATCGTTATCGGTATTACAGCACTTCTTGTTGTTGCTGCCATCATTTTCTTGATTTTCAGAAGACTTTGCAAACGAAATCATGGCGAAGTTCAAGATAATAATTATTTGGCTGACGATTTGAACACCAAAGATGTTATTATTCCAGAACCTTAAAGAAATTATATGTTTAATAAACTTCTTTTATATAAAATATTATTTACCAAATTTTTTATTGCAGTATGGGGTGAACGGATTGCTCTACCTGATTCTTACAGGTACATAAATACATCCCACTTAAATCATCTGAACAAAATACATTAAAACAGAGATTGATGACAAAATAAGATAATAAATATAAAAAAGAAATAGCAGATTATGTTGGAAAATTTATTATCAAGGTTTTTATCACAATAAATCGATTTTAATTCTTTACATTTTGAAAGAATTAATTATTGCATTTCAGTTATATAAAATATTGAATCCCTGACTAAATATTTTTGTTCTAAAAGTCATGTGCTATATTATTCCCATAGCCGACTCAGATTATTTTGAATTCTATCAATTGTTGCGTGGGCGCGTAAAGGGTTGGCGTCCTAAGGCGTCCTGATGTAAACTATTCAATTTTTGAGAAGTTTACACCATAATTGAATAGTTTATGGCGTCCTGAGAGGAGATTTCAATGGGTATGGCGTCCTAAAAAAATAGAAGAAAATGATTTTTTCTCGATTTTTCTAGAAATTGAATTTTTTAAAAAAGAAAAAAATCAAAACGTATACATTCAAGAAAGACTATAAATGAAGATTTTTCTATTTTTTTTCATTCTAAAACATCTTTTTTTGGATAATTTTTTTTAAATAAATATGTAAGAAAGATTGAAGAAAAAGTAAATTTACTTTCAGAAAATTCGTTTTACATGATGTAAGACCCATAACAACTATAAATATTCAATTATTTAAAATAAAAAAAGAAAAACAGATTAAATGTATCTCACATCAAAATCCATTGACCTAAGGATGTTAAGTTTCTGTTTTTAAAAGTTGATATTTTTTTTTTAATTTTAAGAAAATTAATAGCATGTTATTAGACAATAGGAGTGTAATGATATTGACTAAACAGAAATGAGAGAATAGAGATATAATTTTGATAAGCAATATTGCAAACAAATTCTGAAGTAAAATCGCGATCAATAATTGAAAATTACGATCATGTACTGAAAAATGACGATCGAATTGAATGAATAGAATTATATCTAAGAAAAAATAAATTGTATTTAGAAGATGAACAAAGAAAGGTGTATGCTAAAAATCATTTAACAATAAATGGAAATAAAACGAAATTGTGAAAAGAAAAAAATGAAAATTGTTAAATAATATATTATTTTTTAGTCATAAGAATAAAAATATAGTAGTTATAAAAGGAATTAGACTTCATATATCAATTCTTTTTCTCTGTAGATGTGGAACGTTTGCTTTTCGATCTCTTTCGATGAACTTGAAAATATAAGTTATTATCGCTGAGAATCCTTTGAGATTGGGACAAAGTTGCAATTCGGCACTTTTTGTAAAAAAAATGGGGTCATACTCATAATGAATAGAGACTTATAGCCAAGTCTTGATATCATGCAGGGAGAATATACATAGATAAGCAATTATATTTTATAGTAGTAGTATTCAGAAATTCTTACAATTTACAATACAATTTTCAAAAATGGATAAAGACTAATAGCCAAGTCTTGATATCATGCAGGGAGAATATACATAGATAAGCAATTATATTTTATAGTAGTAGTATTCAGAAATTCTTACAATTTACAATACAATTTTCAAAAATGGATAAAGACTTATAGCCAAGTCTTGATATCATGCAGGGAGACTCTCTACAAATACAAAAATTGATTATCATAAGGAAATACAAATTTATCAATTTTCATGTGAAAATTACATAAATTTGTTCTCCAATAAATAGCAATAATACTTTGAATGTTATATTAAGTAATATAGCTTCAGGTAAATAAGCTTACACTTCAAAAATATACTGTTTATTCATTAATTTTAAAAAAAGTCCAAATTATCTAATCTTGCTTACTCTTCCTTTAAACTTCTTTGTGCCAAATTTAATATTGCCTTCAAAGATAGAATAAGGACATTAGGTTCAATCCTTCGGCTTTCGACAATTTCCAAAATGTGTTGAATTAATTTCAAACATTCATCGTGTTTTGAAGCTCTTTGCTCAACAATCTGATTACCTGCCCTTGTAAGAATTCTTACTGCTCTATCTTCATTCAAAACATTAGCGACTTGAACCTTAATAATCGCATTTGGAATCACAACAGTGATGAGAGTTATGACGATATAAAAAAATATTTTATTATACTCATTCGAAATTAAAAATAATAAAATTTATATATATTAATTTCATTAAATCAAGGTTAAAAATCTCACCGGAAAAATAACCTCAGTGTGATAAATTTATCACCGGAAAAATTTACAATAAGGTTAATACCGAAAATATCGAAAAATCAACATTTAAGGTTAATTTAAGAGTATGCACTTTTGTCACCTACTCAGAATCCTTTCCGAAATAGGAGCTTTACGTTTAGGAGGATTGTCGGATGAATTTTGTTTTTTATTGTTTGATTTTGTTGTTATGGAAGATTTTTTCTTATTTTTTTCAGAATTTTGCTTGCTATTAACTGAAACTTGTTTTGACGGCCCAACAATACCATTTGTAGTAGGAAGAATTCCCAATAACGAGCGCATTTTCGATAATTGTTTTTCAATATGATCAAGAAGGTCCAGCTTATGTTCTAGATTACTAGACATTTGATTTGTAGAAGGATGGCTTTGATTTTCTGGTTCTAAATCTGTAGAGTCTGCAATATTTGAATTTTCGGAGCGAATTGGAGCATCTGAACCTTGATTTGTATCGGCTTGCTCAAAATTAGTTTGAATTGGAGTGGATGAATTAAAATCTGGATGATTTAATGTTTCATTAAATAATGCCATAATTTTTTCTCTTTTTTCATTAATAAACTTAGTGATCATTGTATCTTTATTTGTTAGATCGATCGATTTGAGTATATCTGCATCATGAACTGGAATATTTTCGAACAATGAACTCGATTCTATGGAACCATATGGAGAAATCTCGTTCTGAGCCAAAGAAAGATCACTTACGTTGTATTGTTTGATAGAAAAAATTGTTTTCTCAAGTTCTTTTTGAAAGCAGTCAAGAATATAATTTTTGTAGCTATCAGTGATAACGGTTTTTATATGGCGCTCGATCTTCTGGTTATTTTTGATGGCGTTATATTTATCTAATTGGATTTGAGATATCTTCTTAATAGCTTCATAAATGTTTGGATGTTTTAACGAAGAAAATTCTGAATGCATACTCTCGAGGCAATCATTAGTGAATATTGCAGTTGCATTATTATATTGAGATATTAAATTGTAGTGCGGCAACCAAACTTTGTTGAAATAATCAATATAATCTTTGATCGAATCAACTTTATTTTGATTAATTATATGCATTGTAAGTACAAATTCTTCATGAGACATGAATGGAGTAATAGAATATAGCTTAAATAAAGAATTTTGTAAAGTATTGAAATTTTTTGTATAAAGTGCTACAAGTTTCCTGTGTAAAGCTTGTTTGAAATGAAATAGGCATCCAATTATACGGACTTTAGGGAAAATTTGTTGAAGTGCCTCTATCATTCCCTTTTCAAAATCACAATGAATTTGAATTAGCTTTGAAAATTGAATACCCTTGACAGTAAAAATATATTCAAATGCCTTCTTATAAGATTCAAATGTGCGGTTTTTCATGAATATAAATAAAAGTGGTAGATATTGATTTGTTGAAGGTTCACAAATCATAATTGTTAGCATCTGTCCTTTTTGAAAATGTTTTGGTGTAATTTTAAAAGTTCCATCGCAAAATAAATCTGTGGCTTCTTTTGCAAATTGAATTGCCTTCTCAAAACCAAAAAACATCGTCTCACAATTTGCTTGAAAATCATGGCCAATGAAAAACTGCTCGCCATTTATTAAACAAAAATTAGCAATTTCATCGTCTGTAATTTTTTCTCCAACAGAAAATTTTCTGGACTTATTATAAACTTCCCTGACCAATGAATCTTTAATTAATGGGTTTTCATCAGTACCAACAGCAAGTTCTGTCATAAATTTTTTAATCTGCTGAAAAGTGCCGTTGTCTTCAGAAAATTTTGCCATTGCCTTATTGTATATTTCTGTCAGAGTCATTGATTTATGAAGATCATTTTTTTCATTTTGTAACTTTTTAAATTGTCTGCATCGGGTATATGTTCCTTTTGTAAATCTTCGGAAACTGAACTGTTCTCAATTTTAACTAAATAACGTGCTTGACAAGAATGATCGATGCAACGGTAGTAACGTTCAATATTATTTGAATTAATAATATTTGTATGATCATGCGAATAAAGCATATCTTTGCGAACAATTGTATCAGGATATTTTCCAGTAACTGCGGAATATTTTTAACTGCAATATAACTAAAATATCTTCTGACAGCTTTAGATTCATTTTCGGCGTATTTAATATTAAAATATTGAAGAACTTGTTTGATTATATTCGTTTTTTCATCTCTCGATGTTGATTTTTGGTATTTATCAGATTGTTCCCTGATAAATATTTTATTTTCGTCTGTAAAGTTTGCTCTTTTTTGATTAAATATAGATGATTTTCCCATTAAAAAATGAAATGATGCAAAATTTACGAAAACCGTTCGAAAATTGAATCAAAAATGAAAAGTAATACTTAAATGAGGAATTCTTTGAGATATTGGTCTTAGATTGAATGTAGCGTCATTCTTATATAGAATATATATTCATATCATCGGAAATATGATAAAATATAATAAATGTCAAAAAAGTGAACAAATAAGCAAAGATATTTTTTAAAAAACAATGAAAAGTAATACTTAAATGAGGAATTCTTTGAGATATTGGTCTTAGATTGAATGTAGCGTCACAAATTTCACAAATATAATTTACTATACAATTTTATTCTTTTTTTAAAATGGCTGACGACAGTCTGTATCAACTAACTCAACTAGTCAAGCATAATGATTATTCTTCGGATTCATTAAATCAACTTTATCAATGCATAAGTACAATGACAGAAAGATCAATTGGATGCTTGAATTGGGATAAATTTTTCAAAAAAATCACAGTGACTGATGAAGTTCTTTTACATTTTTTAGCATCCGTTTTAAACATTGAAAAGATATCAGAATGTTTCAAGGATTCTATTTTTTATCACAATATTAATCTTGAAAAATTCAGTAATTTAACTGAAACAGAACAACAAACAATTTTAAATTCCTACAAAGCGGATAAATTTACATATTACATAATGTGCTCACAAATTGTAAAATCAAACTGGAACAATTTATCCCAAACTTTAGTTAATATTGCAAATCAATATTTGCCATTTTTAGATGAAGAAAAGCAAATATATATATTTACTGAAATAACTGGCAATTATCAAAATTTTGAAATTTCAGTTGCAAACTTGTTACTTTTTTATGAAAACAATGAAGAAAAATTAAGCAACTGTTTTAATTTAACATTGTTCCAGCAAATTTATTCCAAAAATGGAATCGAGCAAATGATATTTTTTGCTGCAAATACAATTTGTTGCAATAACACTTCTATCAATTTTTACAATCTCCTTGAAATTGAAGAAATGAATCCATTTGATTTTTTTTATTTCTCAATTCAATATAAAGAGATATTAAATTGCGATGATTTTCCAAAAGTTACAGAAGTAATCACAGGTTTAATCTCAGCTTCAAATATTAATGCTATTATGCGAATTTGCCAAAAAAATTTGGATAAAATTACATTTTATAAATGTAATTATTGCCATATTACCTCAATATGGAATTTTATCACAAATGCAGCAATAATTCTTCCTGATGAAGATTTATTAATCAAATTATTAAAATTCATAGAAAAAACAGAAAAAGCAACAGATGAATTATTCGAACCGGAGAATGATTTGGGTTTCTATGAATATTTAAATTCGATTTTCTCAGATATTACATCTGCGAGAAATAAGCAATTTCTCTTGGAATTTCTAAATACCCATGACGATGACTTCACTTATGATCAAACATTGTGAGGTCATTTTTGATCAACAAATTAATTGAAATTCCGATCAAAAAAAAATTCACAAATTGGATCAAAAAAATCGAATCTCAAGTTCAAAATAAAAAATTTCTACATTTTTATCAAATTTAGATTTTTTTTTTCAAATCATGCGAATTGATTGAATAATTGCATATTTTATCCCATGCATCTAGAAGTATGTGTAATATTTTTGCTTTCATCAAGAAATTGTCGAATTTGATCTTAATTTTTTTTGAAAAATATACTTTTAGAAAAAGAAATAGTGATTGAATAGCTGCCCATGCTGTAAAAGGGTTATTTTTACAAGTAAAAAAAATTGTTATTTTTCGAGCAAGTCGAGGCTTTTTTACCATCTTATTTTTGAAAAATTTACGAAAAATTATATCTGAAAAAACGCTTCATTTTGATATCTTACAATGATAAAATACCAATGTTGCTGGGATATAATAGCTACACCTGGACATCTACTACATTAATGCGTATGACAGGTAAAGTTGATTTCAAAAGTATAGCCTGGAAAGATTACAATAAATCAACGATAATTCAAAAAAATTTCTTATAAGTTAACATAATAAAAATTTAATTTTTATATTGCTTGTATTATACTTAAGTATATAATATATTTAAATCTTAGAATGAAAATTCGGGACGCCCTAGCTATTCAATTTTCCCTTAGGACGCCCATAAACCTCTCAAAAATGTGATGTAAATATCACAATTTTGAGAAATTTACACTAGGACGCCAACCCCCTTTTTTACCTTGTTGCGTCATTTGCGCTGTAAAATCTATTTAATCAAGATCATGGTAATATGACTTTTATTATATTCAGTATAAGCAGGTATTGTTGATATAAATCTGGTTGGACATGACAATTCCTCAATTCAAACGATAAAAAAATGGCAATCAATATTCGTCACTTTTGAAGAGATTTTAGCCCTATCAAAATTCAAAAGCAATGAATGTGAAAGAGTTTTGGAAGAGCCTAGGCGAGTATCCAGTATGCCTAGCACCTATGGTAGAGATGGGAGACATTGCTTTTCGTATTTTATGTCACAGACATGGCTGTGATGTCTGCTGGACAGGAATGATAAATGGAAGTCAATGGAATCGAAGCAAAACATACAGACAGCAACAGATTGAGTATAGTGAAGAGGATAGACCACTTGTTATACAAATTTCCGGTTCAATTGATGTAGATTTATTGACGACTGCAAAATCGATGTCAGAATTTGGAGTTCCCATCGATATCAATCTTGGATGCTGCCAAAAAGTCGCAAAACGTGGCGAATATGGATATTTTATGGTTGATTCAGAGCAAAAACGACAAAATGTCGTAAATCTCATTAAATCTATTCCATCAGAGATCACAGTACCACTTTATGTCAAGATTAGAGCATTAACTGACGAAAGTGGCATCCCAAGTATCCCAATTACAGTTGATTTTGCAAAACACTTAGAAGAAGCTGGTGCTTCTCTTATTACAATACATGGACGTTCTGCAGCCCAAGATAAGCATGGTCCATTGAATAAAGAGCTCGTTAAAGCTGTTGTTCAAGCCGTATCAATTCCAGTTATCGTTAACGGAGGAATCAATTCTCTCGACGATGCAAGGAACATGATACGCGAAACAGGTGCTATTGCCGCAATGAGCGCTCAGAGTCTTCTCATGGATCCAACGTTATTTGACAAAAATGGCCGCCAGCCAAATACAGTTTTTGCTTTAGAGTATCTAGATATATTCGAGAAATACCATGTTCCATTTGATGTCGCTCGCCGCCACTTCTTTTACTTCTTTGATAAAGAACTCGGATTAAATGGACAGAAGAGAGCAGCTCTTGGAAGAATTTCCGATATACAAGGATTGAGAGATTTCGTCGGTGAAATAGAACGCCAAAAAGCAGCGCCTTCATTCGGATATTAACTTTATATAGAATTATTATTATTATTTTTATTTATTATGTAAAGATCATGTTTCATTATCTATTATCTAAATAACACTAGTCATTTTAACAAACGAGATTGTCCAGTTTCCATATCATTTTCCTTACAATCGAAAAATTTGTCAAAAATTTTATTCGAAAATTATGGAATCTCTTGATGATCAAATTGCGCGCCAGAGAATATTAATAACAACTATGGACCAACACTTTGAAAAACAACTTAAAAATCTTCAAGCTCAGATAGATCGCCGAAAAGCAGCAATACAACCACCAGCACCCGAAAAACCAGTGAGCAAACCAATCCAACATCAACAAAACAAGAAACCATTAATATCTCCTCAAACAATTGTACGTCCAAAAGGTAAAAAATGATATATTAGTTTAATCAAGCTTAAATCAAAAATACCTCGCACCGATTGATATACACGAACAATTTTTGCATTTATCACACTTCCAAATAACAATTTTACTTTAAAAATTGAAATTCGTATAACGTCAGTGGAAAATAAGACAACAAACGATACGAAAAAACAACTCAATTTTGAGGGATCTGCCGGCTACTTTGCCAAAGAAGTGAAGTGTCACTGACGGAAAGTGACAAGGCGCCGTCATTGTCAAGTCACCTTTTTTTCACTTAAAATACAATATTTGGTAAATAATATATACTCATAAAAATATTCATATTTGTCGCATAAGAAATTGAATTAAATAATTTTTTATTTTCAATTCAAGAATGATGGAGTGTGCATCTTTTCTTGATCTTTTGCATATTACACAGTGAAAGACCTACGCGTTATAAAGTAGGTAACCTATAGAAATCAAGTTCGAATCCATAAAAGATTCGGCATCTTTCGAAATTCTTCAAACAAACTTCATCAAAAATCATATTACATATTCATAATATATTGCTTTTCTATAGTCTATATGATTTGCGTATAAATATTTTACCTTTGCTAATACAATAAAATATTCTAAACTATTCGACTATATTAATCGAAAACTACTCAATATTCTTAGCACAAAAACTTTCTTATCCAATGAAAAATACAGTCTCTTCATTTTGTTTGGGATATTCGTAGATGTTCTGTGTAATATAAAAACATAAATTAAAAATATTACTAAATCTCAAAACGTATTAAATATTGTATTTGTCTTCATGAGTTGTATAATCTATCGAGTTTGTTTTGTGAATTTTATGATATTTTTGAGGGAATTTTTAATTTTATTGAGAACTCAACCGAAAACATAAAAAACAGATATGAGGTTATTGATTCACTCCTAAAGCTTATATGAATATTCATGGATTAATTGCTTGAAAGTGAAATTTTTTACATTAATATTATCTGTTCCAAAATCATAATTTAATAAAATAAATATATTCAAAATAAGAAATAATAATTGACCATTTTAGTTTTAGAAGTTGTCACTCAAAATCTTGAGATTTATAAATTTTGTTAAAAAATAATTGAGTTTTTCGCTTATTTTTTTCAAAGAAATCCGACCATTTAACTTTTTGTCCATAATTTTCTAGGCTTTTCTAGTTGTTTTTCGCGATTCCAGATTTTTTTGGAATTTTCGCCCAACTCACACACATACTTAATAGCCCCTCCTGATGCCAAGGGTGTCGTCTAATCTTCAAACAAGTTAAAATTTTCGAATTTTTTACAATTCGCACTTTATAAGCTTATTTAAGCTTAGCGACATATGCAGATCTCAATAGAATACGCTTACAATCATATCCTTACCTTATCACTCTAAACTTTACTCAGATTATCCTCATTAAATTTCCTCGAGTTCAAACAACTCAGACGATAGTTCCCTTATTTAATTACAAACGTAACTATAATTCAAAACGTCTCATATTACTGACTAACTTAGTCAAATGTAAATTTAGATCTTTAGAATAAACATTTGATTTTTACTTTTACTGTTATATTATATACCTTTGTAGCATCTCTATGCTATATATATCATAGATTCTACTCTATTTCTAATAATTCTTGAGTTAGGCATTAAAAAGTGACTGACAATGCCACGTAAACTCCCTAATTTTTTGTTGCCTTATTTCCGGGTGACGTTATCTTGAAATAGATTGCAGATAAAACGAATCTATCGTTGAATCGACACTATATGCTGCAAATGTAACAGCAAGATTACAATAGTTTATATCCGAGTTTAATGGATATGAAAATAATTCATTATACAATTAGAGTATCTTTTTACTATTACAGACATATACTCAGCTTTGTAATTATAGTCACACAACTGATTATATCATTTTCTTTTAAAAAATTATATATAATCTTATAATGTTAGAGTAAACTTATAATGTTATAGCCTCAATATTATTTTCTTTCTAAAAGTGCATTTATCATCTTGATTCAGGTCTCTTATTCAAGTAATTGATAAGTTGAGAATTATTCCTAGCAATATTATATGTACATATAAATATATATTATTAGGACACAGTAAACTAATTAGGAATAGATTAAATATAACTGACTACTTTTTTTGTCGAGAATGAATCAATTATAATCCATTTCACCCTTATTCATTCTGAAACACTGAATCTGATCATTTACATGCAGAAATTAAAAAACATGGTAATGATATTCTAGTTTATATGCATAAATATTTTTGGATTGGGAATTCCTTCAAGTTATAATTATTAAAATCGCATGGATAGGCGTAATTCAGGATGTATTTGACAAATAGCTATATTTTCTTACCAAGAGCGATCATGTTGAATGAATTTTTTTTTGGAATCATCAAAATTTTTGTCAAAATCAAAAAAGTGACAGACAAAATTTAATGAGTTCTCTCCTTATTGTTGCTGCTCTGTATGAACTTATGAATAAGGGAGCCAAATTCTTCTCTGATAGTACTCTTCCAGTTTGCTCAGGAAATAATGTCGCTTCATTTGAAAAAATCAATGTTAGTCCAAGTTCTTCATCAATGGTGATTACAAAGTCAAAAGTCCCAACGTACATCAATAGAAGGAAGCAAAATCTTCCTAACAGTTTGCCACCACTGTTAAAAGATCAAATTGATACAATTTTAAATCAATTCAACGAATTATCCAAAATTGATTTGTCTGAAAAAAGCGCCTCAATTTACTATTCTTTTTATTCACCAGAATCTAATAGATTTGGCTTTTATTGCCACACTTTCACACCAGTTACTACTAAAACAGGTATTCCTGGTGTTAGAATTGAAGAAATTAGAGTAATATCTGAATTTGAAGGATTCCATCGTTTTGCTTCTTCAACCTTTGTTTCACAAGATAAATTTACAGATTCTTCATCTTCTGATGATTTGGACACTGACGGAATTATCGGATCCATCCAGTTCTCCCTTATTCCAATCTCCCTTACAACAGATAACCTTAAATTCCTCGAACCAATCGCTAAGGCCGCAATAGAGCAAATTGATGCAAAGAACTACCCAACAGGAGTTACAGAAGCAAATGCTGAAGTAGTTAAGCAAAAACTCAACCAAATGATCACTGATGGTTTCAAGATCAATTTATCTAATTTGAAGGATGCTGCAAATCAAAAGTGCAAGAAATAAGCCAAACTGTTTAGTTGGTTGTTAAAACAAAACACTTTTTCTAAAATACTTTTAAATTTTCTTTTTTATTCAAATGCTTAGTACTTTTTCTAATTCTACTTTGAGCAAAGTCAAAGAATTTTCATTAGAGAATGTGTTTTTGCATTCCAATTATGAATTCCCTTTTGATTATCAAATGGAAATGCATTTTTTAGATAGGTTCAATCATGCTTTCTTAACTCCCAGATAAATACACTTACATGCTATAACACTTTGGCTTTTCAACCAAAAGGAAACAGAGATATTTCAATTATTTTGAAGAAATGCTATTATTAAAAGAAATAAAAATGTATTATTGCTCAAAATTTGATATTTGCTTATCAAATCCAAAGGTACATTCACTATTTTTGACAAAATTTTAAATTTTCATGGAGTTGTAAATCTTATAATAACTAGATGAATAAGGAATGAATCCCAGTATAATGTGCATCATTATATTAAACACTATATGTAAGGCTAATGATTCTATTAACACTTATGAAGATCTATAGTATTTGAGCAGATAAATTTGATAATTTCCAAAACTCTTATATTTCAAAATTAAAGTGTGCGAATGCATTTAAATGAGAGCAAAAAGAGATTGATGCTGTTAAAACTAGGTGTTAATTTGCAATTATTTCGCATCACAAGAACTACCCAGTAAATTCGGCTATCTTTCTTTGCAATTATTCTCCATTATACATATAATATAATGGTTAGGGTTTGAAGAAAAGTTACTAGAGAATTATTGACTTTTGAAATAATGCAGAATTTTACTTGAAGAAATCATTAATTTATGAGTTCCAAATTGCTAAGCATGACGAAGGATCATTAAATTTGCTACAATTAAATACACTTATTGCAGAATTAAGATTTTTGAAATTAAAAGTTTGAAATATTGCCTTTTTGAATAAAAATTTAAATTTTATTATATAATCATGATAATATCTTATAGAAATTAAAAGAAAATATTTTAAACCATTCAAATATTTTGAATGTCTTATCAATTTAAAATATTAAAAGATAGCTTGATTTTATCATCATTAGTTGTTATCAAAGTTTTCTTCTTTTGATGAACAACAGTAAATGATTTGTTAATTACTTGTCTTCCTTTTTCGCAGCAAACTCGAAAGTTATGATGATAATCTTGCTCTCAATTTTGAAACTCTCTGATTTACAAGTAAGCATTCCTTTGGAAAAGCAGTCCTATTCTGTTTTCAAGATATTTTAAAGCCTCCATTTCATACAATGCGCAGATCTATTCGAAATTGCAAGAACTCTCAAGAAAAATGCAGCAGCAAAGAAGATTCCATAGTTTCTAGCATCAAAAATTTACAACCTTAATACAACAGTTAAAGAGAAGCTCGAAAAGAAAATATTTAACCATAAAGCTGGAAACCATTCGATATCTACTATTGGATCTAATAAAAAGTTAATTATAACATATTTAACATGCTATTTGTTGACTTTGTTCCATTATATTACCATATATATCTTTTTGAAATCTAAAATATTTTTACGATTTTAACCATGTGTTGTTGAAACCATATATCAATCTTAGCTAAAGTATAGTTTATGAGTCTGTCACCATCTAACGTATGAATTTTCAAAAATGTCAAATATGTTCATTTTTTCTGTAGATTCGGCCATAATTTCATGTTGTTATACTAGTCAACTAATATTTAATATTTTTATCGATTTAAATATATGATGAGATGCGTAGTTCTCCTGGAAATCAATTTTTAATCGCAATTTTAACTTTCCAAAAAAATTCAAAAATAAAAATCCCTCTCAATTTTCTAAGTTTTATAACTCGCCAAATCTCTAGCCAAATTTTTTTTGGCCCGTATAAATATTGTTAGGCACTATATAGGGATGCTATTTATCCTATTTTCATCCCATTTTACTGTTATCGCCTAGTGAATGTACCTTTTCAAATCCATCCATTTTTCAAATTTGAAAAATCACCATTTATTTGTTCCGGCCCAAATTTCTATAAGGATCTTTCTATTTTTCTAAAGAAATAATTAATTACAGATTTTGAGCCAAAAATATTTTGAAATTTGAATGGCCATGTTTCGACCAAATTTTTTTTCACTCAATTTAATGATTGGAGGAAAAACAGGCCACAAGGGTTTCCAAGCTCGCGAAATCGCCGCTGATGTTCTCGTCAACGCTCTTGCTAAGCACTACCAGGATACACAGGTTATCCGTAACCCAGAATGGGCTGATCTTGTCAAGACAGCTTCCCTCAAGCAATTAGCCCCAGCTAACAACAACTGGTGGTACATCCGTGCTGCTGCCGTCACTCGCCAGATCTACTTACACCACGATGCCTCTCTCTCTGGCCTCGCCTTCCATTATGGCGCTAACATGAAGGCTGTCACAATGCCAAAGCACCACCACGAAGCCTCCCGCAAGGTTATCCGTACAATCCTTCAGCAGCTCGAAAAGGCTGGCTTAGTCCGCGTTGCTGAGAAGGGACGTCAATTAACACCAAAGGGACAGAAGCTTCTTGACCAAATCGCTAATGGCTGTGGCAAAAAGCTCTAAACTATAGATCCATAGATAATTTTATTATATTAAACCATCAATACAATTAAAATTTTTAAATTTTATTAGTTATAGTGATTTTTTTTATTAAAATTTATATCATATATGAATTTAACTTCTTTTCTACCGTTTATTCGTTATATATATGTAAGAAATAATTTTGATATCAATCGTTTCAGGTTAATGGGATTAAATGAGTGGGCAGAACAATCTAGATGAGCTAGGTATCTAAACTTTTGCTGAAGTTAACATGATTTTCAAAGAATTTCTGCAAATTTTTTCCACAAATATCAAATAAACGTATTAAAAGACGGCAGTGAAGATCCACTCATGATTTCCAATATAATTATATCTAGATTTCATAAATTGAAAGCATGTAATTTCTTCAATTTGTCAATAAAATTTTTTTCTCACTTTTTATTAAAATCAATTTTTATGGAGGAAAGTAAGGCGAAATTCTTTGAGTTCAAGGACAAAATTTTAGAGTTCATTGATGAGATTTCCCTCGAGTGGCCAGATCAAAAGCAGCAACAGCATTTTCACGATTTGGTTGATTATACAATCGCCGGCGGTAAGTGTTTAAGAGGCTTATTGAGTGTTTTCGGCTTCTTAGAACTTACTGGTTACAGTCCAGATTCCAAAGAGGCAGAAGCCGCTTATGCTCTTGGCTGGGTCCAAGAAATCCTTCAGGCTTCGTTCTTGGTTGCCGACGATTTGATGGACAAGTCACCACTCAGACGTGACAAGCCATGCTGGTACTGCCTTCAAGAAAATAAGTACACAGCAGTTTCAGATTCATATTTCCTTGAAAATGTTTTATACATGATCATTGACAAGTACTTTGCTGACTTCCCAGTTGAAGTCGTTCTCGAGATCAAGCATTTACTCCATATTACAACACTTCGTACAGCACTTGGCCAATACATCGATATGCACAAGAAAGAACCAACAATTGATAACTGGACATTGACAGTTACAAACAAGACCGCTTATTATACCATTTGGCAGCCATTCTTATCCGGAATCGTTGCTTCCCAGAAAATTCCAGCCGAAGTTTGGCAATCAAAGCCATTTGAAGACGCTCTTATCAAGGCAGGCGTATTGTTCCAGTGCCAGGATGACTGGTTGGACCAGTACGGACAAGCTGCAGTCACAGGAAAAGTCGGAACTGATATCCAAGACGGAAAAGTCAGTTGGCTGTTCGCAAAAGCGATGGAAGTTGGAAACGAAGAACAAAGAAAGCTCTTACTCGAAAATGTTGGCCACCATGAACCAGAAAAAGTTCAAATTGTCAGAGATATCTACAAAGCACTTAATATTCAAAAGTTATCTGAGGAAGCACAACTCGCACAGTATAAGGAGCTCGAAACATACTTCTCAAAGGTAGATCCAAGGTTACCTCAGAAAACAATCAAATGGTTGCTCGGCTTCCTTGAATTAAGAAAGTACTAAACAGTAATTTTCGTTTTAGTCCCTTTTTGGGCCACAAAATAATCTAATTTTTAGTTTTTTTGATTAATTTTATTTTGATATGAGAAAATATTCATTAAGAAAATAATATTTAACGTAAACCTCAACTTAATTTCGTTGTTTTTACATCCCATTATTGCACAAACATTAAAAACCTGATTAATGAGATGATGTTGAGCCAAAAATATGTTCGACTGGAGATTCATGTGTATTGCATTAGGGACAATCAATGTTTCAAAATAAGTTATTATAGTTCGTAGCAATTAACCCATCTATGTGTCATATTATAATTTAATTTGATTTTGTTATTTTTTTTATCAAGACAGCTTTTTACATATTGCGATTGAAGCATTTTGCCTTAGAATGACATTTCGGTGAAGTGAGAAAAACGATAAAAAACCATCATGTTGTCAGAAATCTGATATCAAGTATCAAAATAATAGTTATGGTTTAATAAAACAGCATATAGAATTTGAATGGTATTCAATTGGTAAAAATTCCAAAAATTCAGAATAATCATGGAATTCATTCATTCCTACTATCCTGAAAATGACAGAGGAAACATGCTAAATGATAGTGAAAGTTTCTCAATAATTATTAATGATAAATGCTTATCAGCACCAAAATCAAAATTAATAATTTGCTCAAATACTGTTCACAATGAGATAAAAATAGATAAAACAAGGAAATCAATGAATTTTAATTTGAATTTGGCTCACAAAGACTCAATAAATTTAATTTCTCAATGGGTCAATAATGGACATCTTGATTTTCCAAATGAAAAACAATATTTCAGAGATATTTTCGAAATAGGAAGAGTATTAAATAGTGAATTCTTAACCAAAATCTTCTATGACTATATCAAAGATTCAGAAATCAACATTGAAAACTTCATGGACATATATGATTCAGCTTCAATACAAAAAGATGATCAGAAGGCCAATAAATGCATTTTTTTCTTTGCATCTAAAATGAATGAATTCACAGAAGATTTTATCACTAAAACATTCAAAAACTGTGGATATGATTTCTCTGAGAATGTTTTGAAGTCAAACTCATTAAGAATTACATCAGAAGACTCTTTATGTAACATAATCATTTCTTTAAGTAAAGCAAATAGCAAATTCTTTGAACTTTTGAAATATGTTAGAGTTGAATACTGTAGCAAAAATATCATTGAAAAAATCTCGAATTTTGCAGAGGAACATGGTCAAGAATCTATTTCAAGTATTGTATTCAAGAATGCATTGATGCATCATCCAAGAATTCTACACAAACTCAGTCTTTCTGTTACCAATGAATTACATATCAATGATAAAACAGATCAAAACACGAGAGAATTAAGAAGTTTAAGAAAATCTAGTGATGATTTTGATAAAATATATGGAGTACTTGAGAAAGCTATAAAAGATGATGATTTTAGCACAATACAAGTTGCTGTTGATGAAAAATATACAAATGTATACAAATATGGGTCTATGATAAGAAACGCCATGTGGAGTGACAATTTACCACTTGTAAAGTCATTGATTCATTTCGGAGAAGATCTAAGAAATAAATTTATTTTTAAAGGAACAATTCTTCATGGTTATTGCGAGATTGGGAATTTAGATGGCGTTAAATATGCTCTTAATTTTATTGATATAAACGCAAAAGTTGAAAATAATTTCACTCCTCTTTTTATAGCTGCTATACATGGCCATGATGAAATATGCAAATATCTCTGCTCTCAGAAAAATATTGATATAAATGCTAGAGACATATTTTCTTACACAGCTCTTTATTATGCAAGAAATCACCAAAGCACATATAATCTTCTTAAAAGTCTTGGTTGCACAGAATAACTAATCTATTAGTCATTCTGAAAGTGTTTTTGTTTTTCTCATTTTATATAAATATATTTTTTTACATAAATAAACATAAATAAATAAAACACAAATAATAAATAAAAACAATTAAATAAAAAATTACTTCTTCGCCAATGGAGGAAGTTTCTGACCTTTCTGCAATGGAGTAACAACAGAAGCAGGCCGAGATCCCATTCCTGCTGTCTGAATCAATCTGTTTATCTTGTTACTCGAGTCAGCCATCTCTTTTCTCAATGCCATCCACTCGTTGTGGTCATCATCAAGTACTTTCTTGTCAATTGTTGCGTTTGGAATCATTTCTTCGACTTCTTTGATCCTTTTTGTGAGTTTTTCCAAAGATTTCTGACCAGTATTTTGAATTTTCTGGATATCCTTCTCGTGTTGCAATCTAAGCTCTTTATCCTTCTTGGCATTAGTGATTTTAAGTGACTCTAATTCACTAATTGAAAGATTTAATTCTTGTTTCAGCTCATCTTCAATTGCAGTGACTTTCTCCTTCTTTCCCTTCATGTTCTTTCTTGCATTGATCTCTTCTTTAAGCTTCATGACTGTTGTTTGCTGATCAGCGATGATTTTATTGTAATTTGCAATTTTTTCATCGAATTTTTCGTCATCTTGCTCAGTTGCTTCTTCGACTCTCCTCTCGGCATCGTTAATTTTCTGGAGCAAATCAGATTTTTCGAGTTCCAGGAACTCAATTTCATCTTGAATTGCGTCTGATTGTAGTTTAAGACGTTCTACCTCACTCTGCATGTTCTTGTTGGAAGAATCAATCGATTTCATTAAGAAGGATTCTTGTCTATGCCATGAATCATAAAATCTTTTTGCTCTGTGAATTAATTCCATGGCAATTTCATCATCTTCTGATAGTTTCTCGGGTGGTAATGATAAATCAATGTGAGTTTCTAACTTCACAATTTTTGACTGACTCCGTTTGAATCTTGGCGGTTTGTTTGATGGAGGAGTTGGAGGAGGGGTAATTGGCTTGATTTGTTCGTATTGTTTCATCTCTTCCTCGAATTTGTCTCTAGCACGGGTAAGGGCCGTGATTTCCGCTTCAAGTTTCTTACGAAGAGAATCAGATTCTCTCAAAATTTGGTTTAATTTGCTCTCAAGATTATGTCTAAGCTTCTTTGCCTTATGTTTCTCCTGCTCTACATCAAGATCCGCTTGCTGTGTGAGCTGTTCAAGTGTTTTGATGTGAACTTTTGATATCATTTTCATTTCGTTCGATTTTTCTGCGAGAATCATCTCTCCACGCTTAACAATAGTATCGACTTTATCTTTGTAACGTCTCTCAGAGTCTTCGAGCTGAGTTCGAGCAGTTTCAATATTATTTCTTAAAATTTCAATTGTACTCTCTGATTGTATGCGTTCTAGCTCTGATTCATGGGATATTTCCTTCATAGTCAACTGATGAGCGTCTTCAAGCTTTTTCATCTTTTTATCGAATTTTAATTGAATTTTTTCTTTTTCATCTTTGATTTTCTGTGCTCTAATCTCATCAATATGTTCGATTTGATACTGTAAATTCTCCGCTTCCTTTGCGAAAGCAACAATATTATCAGATTTTTGCTGAATTAAAGAGTTGAATTGTTCTTGTAATGATTCGATTGTTACTTTATTCTGAGCTGTCATCGATTCGATCTGTTGTTTGAATTTATCATTCATAGTTACTGTAACATGATCATTTGTTTCCGCAAGCATTTCCTTTTGCTTCTTTAAGAGTTGTAAACGCACTTTAGAAGCATCAATGGATGTAGACAATGTTGTTTGTTGTAACTCGTATTCCCCTTTGAGTTTTGCCAAATTTGCTTCAAGAGCTTTTGCTTCCTTTAAATGATGTTCTGTTTCAGATTTGAGACGCTGGTTAAACATATCTCTAGCGTTTTGAAGCTGTGCAGCAACTTTCTCTTCTTCTTCCGAGTTATTTTGTTTGTTATCTGATAATTTATTTTTGTAACGTTCTGCAATTATTTCTACCTTTTCAGCAAACATTTGGTGGGCATTTAAAATAGATTGGTCGAACAGGCGAGTCTTTCTGTCAAGATCTGTATACAATCTTTCGATTTCGAGTTTAAATTTATTCATTTTTGGGTTTGGAGATTGGATAAACTTTGTTTCAGCGGTGAGACCGAGTGATACGGTTTGTAATATTTGAGCAGCGTCTGAAAAAATATCTGATATGTGTGAGTTTATTGCATTTTCGTTATACATCTGCACAAATTGAACTGGCTTAGAAAGCCTCTCGGTAACCCGCACGAAATCCCCATGGATTTCATTGATTCGGAACCGTGCGGGCTCCAAAATACTTTCCATAATTTTTTTTAGAGAAAATTTTGGAAGTTCGTTATTTATACTCAATTTTTGACATTATACAAAAAAAAAAAAAACTCTGACTCCGCCAAACATGGCTCCTCAATTGTAGTCCATCTGCTTCCCCTTGGTGGGGTACTAATATCACCACGGGACAAAACGACATCCTTATATTTTAGAGAACCATTTGAAATCCAAACTAGTATTTGAGTCTAAATTCATTTTTTAAATAGCAATTTAAGCAAGACCACAAAATGGATTAAGATCCACTCTTCTCATATAATGTAGCACATTTTTCTTGGTCCAGGAAATTTGACAGATCCTGGCAGTTTTTGGTTCATTTTTTGGAGAGTGCGTTTGATTTTGATAATAGAACAATTTAAAACCGATTGTAAATTTTGTAGACTATTCAAAATTTCCCAAAAATTCTTCATGTGCAAAAAGATATACAGCGTTATTTTAAGGCTGCACTTACGCCCATTTGACAATAATTCAAATTTTGACAACTGGCGTGAAGCGTCATTGAAAATTAACCTTAAACATCTGAATTGAAGGCCGTGTCATAGGGGCGTAAGTGCATCCTTAAATATTAATATTTAGATTTAAAAAAACAAATAATGAAGATAAATCTCTGAAATTTTAATGGTGAACGTTAAGGGTGCGCTGTAGTCGGTAAGTAAACTTCAGAATTTTTTTGACGATCTCAATTTGAAAAGTACTTTTTCTCGATATCTGCTGAACATTTTTTGGAGTTGATGAAAGATAATAAACCATTATATTATGAGGAGTATTTATGATTTCGTTTTTCGCGAAAATCCTCTAAAACCATGGTATTTTGAAATTTTAAGATTTTTTTGGATTTTTTTTATTTTTTTCTACGATTATAAACGGCGAAATTATTTTCGAATTTAATTTATATTATTAGAATTATTTATAAATCTAAATGCTTGGGATGACAAAGTTTCCCCAAACTAATGACTAATTAATGGTCATATTTTATAATTACGGTTCCTTCCCTGAAATTCAATAATATTTGATTTATGGATGCAGAGTTGTTCATGTATTGCTATAAATCAAGCTAAAATAAATTTTCTCAAAAATTAGTAAATCTTCTTGTAAATAGAGTTTTGGAAGGGTTATTATGAGATATATAAATTTCGTTGGGCGAAATAGATATTTCTAAAGCTTGTAATATGCATACAAACTATTAGATTCCTACCTATCAAACAAATTTAATAAGATATGCTGTGTTTAAGGCTTGATTTGATCTTGAAAATATCTATGTTTACAATATATGAAGTTTATAATATAATTAGGATATGTATATGAAATAAAATTATTTTATATAAATTTTGAAAAATTAGTGAATTATATTAAGTAAGGTATATTTAAAACTAAGTTTTTATTCATCTGAAGTGTGATATTTGAAAAATAGAAGAAGTAACGGAAAATAATATATTAGATTGTAGTTCGTAATTTAAATAAACATAAAAAGCTGCTGTATATTCAATACGTGAAGCATTTTGCAGCCTTCTTTACCGAATGTTTGATTTGTTTTTGTTATAACGGCTGATTTTATTTTGGAATTTGAAGAAAAAACCAAAATCTTCGTAGTGATTCTGTTTAGATTTGCTGCTCTTGGCTTATAAATGAAATCGATGAAGTTTCATTTTTTGCGAAAAATCTTCAAGTTCGAAGGTACCAAAATAGGTCTCGAACTAGAAAAAAAAAATCATGTCAAAAAAAATTCTGAAGTTTACTTACAGACTACAGCACACCCTTAAGTTTATTCTATTTTGTTTGTTATAAAGCGAGGACCATTATCTAAATCCTTTGATTCTAAGCATCCTTGTCCTCTCATATATTCAGCAAGCTCTTTATGGCCCTTTGTAACTGCTTTATCAAGTGGTGTGAAACCTTGCCTAGATAATGGATTTTTATCAATACCTGGTTGGCTCAAAAGGAACTTGACAATGTCAAGGCGATTAGCTGTTGAAGCATTGTGAAGTGGTCTCCAATTATTCGAATCTTTTTCATTAACGTCAGGATGGAACTGAAGCGCGTATTTTACGCCATCAAGTGAACCTCCTGAACAAAAACTATGAAGAATGATTTCATTACGCATGTCGAAGCCACATTTTTCAAATAATTTGATCATTGGAAGATTTCCTTCGCATGCAGCTGCTCGTATGAGGTTATCATAAGAATTCCTCATGACAGTTGTATATTTGTGTTTAATTGCAAAACGAATCGTCTCCTCATCTCCTTCCTCAACAGCTTGTTCTAACAAATTGTAGATTGCTGCAAAGTTCTTCCTATCTCTTTTAATAGCTTTTAATTTTGAAACTAGAGAGTCAACTGGCTGTAGTTCATTATCTTCTAATGATATGGCTGAATGTTGACTTGTTGTATCGTTTTGGGGTTGGACTGGTTCTTCTTTTGGCTCTACAGCATGAGCACTAATTTTCTTATGAACACCTGCTGTTTCAACTGGAGAAGGTAAAATTTCTGCGTCTGCTGGTGGCTTGTTGACAGAATCATTTGGAATCTTATTAATCATTCGAACAATGTCATCTAAGAGTTTAATGCCAAACAGTTCTCTGAGAAAACTTAAAAGCGGTGTTGCATTCTTTAAATTATTTTCGAAATCAACATTAATATATGGTAAATATTCGGCAATGAGATCAAAATCGCAATCGAATGTTAGAATGCTTTCGATTAGATTTTGTAATTCGTTTGGCTTAAGCTTGTTGGATTTCAGGTAGCCTATCATCTGAGGCTTGAATTCAACTGTATACATCTTAGGATCATTAATCCAGTTAGGTTCAGTTGCCATATGAAAAAATGAAGTGAAAAAGTTTTCTGACTAATATTGCATTTAACTTGTAATAAACAGAAATTCATCAAAAGTGACAGCTCTCAATTTTTTGACATTTGTAAATTCTAAATTGAATGAGAAAAATGAAATAATACTAAGCATAATACAATATTCTAGATTTAATTATAATTAGGGAAAAGTTAGTTTTGAGAGTACTTTTCATAGGCATATAGAATGAAATCTTCTGAAAAATAATATCACATAAACTCATATTATTTTCTAATATATAACTATTTTATATAAAAATCAAATTCAATGATCTTAAAAGCGAAGGATAAACCTCAAAATTTACGAATATAATGAGTGGGAATATAATGCTTATCTATCATAAAACCATATGAAATATCAATTTTTGCTTTACGCCTAATTTTTGACGACAATTAGCAAAAAATGTTAAATGTTAACACTCAGTCCATTTGAATATGAAAAATAAAATTGACTTTGATTAAATGTTTTTATTTATCATGCAATTCTTCTTGCGACCAAAGATTTGAATAAAAGTTCAAAAAATAAGATAGCTTAAAAAATAATATACGGTAGTGTTTACTAATAGATGAATAGTATATAAATTCTATTAAAATGGATTTGATCCAAAAAAATATAAAACCAAAAATAATTGTTATAATTTAAAAAGAAGTAATTTAAAACGATTTTATTTATGATCAAATTTTATATATTTTTTTGGATCAAATCCATTTTAATAGAATTTATATACTATTCATCTATTAGTAAACACTACCGTATATTATTTTTTAAGCTATCTTATTTTTTGAACTTTTATTCAAATCTTTGGTCGCAAGAAGAATTGCATGATAAATAAAAACATTTAATCAAAGTCAATTTTATTTTTCATATTCAAATGGACTGAGTGTTAACATTTAACATTTTTTGCTAATTGTCGTCAAAAATTAGGCGTAAAGCAAAAATTGATATTTCATATGGTTTTATGATAGATAAGCATTATATTCCCACTCATTATATTCGTAAATTTTGAGGTTTATCCTTCGCTTTTAAGATCATTGAATTTGATTTTTATATAAAATAGTTATATATTAGAAAATAATATGAGTTTATGTGATATTATTTTTCAGAAGATTTTGTGTTCTTCTTCAAAATTTTATTTTTTTATTAAAAAGAATCTTTACAAAATATACATTTACTTTAATTAATATTTAAAAACGTGCTCTATCAAAAGTTCCAAAAATTCAATATTTTAGCTTTTCTGAGGTGTCACTTTTGATGAATTTCTGTTTACAACAAACTTTTTGTTGTTAAAAGAAATTTAACATGTCTATAAGCTTAATATAATATTTTTTAATTTAAATAGTAAATTTTAATTTTTGACTAGACAAAAAATTAACACGAAATTTTAAAAATATTGCTTTCTGTAATGTGGCATTAGTACAATTTCATGTTCGAATAGTAGGGAGGTTGCCTCTTGATGATAAATTGTAATTGTGTGAAAGATTTTTGAGGATTAATAATATGTTTTAATTGTGGAATTCTGGGAAAGATATTTGATCCTAGCTGCAGTGTGAGCGAGTGGGATGCTGTGCTGCTTTCGACAGATAGCAACACAAAGTTAAAGTATTTCGATGAGAATTCCGTTCTTCTTTTTTCGCATTTTCTATGAAGGGAACATTTGATAGTAACTTCGATTTTCACTGTTTCCTATTGAGAGCGAATACTTTGATGAACAAATTAATACTTTATGCATCGAAGCTTTTCACCTTCGTTTAGGATAAATTTCAACTTTAAATTGACTGAATGTGATTAACATGGCTTCAGAAGTTTGCGTACGACAATGATAAGCTACTGTCGCTTTATCGATAAAAAATTATTTTTATTTTCCAAATTAAAGTAGCAACAAAGTAAACTTAAATTTGAAGTTTATTTTTTCTCTAATCAATTTATTTTCAATTTTTTAGGATGAATATATTAGATGCATCATTTGAGTATTTTCGCGATATTTTTGTAGAAAATCCAGGACCAAAAGGTCTTATAATGGATGATTCAACGAAAAAAGTTCTTGGACTTGCAATTACGAGAACAGAGATTTTATCATACGAAGTATTGATTACAGAATCAATCAGTGATCTTGCTATGAAAAAGCATAACGGAATGATGCAAACAATGCATGCAATTTATGTAATTGAACCTAGCACACAAAACATTGATTTAATTTGTTCAGAACTTTCAGATCCTCATTTCTCGAAATACAGCTTATATTTTACAAATAGTACCGCAGAAGATATACTAAGGAAATTAGCCACATTTGATCATTATTCATTAATCGAAAAAGTCGAAGAAATATTTACAAGATTTTATCCATTAACAAGTCGTTTATTTCATTCAGGTATTCAAAGTATATCATCGTTGCGCCTTGGTGATCCTTCTAATACCCAATTATATGATATATCCGATTCATTATTTACAGCTTTGCAAGCATTGCATATGCGCCCATGCGTGCGCTATGATTCTTCATCAAATTTATGTGCCGAACTTTCTCAAATAATACAAAAACGACTCATACAAACTTCAACATTGTATGGTCAGTGTTCTGATAGCCAATTGCTACTAATTCTTGATCGTAAGACGGATCCCATTACTCCTCTTACATCATCATGGTATTATTCTTCAGCTTTACATAATCTTTTTGGAATTGAAGACAATATTGTGACTCTTCCTGACGGAACTCAACATGTTCTCGATGAAAGACATGATACTTTCTACCAAGAATATGGAAACAAATTCCTTTCCGAAGTAGGGCCAGCAATTCACGATATGACGACAGAAGCAGCGAAATTAGGCGAAAAAAGTCGTCAAAAAATCACTTCACCTGAACAAATATCTGCTGCTGTAGCTGCTGCTACACAATTCCACTCGAAAATGACAAGCGCGAAGATGCACGTCGCATTAGTCGATGCGATCAACGATGCAGTTCAAAAACACGGTCTTCTGATGGCAGCAGAGCTTGAACAAGCCATAGCAACAGGGGATGACGCAGCTTTCCACGCAACAGAGATACAAAGAATAGCAAATTCTCCGAATTTCCCTCGAGACATTTTATTACGTCTTGCAATGTTGTTCGCACTTAGATACGAAGGTAGATGCCAAGAACAACACGAAATAGTTAAAAATGTCGTTGGAATCGAAGGAATTAATTTGATGCAAGCAGTTGTCACTTTTTGTGGATTAAATTCACAAGGACAGAACAACGAAGATGTTTTTGCAGGAAGGAGTGCATTGAAGAGACTTTTCTCTGATATCAGATCATTGTACGAAGTAGAACAGAAAGCTTTGTCTCAATATAAATGCAAATTATCTGATACGTTGAGAAAACTCAGAAGTGGAGCACTTGATGACCAACAATACCCTGCTCGTGGACAATTATCTGTGAAACCATCGAAAGTTGTTGTTTACTTCATTGGTGGAGCTACTTATGAAGAAGCAAGAGCTGCAAGTGAAATTTCAAAAGGAGATATCGATGTAATTGTTGGAGGAACAACTGTTCACTCTCCAAACTCTTTCGTTAATTACGAAGTCAAAGGATATGCAAGAATATAGATTATTATTATTTTTTTTGTTTATAATTTTGTTTTAAATATTTGTTTATATTTAACTTTTTTTTAATATTTGACATTATGAATGTACTTAGGCCCATTTGACTTTAATACAAATTTCTAGCACTGGGTATAAAGCAAATCAACTTTAAGCAACAGAATAGAAGGCCACGCCATATGGCAATAAGTTTATCCAGAGGAATGCATTTATCCTCATTAGACATAATTATCAAAAATTTATATGAAAACTGAATGAAGGTAATTGTTCCATTTCTAATTTTAAACATTCATTTAATAGATATTAATAGATATTTGGTATTGATGTTTGCACTAAGACTTTGAAACAGATAATCAAATCAGATGAATTTAATCATACAGTTATCATTCAGTTGTTAAAAATAATTTGTTAGTATTACAATAAACAAACAAACGTTTATTAGATAGCATAGTAGGTATCTATTTAAACAATTCTTTAGAAGAATTATAATTTCTACCAAAATGATTGCTAGTTTTCATCATCAATAAACATGCGATAAAGAACACTTTCTAGTTGTTCAACAATGATATTGAATGAACGCATTCGGAAAATGGGTAACTTTTGTTCAAGTTCTTCGAGTAGTTCGGTGACATCATCACATATCGGGAACAATATATCTTCATCACGAATGGGACTGATAATGGCACCTTGAACATTAGTTTGCATCCATCGAAGTAAAACATCACGATATCGTTTGTCACCATCTATGTAAAAGATTGGTGTCAATCGATATCCACAATGGAATTTGCGTCGTAATTCGTTAGGACTACCATCAAATAACAATTCACCACTTCGCATAACGAAGATTCGATTCGTGAGACTTCTAGCTTCTTCAACTGAGTGAGAACTAACAATCGATGTGATGTTGTAACTAGAGATAGCTTTCCACATCTCTTGTCGCATCGATGTGTCCATACCTGATGTCGGTTCATCAAGGATGACAAACTTAGGAGAACCAATGAATGCGATCGCAACACAAAGTTTTCGTTTGTTGCCACCACTCAGTTTCGATGACCGCATGTTATCCATACCCTCCAAATGGAATCTGCTCATGCACTCATCAACAACTTCACAAACACGTTCACAACAAACACCTCTGATAGTAGCGAACAATTCAAGATGTTGATAAACACTCAGCTTGTCAAACAATATGTTGTCTTGATAACAAATTCCAAGATGATCTTGAAGTGCATTGAATCCAGATGGACATCGACATCCATATATTCGAAGAACTCCTTGATCACTACTGATACTTCCTGTCATAGCATTCAACAATGTACTCTTACCTGATCCATTAGGACCAATCAAAACAACTGTATCGCCTTTATTTATTGTAAACGAGACATCATTTAACGCGTGAACAGGCATTGATCCTTTATATGTCTTATCAATTCCTGTAACTTCAATAAATGACTCATTTACATTTTCAATATATTCGCTCTTTTTGAAATTGAAAATCTGTTTCCATGCCGACAAAGACAAGATATTCGAAAATCCGATCGGAGGAGCTCCATCATTCCTTGGGAGTAAGACATTTAAAATCAAATAAATTAAAAGATAGAAAACAATTAAAGCAATCGTGAATAACAATAAATACCATGAGTTCTTCCATCTCGTCAAAATTACCAAATTCTTGAAATTAAATGGAATTTCATAAACATATGATATCATAATATTGTCTAGAAACATAGTTAGCATCCAATGCGGAAAAATAACTAAAAATGGAGATAATTTCATTAGATTAACACCTTGTGCAAAGAATATTATTATAATTAATGGCATTGCGCATAAAATGAACACAAAAGTAACAAAATATATTTTGTAATATGATATCAATACAATAGGGATCACACTAAGATAAAAAACATAAAAATACAGTACGATAAAGAAAAGAAAGAAAAATGTGCAAAAGATTTCAACTCGATATCGATAATAGAACATAATTGATATTAAAAGTGATACAAATACCATCAAAATAGTATCAACAACTAAATGCGATAAGAAAATTGTTGATTCATAAACACCTGAAATTTTCATCAACAAAAATTTTTTTGATTCACGCAATTCTAATATTTCAAACAATGGAATGATCAATATCAGAGCGATACTAAGCGACAACTGGGATGGTTCGAGCGGATTAACATAACCTGAAATTCCAGACATTGACATGTATTCTATATCGTAATTAACATGGATATCAGACAAGAATTTAGTAATTTCAACAACAAATGAGTTAAGGAATCCTTTTACTTCAAAAATCCCTAATTTTGATTGTGTGGCTGACATTTTCAATTTTGCTGTAATATTGAAAAAATTATCTTTTTCATCAACTTTAATATTGACTGTATCTTCGTTCATTGAATTCTGATCAAAATTTGTTTCATTATCAAAAATTATACTTGTATTTGAGTAATTAACGAGCATTCGTGTAAAGTTTGTTCTTGGGTATAAAGTGTAATTCAGCTTTAACGAATGATTTTGATTATCGCCCAAAATATTTGAAAATGTTTTGAAATGACTAAATGATGCACTGTGAAACAAATGAATTGGCCTAAAATCCGAATATATTGTACCTAGAATTGTAATTGTGTTGCATGCTAAGATCAGTCATAATGTAAACCTCTCAATTTTATTGTCGTGGGAAGTATCTCAATTCCTTCAAAAAATTGAAAAACTATTTAATTTTAAAAATATAATACTTTTAATTAGTTAATTAATTGGAGATATTTTTAAAAAATCACTTTTGATAATACTTTTGAGAACTTTAATTAAAAAAATATATTCAAAAATATCCAGGATATCAAGAGGGAATTGTTCCTTATGAGGTATATAGTTATGATGTATACCTCATAAGGAACAATTCCCTCCTTAAAACGAGAAAACTTGTTCGAAATTGTTTATCATTTCGAACAAGTTTTCTCGTTTTTAATAAGAAACTAAAGGCTATGAGGCACTGATTATATATTAGTGCCTCACAGCCTTTAGTTTCTAATAGATAGCTGGGAACTTTCTCCAAATGATAAGTTATTCAGAGAAAGTTTCCCAGCTATCAAGAGGGAATTGTTCCTTATGAGGTATATAATTATGATGTATACCTCATAAGGAACAATTCCCTCCTTAAAATCGTAGACATTTTTATACTTATTAATCAACCATTCAAAATCATATTCCTCTGAAAAGTTATTTTATTAAAAATTTAGAATTTTAATAAATATAGAGTTTGAATTTCATACAATACCTATATATTTTCAATAATGGAATTCGAAAACCATTCTCAAAAGTTCTCAGAAAACCTTTTTTCATTAATTTTAAGAAATCTGAGTATTAAATTAAGTGATAAATTCGTTTGACACTACTTTAATTTTTAAATTCAAAAAATTATATGTGCTTCTTAAAATGACTCAAAAAATTTTATTATAAAATAATATATAATATTAAAAATCCCACAACATTTTTTTACTTTACATAATCGTACTTCCTCGACGATTAATTTCCACTCAATTTCTATCATTGACCGAACTTAGCATGCAACAATTGTACTTGCGAGAGCTAATAAAATATAAAAAACAATAAAAAAAAAAAAAAAAAAAAAAAAAAAAAAAAAAAAAAAAAAAAAAAAAAAAAAAAAAAAAAAAAAAAGGTAGTGGGGCTTCCAGGCACTTCGTGCCTTCTAGCCCTGAAGATGTTTAGTATAAATGAAGTTTTTATTCGGAGGTCTTCCAGGAGCTTTTCACAAATTATATATGTTTTCATGTTTTGTCAAGACTTCTTCGTAAATGTTTTGTCAAGACTTCTTCGTAAAATGTTTTGTCAAGACTTCTTCGTAAAATCAGACAAAAATATATTTTAGGGTAGAAGGTTAGATATAACCTCTTTTCTAACCTCTTTTCTACCCTCTTGAATTTGTCAAGACTTCTTCGTAAATGTTTTGTCAAGACTTCTTCGTAAAGACTTTGTTGAGATTTCTTCATGAAATTTACACCAAAAATAATGTTTAGGGTAGAAGGTTAGATATAACCTCTTTTCTAACCTCTTTTCTACCCTCTTGAATTTTCATGAAATTTACACCAAAAATAATGTTTAGGGTAGAAGGTTAGATATAACCTCTTTTCTAACCTCTTTTCTACCCTCTTGAATTTTCATGAAATTTACACCAAAAATATATTTTAGGTGAAGAGGTGAGATATAACCTGTTTTTTCACCTAATTTTTCACCTCTTGAATTTTCATGAAATTTACACCAAAAATATACTACTAGGGTCATTTACGAAGAAATCTCAACAAAGTCTTTACGAAGAAATCTCAACAAAACATAGACAAGAAAGTTCATGAGAAATTAGATGAAGAAGTCTTAACAAAGTCTTTACGAAGAAATTCATGAAAATTCAAGAGGGTAGAAAAGAGGTTAGAAAAGAGGTTATATCTAACCTTCTACCCTAAAATATATTTTTGGGTCATTTACACTCATTGACGAAGAAATCTCAACAAAACATTTACGAAGAAGTCTTGACAAAACATTTACGAAGAAGTCTTGACAAGATAGAATATGAGAGAGGTCCTATAAACTGGAGAAAGTGTCATATAAACATCTGTCAAAAACCGCTTTTCTGTCACTTTTCAGGAAAAAAACATTTTTATTGTATATAAAATGAATTTTACAAAACCACCGTTACCCTTCTTTGGAAATAAGAGTAGATGTAAAGATATTCTATTGAGAGAACTTAAGAAACTACCGAATGGTCTAACATTTGTAGATTTGTTCGGTGGAAGTTTCTATATATCTCATTTGTGCCATACCGTATTCCCAAACTCAAAGATTATATGCAATGACTTCGACAACTATATGAACCGTCTCAAACATATACCAGACACAAACAAAATATTGAGTGAGTTGAAAGAAAAGATACCTATAGGTAAGATGGAACGTATACCATTAGATAAGAAAAATACTGTCAGAGAGGTTTTGAAAAAAGCAGAGTATATTGACTGGGATAGTATATCTTCTAGACTATTGTATAGTGGTTCTATAAGAGTTCATGACATTGAAACACTTATGTCAAAAGTTTTATATCTTAACTATACAAAGGTTTTCAAAGAGAACATAGAAAAATATACTGAGGGTATAGAGTTTGTGAGATGTCGTTGGACAGAGTTGTATGAAAAATATAAAAACAAGGAAAATGTTTTCTTTATAGTAGACCCACCGTTCTATAACACATACGATTTTCAATACCAAGTAGACTGGACTTTGAGAGACTCTTTAGAAACTTTAGACGTTTTACATAACCATCCATGCTTTTACTTTACATCCGATAAAAGTGGTTTGGAAACCGTTATGAGATGGTTAGAGGACATACATGACTATGAGTTTATATATGACAAGATAGAATATGAGAGAGGTCCTATAAACCGGAAAAAGTGTCATAACAAAGAAATTTTACTAGTAAGTAAATGTGGTTTGAAATAGGACTACTTGTTTTAGGTTTTTTCCATTGTGTCATTTATTTATTTGACGTGGCAGAAAGATATAGAGAATATGAAGATGAACCAATGCCTGCAAATGTTCAGTATATGTACTCGTAAGAGATATTTTTATCTAATATTAAATGGACGCACAGAACTTAGCGAATGCACAGCAACCTGGACAACCAAACCCAGAGAATATTCCAAATGAAGTTAGAATACAAACTGCAATGGCAAACTATGGTCAAGTGCCAACAGATGTACAAATGCAAACTGCCATGTCAAATGACGCTGCGTTAGGTTTGCCACCATGGTATGCAAATATGAGATGGAAAGAGTTTTATACAAACCCTGAAGTGGGATATAAACAACTTTATGCAGATGACGCGAACACAGGAGTTGACCCAGAATATGTTTTCTACCAGAGGAGAAACAGAATGTATGAGCTCCAGTTAAAGAATGCTATGGAACTCAACAGGAAACGTAAGAGACTAGGCGGACATTAGATTTTTACATATAGTAAAATGGGTTTCTTTGGAAGAATAGGAAACTTCTTTCGAAATGTTGGAAGAGGTATATGGAATGGAATAAAAACCGTCGGAAGAGGAATTTGGAACGGAGTCAAAAATATTGGCAAAAGAGTAGGTCAGTTCGTTGGTATTATACCTAAAGACCCTGAACCAGAAGAGCAAGCTCCTGTTATACAACAGCCTGAACCTGCACCACAGTCTAGTTGGCAACCAAATCCAACACCTCAACCGTATTAAAAAATTATATTTTTACCGTTCGATAGTAGTTGTATATGAAACTAAGTTCTAAGTAAAACGCGTGGTATAATGGAACTATTCTCTTTCTTCCATCTGTTGTAAACCATACTTGAAAATCCGAAATACTTCCACTCGGTGGTTCATATAGCTTTGTAGGTTTTTCGTAAAAGTCATTTGCCAAGCATAAAAAAGAGTTTTGGGCGCCAGAAAATGAAGCATGAACGATAATAGCATCTGAGTCGAAAACATTTTCATATGTTCCATTAGGGTTTTCGACTTCATAAAAGTCCGGGTGTACTGGATATTCTGCAGGCTGATTTAACATCCTCAAAAATCTATACCATGCCAAGTTGTTATATTTTGTAGAAATATAAACGTTTTCTCCAAGGTCTTCTATTCTATCGATTTTAACAGTTGCATTTTTCCTGTCATATATAATATCGAGATGGTACTCTCCTTCGTCAATGTTGTACTGTTTTGCATATTCGAGATAGATATCGTTTATTTTTTCTTGAAATGCTTGAAGAGTTGTTTCTAAATTTATAAGCAAACTAACTTGTAAAAGTTTTCCCTGTTCAAATTTCTCATACATACGTTTTTCTTTGTTATAGTATCGAACTTCAAAACCGACCGTAAATGGGAAACCATGTATGGCTTCTGAAATGAATTTCATTCTACGAAAGCCAATAGCTTTTGTGACGGATGGGTCTCTTAGCCATCTTAACGGGTAGTCAAAACGATAGCCTTCATGCTTTACGGTCTCTGTCTCAAACTTTTGACCGACATTCGTAAAAAGTTCATCTAATGGTTTAGTTGTAGCAACTCTAGAATTTTCTTTTTCTATTGAAAGCATATTTTATCTAGAATAAAAATGTCAAATGAAACAGCGTCTATGAGAGAAATAAAACACAACCGACAACTCATTTTGCAAGCTCTAAATAAGAACACAACAAACTTTTCAAACTATTCTAAGATATCTGAGTCATTGAAAGAAGGAAACTTAAAACTGACGATAAACCCAATGACAGACGAGTTTCTGTTTCAAGACAGTAAGAACCATACTGTTTGTGTAAATCCAACAAAAGGAACTTTAAACGAGAAACCTATAAAAGAACTTCTTTTGAAAGCAGATGTTGACAACAAAGCTGACAAAGAGTATGTCATTGAAAAAGTTCAAGAAGAACATGACAGAGCAGATGCAACATATGCAACAAAAGAACATACTCATCCTGAACTAGCGGACAAAACATATGTTGACAATAAAATGTCAAGTGAAGTGACAAGAGCTGACAAAGAATATTCTAAAAAGACTCATACACATACCATTGCAAATATTACAAACTTACAAGAAACCTTAAACAGGAAAAGTGACGTTGGACATACACATACCATTGCAAATATTACAAACTTACAAGAAACCTTAAACAGGAAAAGTGCCGTTGGACATACACATACCATTGCAAATATTACAAACTTACAAGAAACCTTAAACAGGAAAAGTGACGTTGGACATACACATACCATTGCAAATATTACAAACTTACAAGAAACCTTAAACAGGAAAAGTGCCGTTGGACATACACATACATCTTCTGAAATAACAGACTTAAACGTTAGCCTTGAAAAGAAAGCAGATAAAACATATGTCAATGAAATATACCAAAGTTTAGTTGGAACAAAAAATATTGAGACTATGGTTGGTGACTTTTCTGTCAATGAAGAAAACAAATATTTTAGATGGCAGTTTGTACATTCCTTAGAAAATGGTACACGGTATAAACTCATTCCGAAAAATAACAATGAAATGTATGTAAGCTATATAAAGAATGATGGTACACAAGTTAAAGTTCCATTAGACAACAACTGCTACTTAAACATATATGGAGACGAACAAAAGAAATATTTAAGAGTTTATGAAATGGCAGATATGACATTACCTGACCCAGCTCCAGCACCATACTATTATGACTATGGAGATGACGTCAGAACACCACATGTAGATGAACAAAAGCTAACATTATATTTAGAATATTATAGATATAAAAGATATAATGCAATAGAAAAAACGAGAATAGTATACTATTATGAAGATGACAGAAATAAATATTATAGTCAAGACTTTACCCACCCTGAAAACATAAGATTATATTATAAAAAATATTCTGACACAAACCAGAAGAAACCTGAAATGGTTGCACTATATTTTAAGTTCAAAAGGGACAATCCTATAATATCTCATATGTTTGATTTAATGAACCCAGTAGGTTCTATTTACACGTCAATGGAAGCAAGAGGTCCTCAAGTAATGTTTGGTGTTGGTGCATGGGAACAAATAGTCGACAGGTTTTTGTATTGTGCAAACTCTTCAAAGGAAACAGGTGGAAGTAAAACGATTTCAGGTGAAAACTTACCTGCGCACAGTCACTACATAGATTTAAGTACATCTCAAGCAGGTTGGCATAGGCATAGATATTGGGATTGGACAGGAATGACAAAAGGTAAAGGATATGATGTTAAAGACGACGTTAAGTTTGCTATAAATTGTTACTGGAGTGACACTCAGGGAGAAGGAAACCATACACATTTTGTTTCAGGATATACACAAACAACGGGACAAAGTAAAGAATACATGCCACCTTACATGACAGTTTACGCATGGTATAGAATTGCTTAGTCGTCATTTTCAACTTCTTTAGCATATTCGTCAGCAGTTGTCTTATATTTGTTAGGAACTGTCTTTGAAAGTATACCACCTTGAACCTTAACAAGTTTGAAACGAGGTCTGACAATAGTAGTTTTATCTTCTGCTTGCAGTGTGTACATTTTGCCATGTTTGCCTAAAACTTCATAATATTCTCTTGTATACTTTCTTCTATTTTTACGAACACGAAGGTGAGTACCTGTCGAGTTCCCATTGTTGTCATAGTCAATAGTATTTTCATATGGGTCGCGTTTAGGTATTTCTATTTTTACTTTGTCACCTTTCTTAAGTTTGAAGCCTGGCATTCTTCTTGTTTGTCTCTTTTGACTAAACTATTAAATATATAGTCTTTCTAAGTCGGGGTTGTTTTTCAATTTCTTCAGGGAATGGTTTCCCAAACCTTTTTGTTTACGGGTATTGTAAATATTTAAAACTTGTCTCATCTTTGCCATGGAGAAATGTCTATATTTGTCGTCATATGACATTTCATCTACCTCACCACCTTGTGGTTGATTTAAGTCTCTTAAGATTTTTATACAACTGTCAATGACACCAAGAGCAGAATGGTTTTGGTCGACAATGAAATATTGGTTTACATTTTTTGAACGCAGATAGTTTTTAATATCGTCTGATTTGAAAGAACTTTCACAGTCAGATGTCAGTTTTGTTGGATGGTATTTGTCAACGAATATTGTCAAAGCAGTTTTCACATCTAAAATATTTTTGGACTGTAATGGTATGGCTTCACAGTATCTTGTGTTTTGACCGACAAATATTAGCCAGTTATGGTGGTCCATCTTCTCTATACCTCGGAATGTTTTCCAAATATCCATAAACCAAGCATTTGGTGTTGAACTAAAGATTTTTACCATGAGTGCTTTCTTTGTCGCTTTAGAAACATAGGGGTCCTTGTTTGGATTCGTCATTTTTTTAACCCATAAGAAATGGGTTTATTTGGCGCATTAGCAGGAGTTGCATCCAGATTTTTGCCCGCAGTGGGAACAATAGCTAGAGGTGCATTTGGAATTGGAAGGAAGATTTTGAGTACTTTAGGTATACTGAAAGAGAAAGCACAACCTATTATACAAACCGTACAGAAAGGTTGGGAGGTAGCACGAGATGCAGCAAATCTTATTCCAAATCCTGAAACAAGAGGAAAAGTTCAAGGATGGATGGACAATGTAGGAAGAGAAGCAGGAAACTACTATAACAAAGCAAATGACTACTATAACCAAGCAGGACACTACATGGACCAAGGTGAAAGATTCTTTAACAGAGGATATAACCATGCACAACAGTGGGTAAACAATAACCAACCGCAACCACTCAAACTTGGGGAATGTAAAGTTTTTTACTGAGATGAAATGAACAATAACAGCATTGAGACAAATGGGCTCAAGATGGATTTGTCGACTTCCAGCAGTTACACAACCACGTGTTTGTCAAGTTCTTCCTATACCTCAGGAAGTTTTAGACCGACTTAAAAAACCTAAACAACCAGTTGAAAACAAACCAAACTAAAATTTTTTACTGAGATGAAATGACCGAAGAAGTTGAAACCGTAGATTTGACACCACAAAAAAAAGTTCAGAACCATTGTCAAAACCTGTCAAAGAACTTACAGATGAAGAGAAAAATTCAATAATAGAAAGTGCCAGGTCTGGAAATACAAACCCTAACTACAAAGTCACTTTTCATAGAAATGGAACGGCTAGTATCTCAAAAAAGAAACAGACTCTCACAAATAAAATATTGAAGTCTGAAGGAGCTTTCGAGACAACAGATGGGAAGGTATTCTTCACTGACCAACAGTTCATTATAGAACATCTCATTGACTTAGAGTCAAAATATTCTAAACTTTACAACAACACAAAAAGTTGAAAGGAAAACAAAAACAAATGGCATATGATATTTATGAAGATGTTGACGACACAACCATACCTGCAAGTGAAGTAAAGTCAGGTGAACCAAAAAGTGACGAAAAACCGATAGAAGAAGGTGAGCCAAAAACTGAAGATAAACCAAAACCAAAGGTTAGTTTCCAAACTAAACCAAGTCAACCTTCATTAGCTGGTATGGGTTGGCGTCAAAGGCTTCTGGTAGCTGGTGGTTACGTAAAGTAAAGGAAAAAACATTTTTTTATTTTTATTTGAAATGTACGCTGAGTTTGTTGGAGAAGACCGTTGGGAAACTTGTTTGTTAGATGAGAAATATGAAATGGCATACCATTTAAAATAAAACATTTTTTCAAAAAAAAATATTTTTTTATTTTATTTGAAATGTACGCTGAGTTTGTTGGAGAAGACCGTTGGGAAACTTGTTTGTTAGAATGAGAAATATGAAATTCACTGTTGTGAGTCATTTGAAGTCAGAAACAAAGAGACAAAAAGAGTTTTAAGCGAATGGGAGCGAAATAACGGATATACTACTATGAAGATGGGTGGAAAACACTATTTTAAACATGTTGTCATTGCAACTCATTTTATACCAAACCCTAACAATTTACCTTTTGTAGACCATATAAACCGTATAAGAAACGACAATAGACTTGAAAACTTACGTTGGGTCACTCGTTCTGAAAACAATAAGAACAAAAGCAAATTTAGAGATATTGTATTCGAATTTGTCGACGAACTAGAAGATGAAGCAATTGAAATTACAGACTATGGCAAGCATACGCTTGAGTTTTACTACTATAGCGAAGAACAAGACTCTTTCTACTTTTATACCGGCGTAAACTATAGGAAATTACAAGTATGTTTTACTAAGACGGGCTATGCTTATGTAAACACTAGAGATACAGATGGAAAATACGTTCCAATATTTCTTAACAAATTCAAGAAGCTATATGGCATACCATTTTAAAACATTTTTTAAAACAGTATATTTTTACATATATTAAATGTTTCAGGTTGAAAAACAAAGAACAAAAGTAGCAGATACAAAACCGTTAGACTATATCTTTACAAACGCTGGTAGGACTATATCAGATGAAGAAATTTCATCCGGCTCCTACCGCTTTGACTTTCCAATTCGTTGGCTTCAAAGTCCTTCAGATGCAAAGGCAATAGGATTTAGAAGAGTTTTGTTTTCAAATAGAACTAACGCTTTTATGTTTGCAGTATATTTTCATGGGCAGTATAGAGGTTCTGATGGTCTACTAGACAAATTTGATGAAATGAGAATCTTTACAGTTCGTTCAGACGAAAGTCTTGAGAAGACTCTAAATGACTTTCAAACTCAAATAAACAAATACTACTGGGAATTTCAAGAAAAATACGATTCTTTACTAAATGGAACATACTATCTGAAACTAGAATATGACAAGATGAACTCCACAGTTTCATTTCAAAGGATTGAAAATAACCCTCCAAGAGATACACAGTTTTTATTTTGGCAAGTAGACAAACGTTCTTGGGCACAATTTCTTCGGTTACTAAACCAGAACGAACCATTACCACCTGACGGTCCGTTCTGGTTTATACGCCCACCAGCAGATTTGACAGTTTATAGAAACGTGTTTGACCCTCAAAATGTTATGTGTCATGCAAGTTTCAGTTCAAGCAACAATAGTTTTCTTTGTATTGGTAAGGACTTTTATGACTTTGCTTCTAAATTCTATGAACCACCGAGTAACAGTTTCTCTGACTTTCAAGTTTGGTTCACAACAAATGGTGTGCAACATATTGTTCCATTGTACTACGACTTTTATCTCGAATTGTCTTTCATATATAACTACGGAGAAGTGCTGAAAAAGTATTGAAAAATATATTTTAGGTGAAGAGGTGAGATTTCACCTCTTTTTTCACCTGTTTTTTCACCTCTTTTCTACCATCGTAGAAAACACACAAAACTCTTGAATTTTCATGAATTTCCTTAAGATAGAAAAAATAAAGTTAGTTTTATTTTTTTATTTTTTTTTATTTTGTATGTAAGAACAGAAATGACAAACACTGAGTTTGAAACAGTTAAAAAGATAGACAATGACACCAAAGTGGTTAGAATAGGTGATTTAAACGTAAGATACTCAAAGAAATACAACAAATATTCTTTGTCAGACATTATATCTCCATCTGGAAAGAAAACATGGCATTGGGTTGGAATTGCTTCAACTCAGAAAATTTTGACAAGAAATCCTGAGCTTATGATATCGGTAAGATTCTATGGAACTACAGCATATCTCATTGACAAAAGTCTTATACCGATAGTTTTGTTATGGATTGACCCAGTTGTTGGATATAATTTCATAACATATGGTTCATTCGATACGGAACGTTGCAGTGAGGGCTTACTTTACATCGTTTCAGAAACCGAAGGACTTCAATACAAAGAGATATAAGATAGGAAGAACATATAATATAACTCAAAGATATGACAGTACAGTCAATAGAGTTAAGGTTGTGTTTGTTAACGATATGAGAGCTGCTGAAACAGAACTACTTGAAAAGTTTGAGAAGATGTATGGTGCTCCCACGAAAGGTAAAGAAACGTTTGAAGTAGATGAGATAGATAGTGCTATAAAATTATTTGACGAAGTTGCTGAAAAATACATGTAAAGCGTATATTTTGGTCTTTTGTGAAAGTCAGAAAATAAAGTTAGTGTCATTTTTTGTATTTTTTTGTATTTTTATGTTAGAATGTTAGATATAACCTCTTTCTAACCTCTTTTCTACCCTCTTGAATTTGTCATGATTTTATATTCGCAAAAATATATTTTAGGGTAGAATGTTAGATAACCTCTTTTCTAACCTCTTTTCTACCTCTTGAATTTGTCATGAGTTTTATACAGAATTCGGCAAAAATATATTTTAGGGTAGAAGGTTAGATATAACCTCTTTTCTAACCTCTTTTCTACCCTCTTGAATTTGTCATGAGTTTTCCCGAAATAAAAAAATAAGTTGGTTTTTTTAAAAAATATTTTTTTTATTTTTATTGTAAGAACATGTTAGCAACAAACAGCACCAAACTCGTTAGTCATGAACCCAACTTCAATGTTAGTAGAGATGAAAAGCTTCATTCCTTCTTCATATACTTCGAAACAAAAATCCAGAAGATAAAGCAAGAACTTTTAACAAGTACTTTGGACTGTTGTGCGAAAGATGAAACAAATGAACAGTATCTTATAAATGCAGGATATTATTGACCATTTACCCAAATTGCCTGAAATCCAACAACAAAAGCTTACTATTCCAGAATTCGATGAAATAGAAGTCAAAGCAACTGACTCAGTAGAAATAAAGAAGTTCATACGAAAGGTTAACTATGAGTTTCTTGGATTTCATTGCAACCACAAAGTCATGGACAAAGATTGCGATATGGTATTATAAGAACATCTCTGACATATACAAATCTGGGGAGTTTAAGACCTACGACAACTTTGTTTCGTTAGTTGCTGAATGTGTATGGCAGATAAGAGATAAAGATAGAAGAGGTAAGATATGGAATGAACAGATAAAACCCGCAACTTTTGAGTTAAAGAGAGCAATTGACGCCTTATCATACTAGCAGGTAAGGTTTCAGAATATAACGCAAAAATGAACCCACAATGTTCTAAATGTAAAGCAGCAATGAGGAAATATAACTACTCCGTCAAAGAGAATAGAACGTATGCGAAACGACTATGCTGACTTAAAAGAAAGATATGTCAAACATTGAGTTTGAAACAGTTGGGAAAGATAGACAATGACACCAAAGTGGTTAGAAATAGGTGATTTAAACGTAAGATACTCAAAGAAATACAAACAAATATTCTTTGTCAGACATTTTATCTCCATCTGGAAAGAAAGCAAAGGACTGGGTTAGAATTGCTTCTAGTCAGAAAATTTTGACAAGAAATCCTGAGCTTATGATATCGGTAAGATTCTATGGAACTACAGCATATCTCATCGACAAAAGTCTTATACCAATAGTTTTGTTATGGTTAGACCCAGTTGTTGGATATAACTTCATAACATATGGTTTATTCGACTCAGAACGTTGCAGTGAAGGCTTACTTTACATCGTTCAGAAACCGAAGGACTTCAACACAAAAAGATATAAGATAGGAAGAACATATAATATAACTCTAAGATATGACAGTACAGTCAATAGAGTCAAGGTTGTGTTAGTTAATGATATGAGAGCTGCAGAAACAGAACTACTTGAAAAGTTTGAGAAAATGTATGGTGCTCCCATAAAAGGTAAAGAAACGTTTGAAGTAGATGAGATAGATAAAGCTATAAAATTATTTGACGAAGTTGCTGAAAAATACATGTAAAAATAACGTTTACCATGTAAAACGCTTATAAAATAACTGGGGTAGAAAAGAGGGTAGAAGACAGGTTAGATCTAACCTTCTACCCTAAAATATATTTTTATTGAAAAATGACCAAATTTCATGAAATTTCTCTAGACCGACTTCCTTCGGGGTCGCCAAAACTCTATGAAATCATGAATTTCCTTAAGATAGAAAAAATAACGCTAATTTTATTTTTTTTTATTTTTTTATCCGGAATATAAAGACAGATATGTCAACAACCGAGAACACAACAACTGCTATCGTTCATGAAGCTATAAATGAAGAATATGAGTGGGTTCAGTTTAACAAACAACTCCGTCTCATTCGTTCGGTCAAAGATGACATGTACCAAATGCAAAGTATTTTGACAGCATGTTTTGCTCCAGATACTAAGAAACCACAAGACTGGTTTAGGAACCAAAGCACACAAGAACTTTTGAGTGAGTTTGAACATGTAGAACTTAAAAAGATGTACCAAGACAGACAAAACTTACCATCACATCTAAAAGGTATATATGTTCATAAGTTCCTAGTTAGTTCAATAGCAATGTGGGCTTCACCTCGCTATTCATGGTATGTTTGTAAACTTCTTGACGAACTTTGTACAAAGCAGAGAGAAGATATGATGAAAGAAGACAAAAACATACAGAAAAGAATACCGCGTTCAGTACCAAAAGGAAAGGAAAAGAACTATAAGTATATGATTTACACTGAAGAGATGGAAAATGAAGAAGACAGAGATATGGTTATGTTGCATTTAGTCAGAAGAAACAACAAAAGCTTTTACGACCTTGCTAAGATTTACAAATCTGACAGAAATTGGTTCTATCGCGAAAACTTACCGATTTCAATGACACCAAATGAAGATGTGAAACAAATAGTTCAAGATACGTTACCTCAAACACACTATGATATTAAAGGTTGTACAATACTTACCTTCAAAGAAGACTTACCGCTACTGAAAGAAAAAATAACAGAGTATTTTGACAACTTCAAACAAGCAGAGTAAATGAACCATTTATTTTTGGTCTTGACTTCAGATGGCTCAGGTAGCTCTAGATGGTAAATTGTCTTGTCAAATCCTTCTGGCATTCCAAGTCCTTCCTTCCGACATTCCAAGTCCTTCCTTCCGACATTCCAAGTCCTTCCTTCCGACAGGAAAAGTTTTTCTTTCCGACAGGAAAAGTTTTTCTTTCCGACAGGAAAAGTCCTTCCTTCCGACAGGAAAAGTTTTTCTTTCCGACAGGAAAAGTTTTTCTTTCCGACATTCCGAGTCCTTCCTTCCGACATTCCGAGTCCTTCCTTCCGACAGGAAAAGTCCTTCCTTCCGACAGGACACAAACGAATGTCCCACGTACCACCAACCGAGTCCATTCCAAAGCCAGAAGAACCGAAAGCTGCAGAACCACAACAGACTTACTAAGACTAAACACTTACATTTTTCAAGCTTGCTTGGTTTGCACTTGCTGAGATATTCCTTCACGGTTTCATTTACCTCAATTAGATAAATTGCTTCGTCTAAGGGGTCAAGCTCCATACTGAGTCAGTACAATATTGTACTTTTTCAAGACAATGTTGTATAAATTCAGTACAATATTGTACTTTTTCAAGACAATGTTGTACTTTTTCAAGACAATGTTGTACTTTTTCAAGACAATATTGTACTTTTTCAGAACAATGTTGTACTTTTTCAGTACAATGTCTCTCAAATTTGAGTACGGCTGTACTTTTTCAGAACAAGTCTTGAACTTTTTCAGAACAATGTTGTACTTTTTCAGAACAATGTTGTACTTTTTCAGAACAATGTTGTACTTTTTCAGAACAATGTTGTACTTTTTCAAGACAATGTTGTACTTTTTCAAGACAATGTTGTACTTTTTCAAGACAATATTGTACTTATTCAGTACAATATTATATTGTTTCAGAACAAAGACGGTTAAGACACAAACGAATGTCCGACGTTCCTCTTCCTGAATGCCTTCCAAAGCCAGAAGAACCGACAGCCCCAGCACCACAACAGACTTACTAAGACTAAACACTTAGATTTTTCAAGCTTGACTTTTTACAATTTGAACTTTGTTTGCGTAGATATGAATTCTGAAAGAAGTATGAGGGTCTTGTATGACTTTGTACTTCTCCCATAGTTCATGTCTGTCAAACTTACCTGCCATGGACTCTTTCATAAGTTCCATGAAATCGTCTTCGGACAATCCGGGGAAAAGTACAATGTCAGTAAGTATTCTCTTTACATCCTTACTTAAACTCTTTGCTGTCTGTACACAAATGACAACTGAGATGTTAAAGTGTCTGAGCTTCTTAAGAATTCGACACATGTCTTGTTCTCTGTTCTTAACAAAGGAATGAGAAGCAAAGTCATCTAAGATAAGAGACATCTATGAGGGTAAGTCTTCCAATCTAAGATTGCAATTTCTTCGAAATGTATTCTATCTCTTTCTGTTTGTTTCTGAAGTGTTTCTTCTCTAATATTCTCTGCATTTCCTCATTTGGGTCTTTAAACTTAGAATTTATATACTCATTTATAGCATTGTACTTCAAAACTCTTCTTTGGTACTTCTTTATCCAATCTAACAACTCAGAGTCTTTTTACATACTAACTTAGACTTTTTATAATATCTTTGAACGAATTTACGGTTTGATCGAATTGACCAGAGAAGTACTACAAATGACTACTAACTCATAGAATGGGTTCTTCTCATCTAGTTCTTGTTGTTGTGCAGCCATTTTAAGATAAGTGAAAGTCTTACCCGACCCAGGTGGTGCGATTAACCTGTATACCATTCTGAGCAAATAGGAACTTGTCATGTATGGGTTTTATCTGAGCATTTTCTAACTTCCTCTTGTTCTTGTTTTAAAACATTCTCAAATTTCTTGTCAATGTCAGCAAAACTTTTTTTCTAACATATTTTTAGAAAAATTAAAATTTTTTATCTTTTTGAAAATGTCTAGCGATTTCGCTATCTATATTCGAGACAAGCTTTTCGACAGCAAAACATCTGTAGACCATAAAATCTTACATAGTGTAAACAAGAAAGGTGAATTTGTTTCTAAAGTTCTGTTTCTGGAATATGACAAGAACCATAAAACATTACAAAGAGCAGTCTTAAAATTTGTCAATGACAGACTTGTTGACAGAGATGACACCGATTGGAAAGATGAAGTCCAACAAAAGTTCTTAGAATGCAAAGAAGACACATGCGCTGTTCTTGAAGATGAAATAGGAAACAGAATAGAGAGCTATTAAAGGACAAAGAACTTTTACATAAATATGGTTCTGAGAAATTTGACATAACTCCACCAGAGAAGAAGAAGAAGAGAGAAAAGAAAGAAAAGAAAGTAGAAGAGAAGAAAGAACCTGAACCAGTTCCAGAGAAGGTGAGATATGACATGTAAAAATAAAATTTTATTTTAGAACATTTCTGGGTCAATGTCAATGTTCTCTTCCTCTTTAGGAGCAAACACTGGCTTAGACTCTAAAATCTTTTTTACCTAATTTACCTTGAACTTCAACTATCTTAGACTCATAATATTCATAGTCGTCTGCTTTCTTTGGTTCATAAGGTATAAAAGTTTGTATGCTTTGCCTTTCTTCGAGTTTTGAGAACTTTCTGTCAAAATTTTCTTTGACTGCTAACAAACCTTCTATGTCTAAGTCTTCAAATTTCGCACCATTTTTAGTCACAATAGCAAACTTAACTGGTTCGATGTTCCAAACTTTGTCAAATTAGACTTTTTCAAAATTGTAGAAGTAAACATTCAATATGCGAATGGAGCTAACTTATCTTTGACTTCTGTCATGTACTTGTTGACTGAAATATATTTCGTCATCTTTTCTATCGGATAAAAAAATATTTTTTTTTAAAAACGTTTTAAAATGGTAATGCCATATAGCTTCTTGAATTTGTTAAGAAGTATTTTAACGCATTTTCCATCTGTATCTCTAGCGTTTACAAAAGCATAGTCTTCCTTAGTAAAACATACTTGTAATTTTCTATAGTTTACGCCGGTATAAAAGTAGAAAGAGTCTTGTTCTTCGCTATAGTAGTAAAAACTCCAACGTATGCTTACCATAGTCTGTAATTTCAATTGTTTCATCTTCTAGTTCGTCGACAAATTCGAATACAATATCTCGAAATTTGCTTTTGTTCTTATTGTTTTCAGAACGAGTAACCCAACGTAAATTTTCAAGTCTATTGTCGTTTCTTATATGGTTTATATGGTCTACAAAAGGTAGATTGTTAGGGTTCGGTATAAAATGAGTTGCAATGACAACATGTTTAAGATAGCGTTTTCCACCAATCCTCATCCTAGCATATCCGTTATTTTGCTCCCATTCGCTTAAAACTCTTTTTGTCTTTTTGTTTCTGACTTCAAATGACTCACAACAGTGAATTTCATATTTCTCATCTAACAAACAAGTTTCCCAACGGTCCTTTCCAACAAACTCAGCGTACATTTCAAATAAAATAAAAAAATATTTTTTTTGAAAAAATGTTTTATTCCATGCAATGTTTTACTTCTCATCTGTAACAAACAAGTTTCCCAACAGTCTTTTCCAACAAACTCAGCGTACATTTCAAATAAAATAAAAAAAGATTTTTTTTATTCTTGAGCTATTTTTTATTCTTGAGCTATTTGTTGTTCTTGAGCTATTTGTTGCATTTGTTGTTCTTGAGCTATTTGTTGTTGAAGTTGTTCTTGTAGTACAATACTTTCACCAGTTGCATCTTCCAATTCGAAACTTTCTGCCGTCATTGACAAATACATAGGACATAAAAGTTTTACAGGAACAAAGTTTGCGTCGACTAAGGTTAAGTTTATGTTTGCTAAAGTGTTTGAGTTCACTAAAGCTGAAAACTCTGCATTCGAATGAACAATAGGCAAACCAGCAGAGAAAGTGTTGTTTATACGCATGAGTATCTTTTGGTCATAGTAGTTTCTGTCGATATTCGAATAGCACTTTGAACCTAAGTTTGAAACAATATATAAAATAGGTGTACTTAAAGTCAATGGAACAGACAAACCTTGTATGACACCTTTTCCTGTTATAGGAAACTGTTGGTAGTAAAAACCAGATATAAGTTTTGTATTATAGCTCATATCGTTTATAGTAAACTCAGTCGGACATCCAAACATAATGAAACCTGCTCTAGTTGCAGCACATGTTACATCCGTCCTTAAAGTATTAAATAAGTCAACAAAACCTGTTGGTGGTATATCTGAGTAAGTATCTTCAAAGGAGTATTTTTTACCATTCACAACACAAAGTCTTCTGGTGTCAAAAGAGCAAAACAGGCTTTAGTCGTCATTGTGTTTAAGGTTAGTTTACAATATCGTCCTTGAGGACTTTGTAAGTTTGTTGTTATAGAATTATATGACTCAGGGTTTTTAGTCGTAATAGTATAAACCATTATGTCTTCTGCCATTTACTTAGCAAATAATTTTAATGAAATGTTGTGGTCGTCAAATATTTTTATAACGTCTGGGAAACTATACTTTAAGTTCAACGTTTCACCTCCTTTCATAACGTATATCTTGTCAATGACATTATATGAAACACCACAGCAACTAATGTCGGGTTCTATTTCTTTGATGTTTATATCGTCTGCCTCTGTCAAAAGTTTCAATAGTTCTTTCAAAACTTCATGAGGTGCAATGACATATGAGTTCACTTTTACAGGGTTGTGCTCAACCAAGTTTAACATTATACCCAAAGCCTGACAAATCTTCTCCTGAGTTTGAAGTTTGTTTTCAGTTGTGGTAGTCGTTTCGAATATCTGCAACAGAACTTAAGTCTCTGCTAACTTCAGGATATGTTGGTTGTTCTTTTACAGGAACTATTGTTATACCATCTTCGTCTTCGTATGGTTTCCCCACTTCAACATCTCTTTCTTTGACATTGACAACAACACTTTGACTGTTTGTTTGAGTTGGTGAATTTAACTTCACATCTGCCACCGCCATTAAACCTTTTGAAACACTCACGCTTCTATTTTTCGGAAATGACATTTTACTTAGAATAAAAAGATGGACGTATTCGAGTATCTCTTCGAATTGAAGCAGAACAAAGTTTACACACACAAACAATACAAGTTCATTGACAGAATAGTTCTTTACACAAACAATGGAAAATGTTATAGAATAGCAATATTTGCTGAACCAAAATATTTTCATAAAGCAAAGAAAGTTGGTATAACTGAAATGGTGAAAGTTCTTGAAGCAGACAAAAATATAACTTCAAAACTTACAGATATTTCTAAAGGTAAGTTTATAATACAATACTATGTCAAAACTGGCGTACTGTCAATATTTGACGGAGAGAAGTCAGTTCAAGAACAACTTACTGACCTGCTGCCAAAATCTGCTCGATGGAAGCTGTCGTTATGCCAATCTGAGGAGCCCCAGCAGGTTTCATCGAACGAATCTTCAAAAGAGCATCTTCCGTGAAAAGTGCTATTGGTTTTGTAAACTTCTTTGCTTTCAATTCATTTGGACCGTCTCTGTCACCAGTATATTGTATTTGAACTGTACCAACAGTTGAAATACCACCCATAAAGTCTTCTGAGTCAGCAAATGGAATGCCAAGCCAAAAGTTTGAACGGTCTCCATTTGTATATTGAGTGTTTTGAGCTCCTGTATGGGTCCATACTTTCACATATGGCATAATAGAACTTTGCATTTCAGGGTTAATGGTTGTTGTGAAGTTGTTGTTAAAGTTCATAGCATCTAATGTCAAGTTGTATGACCTCATATCCTCAACTGTAGAATATTCTTCTCTTGGATAGTATTTGCCATCTATGTTTATATGATATTTAATACCAGGGTTGTAGAAGCAAGAATAGTCATTTATAGTTCGTCTGAACAGTACAAACATAGTATCTGCATGTTTCATTGCAGTTGTTAAAGCAATATCTGTTCTTGCACCTGGGTCAGCACTTTGGTTTCCAACTTCACCTGCAAAGTCTTTGACAGATATTTGGTGTATAGGGAACATAAGTGGAACTGCAATATATTTGGCAGCTAAAGCATTTGAAATATCTGGGTCCAACATATAGACTGCAAGTCTGCTTTCTATTCTCTTGCATTCAAACCTTTCGCATGTGAACTTAACTGGGTCCCAAGCAGTTCCAGCAGCATTGAAGTAGTAGTTTACTTCAGTGTTGAGGTTTGAGAAACCAAAGTCTAAGTCAACTTTGTCTTTGCAAAATTCGGCGAATGACGTTTGATTTGCTCCCTTTACGTCTGTAAGAGTGAATGGGTCTTGTGTTGGTGCAATGACTAAGTTATTTTTGCTTGGAGTAAGTTCGATAGAAATTTTTCCTGCCCAGTTTGGCAAGTATCTTAAAAACCTGAAGATGAGGAAAGATGACAAAGGAACTCTAAGTTTCAGTTTTACTTTGGTTACTGCTGCTGCAGTTTGTCCAGAAAGGTCAACATAAACTCCTGGAACGTTAGGGTCAAGTCTTCTTATTTTCTCAATAGTTGCATACTGGTCTGTTTGTTCTCTAGCTTGTGGTTGTACTGAGTTTCTTAAAGCGAACCATTCATAGTTTGCCCATGTTACTGTTTGAACTAAGTCAGAGTTAGAATATATCTTATATCCCATGAAAACTTCTGGAGCATATTGGTATCCGACATAGAAAATTCCATTGCAACCTTTCTTGTCAGACAACTTGGCAGAAGGTTTTATTTCAATGTCTTGTTCCACGTATAAGAAAGAGTTGTCAATAGAAATTATATGAAACCTGTCGCAAGCAATATCTACTGTTGTTGAAGAACCTTCTCCAAACTCACCTACGTTTCCATAAGAAACAGCAGTTGTATATTCGTAAGTTCCAGGAACTATTTCTGACCTTCTAATGGCATTGTCGCATTCGTTATACCATTCGGAAACATTTCCATTCATAGCATCCAAAACTGTTGGCGTTATATTCTGAGCGGCGTACATTTCATATGAGTAAAAATATAGAATAGTTGGATTTATATGTCATAATAGAACCCACTCCGACCAAGCTTTACTTTCTTCCTGACTGAGTTTTTAACTCTTCTTTTTCCTTCATTGCCCTCTGCTTGAAGTTGTTGCATCTTTGCATTATGTTCATCTAGTATGTTGCAAATTTCCCATGTCCTTTTTGCCTTTTGGCTCTGGTCGCCCATCTCAGGTAACCTATATCCTAGAAGAGTTTGTCATAGTTTGTATTTGAGTCGTCGCTTATTGTTTGCATGACTCTGTCCTGAGTTTCTGGTTCAAGCTCTTCAAACAGTGCCTGTCCATATGGAATAAGCTCGTTTCCAAATATATGTTTTTGTAGCCATTCTGGTTTTCTTTCCATGTTACCAACTATATCTTTGTGAATGGGAAAGCTTTTACCCAATCTTTCAGTCTTGCGTCATTTATTTCTGTAGTTGGTTTTATTTTGTCAAGGAACATGTTTTTCAATACTAACATTTCATTTGGTACTGTCCATTTGAGTTTTCTTAAATATTCATCCCTTCTCGATTCATTGTCTGCAAAGTAAGTTTTTATGACATTTTGTAAACTTTCGTTTGCAAGGTCATGTACAATAGGTTCTCTTCCTTCTCTCTCCCTAACTTTCTTTCTAAACTCTTCACCAAATATACCATCTTTATGGTTCTGTGTAGTTCTTTGAGATAAATGTTCTAGAACGTCAGGTGTTATATTTCCATCAGCCATGTTCATTTCATACTGGTCCAAAATATCTGCATGTTTCATATCTTTCAATGGCATTAAAGCCGCGCTTAAAATACCAGCTATATCTGGTTCACCATTGACTTCCATTGCGTCTACAACTTCTTGGAATTGAGGTTGTAAGTTTATGAACCACCTATCTGGGTTAGCTTTATGACCCCATCTCATTGTAGTTCCATCGTCTGCAGAAACAAAAGTAGGTTTGTTTCCATCTTGGTTAGGTTCTGAATGAACTTTAAACAATGTTTCATTTCTATATGTTTTCTTGAAATTTAACCTTTTATCTTCACCGAGTTCATCCGAAGATTGAACGTTAAATGCTCGTAAGTAAAAAGGGTGTTGTATTTGTGTACATTTTCTTTCAGTACTTCCATTCTATGCAGAATATTTTCATCTGGTGTTGGAGTCTTTTGTATGTCGGCAAACATTTTTCGATATTCTTCTACTATGTCAGCCGAATTTTTTTTAGACTCTTGGAAATATTCCATATTCTCCGCATACTCTTGTTGAGGGTCAAGATTTTTCGGCTGTTCCAAATCTTCATCTAGTTCTGTGAAGTTAGTTTCCAAAGGAGTGACTTGTTCGTTTCCTTCAGGCTCTTCTAGCTGTTGTTGCTGAACTATTTCTTCCATGTCTGGTTGTATCTGAACTTCTTCCTGTGGAGTTTCTTGTACCTCATCTGCTGGCATTTCATATATTCCGAGACCGTTTTTAACAATTTCCCTATCTACGTCATCCGCATTCATAAGCTTTTGTTCTTTCGTTCCGTCTCTATTTTTTACGCGTTTCATGACGAAAGTTGAATTGTCATTTAGCTCTGACATCAAATATCTCGGAGTAAATTCATCCATGTCATTTGGATGATATGCTATTAAATCATATCCCTTAGCGAGCTTGTATTTTCCAGGTTTGAGATTATATCCGTTTTGGTGCTGAGCCATAAAGCTAAATAGGTTCGGGTCAGTATTTCCATCCTTGAACTTTCCAATAGCTTCTTTATATCTGTCACTAAAGTCAATACTATCTGGGAAACCACACTCTTCTTTAAGCATTTTTAAGAATTCTTGGTTTCCTTGTTCTCTACTTCTTTTATGTCCTTGCTCTGTTTGTGGTTGTTGTTGTGCAGGGTTTTGAACTGTTGGTTGCTGTGCTGGTTGTTGTGTTGGTTGTTGTGCTGGTTGTGGAGGTGGTTGTTGTGCTGGTTGTTGTGCATGCCTGTGTCTGTGTCCATGTGACGATGTAAATGTTCTAGGTAGTCCTGGTGCAGGTGCTTCTCTTGGAGGGTTTGGTGGTATATAAGTTCCACCAGCTGGCACATATGTTCCATCTGCAGCGTAATGTCCTACCTGACTTTTCGTTCTTAAGAAAGCATTTACTAGGTCTGTTTTGGTCTGTTGTAACTCTTTTTCTTGACTTTTCACAACAGTTGCTCTAACGGCGTCATAGGCACTTTGAACTGCCTGTCTCGTTGCTGCGTCTGTTATTTTCGTCATATTTTGTGCTACTTCTTTTAACTCTTTGTCGAAACCTTCAGACTTCAGTTTCTTTCCAGATGAGAAATCGTTCACTTGTTTCACCTTACTATGAAGAGCTTCGAAGGCGTTCTTAAAGTCAGCATTTGTTAAAGCTTCATTTGAACTGTCTTCATCCGCTTGTATTTTTGTCCTTATTGACCCTATGAGTTGGGCTGCTTTAGCGTTGGCTTGGGCATCTAACCAGTCATTGTTAGCTTTTATATACTCTGCGCTTTTCATTGCCTTTTGCATAGCCGCGTCGTTATTTTTACTTTCTTGTGCTAAGTTTTCATACTGTACGGTTTGGTTTTGCAACTGTAAAAGTTTTTCTGCCTTTACATTTGCTTCAACTTCCTTTTTATACTCATCGCTATCCATATATGTCTTCAGGGCTTTTTGTTTTATCTCTTCATCTTTCAGTACTTTATATCGAGTAGTATGGTTTTTCAAATTTATGACATCTTGTTCCATTTTTGCTACTTCTGCTGCTTTTTCTGACACTTTTTTTGCATATTCCTCTGTACTTAGTTCTTTCAGTTGTTCTTCTTTCTTCTTTTTCTCTACGTTTAACTCATTGAGTTTCTTTGTGTGTCTGTCATATTCTAGTTTCTTTCGTTTTCACTTATTTGCTTCTGTATGTCTATGTTTGACTTTTTGACATCTGTTATTTGATTTTTGAGTGAACTCAAATTCATTTGACTTTGAGGGTTATATGCTGTTCCGTCTGCAGCTCCACCATAGCCTGCCATTTTCGCTAAAAGTGCCGCTCTTAAACCTCCACTCTGTGCACCAACAACTCGGTTTAAAAGCATAGGATTGCTTGACATTTGTTGCAACATAGTGGGGTCATTCAGCATTTGTTGTTGCAACTGTTGTTGTGGTGTCAGTTTTACTATTGGATGTTTCAATGCTCTCTTCCTCTTACGTATATTCTTACGTAGCTTACGTGGCATTTTAAGTGAAGTTAAAAAGCGGTTTTTGACAGATGTTTATATGACACTTTCTCCAGTTTATAGGACCTCTCTCATATTCTATCTTGTCAAGACTTCTTCGTAAATGTTTTGTCAAGACTTCTTCGTAAATGTTTTGTTGAGATTTCTTCGTCAATGAGTGTAAATGACCCAAAAATATATTTTAGGGTAGAAGGTTAGATATAACCTCTTTTCTAACCTCTTTTCTACCCTCTTGAATTTTCATGAATTTCTTCGTAAAGACTTTGTTAAGACTTCTTCATCTAATTTCTCATGAACTTTCTTGTCTATGTTTTGTTGAGATTTCTTCGTAAAGACTTTGTTGAGATTTCTTCGTAAATGACCCTAGTAGTATATTTTTGGTGTAAATTTCATGAAAATTCAAGAGGTGAAAAATTAGGTGAAAAAACAGGTTATATCTCACCTCTTCACCTAAAATATATTTTTGGTGTAAATTTCATGAAAATTCAAGAGGGTAGAAAAGAGGTTAGAAAAGAGGTTTATATCTAACCTTCTACCCTAAACATTATTTTTGGTGTAAATTTCATGAAAATTCAAGAGGGTAGAAAAGAGGTTAGAAAAGAGGTTATATCTAACCTTCTACCCTAAACATTATTTTTGGTGTAAATTTCATGAAGAAATCTCAACAAAGTCTTTACGAAGAAGTCTTGACAAAACATTTACGAAGAAGTCTTGACAAATTCAAGAGGGTAGAAAAGAGGTTAGAAAAGAGGTTATATCTAACCTTCTACCCTAAAATATATTTTTGTCTGATTTTACGAAGAAGTCTTGACAAAACATTTTACGAAGAAGTCTTGACAAAACATTTACGAAGAAGTCTTGACAAAACATGAAAACATATATAATTTGTGAAAAGCTCCTGGAAGACCTCCGAATAAAAACTTCATTTATACTAAACATCTTCAGGGCTAGAAGGCACGAAGTGCCTGGAAGCCCCACTACCTTTTTTTTTTTTTTTTTTTTTTTTTTTTTTTTTACAATCTTTCGGAGGCGCATTTTTATTAAAATTTTAGTGTATAGCTTGAAAATAAGGAGTTGAGATGATGAGCGATCATAAACATAGGCCTGATTCGCAAGTAATGGATCTTGGAGGGAAAAACTTTTCATTTATGTCAGATTTCTCAAAATTTTGTGACAACGAGACAATAATGGAATCATATAATATCTCATATATTAAATTAACATTAAGATGATCGTAATTCAATTAAATGAAATGGTCTTAAAATACAATTATATTTTGCACGAGAGTATTTTTGATATCATAATTTGAAGAAATTTGTGAAATGTGAAAAAACAAATTTCAATGAATCTGATCACAATTGAATGCAATTTTTTTTGGTCAATCGGATTTCATATAAATCGAAATGTTAATGAGTTCATTGAAGGCACAAGTTATCGGAGTCTTATATCGACGCATTATTATTTATTGGAACTCCAAATTGTCCTTAATTGCAATATTTCTCTTTTCAATTTTGTTTGCTAGCAGCGCTTGTATTATTCCTAGTATCGTTAGTTCCGCAAATATATTAGATGAAGAGAGAAACCTTCAAATTTCGAATTTTGAACCAAATGATTTAACATTTGCAAGAATTTCTAATAAAAACTGCTCATTATGCGATACAATTCAGATGAATTTATCTAACAAATTTTCATTCCTAATTAAAGAGCAGTTTAACACCACGCTTAAATTTTTAGACTTTGAATCTTTTGAAAAATTTGAAATTTATCTTCAGAGTATAGTAAAAAATCCACAAAAGTACCTTAATATTCCAGCCGCATTTCAAATCGTTAATGATTCTAAGATTTACCCTCTAAATGGCAGACCGAACGGAAATTTTGAACTCAAAATGGTTTTAAATCGAACTATTGGACTAGAAACAGAAGAATTTTTCAATAGAGCTCTACTAGAAATGGTTTTTGATGAATACGAGAATAAAGGAAATATCACAGCAAAATTTTACTACACGGGATTTAGAGAATATTTAGAATCAAACAATCCACGTGCAAGATACGAATATTGGATAATGCTTACAACACCAATTGCAGTAATCATATTCTCAGTATATCTTTTAAATCATACTATTCAAGATATCAAAACGAATGCTCACTCATACATGATATCATGTGGTTTGTCAAAGCTCACTTATTGGATTGGTAATTTCTTGATTGATTCTATCTTATTATTAATTTTTTCGATATCAATTTATATTCTTTACATATCATTTGGAGTTACATCGTTTAGAACATACTATATTCAAACATTCTTCCTTAATATATTATGCAATCTTTCCACTATTTTCTACACATACGTTTGGGCTTTTATTTTGAACAAACCATATGGTTCAAATATTTTCGCAATTGTTAATATTCTTATGGCATTGATTTGTTTCTTTGTCAGGACATACCTAAAAGAAGATATAATTTTATTATATCATGTAATAGCATCAACAATATGTCCTTTCATCAATTGGATTGAGACAATGTGTGGGTTCGTTTTAGCAATTATTGAATATCAAGATAGTCCTCCGAATCATGAAATTTTCAAAGGTAGAGAAATTCTATTTTTAACATTTATTATTTCCTTCACATTATATCCATCGATAATATATTTCATTGAAAAAATATGGAAAAGGATTAATAATGTGTCGAAAGATTTTTATTTATCTCATATGAATGATTTTCAAACAATTAAGGAAAGTATGTTAATCACAGAAGAAGTATTAGAGATGGAGAAAGATGTTTTATTGAATGAAGATAATTATTCAATCCGAATTCTTGATGTTTGTAAGATCTTCAAAGACAATGAAAAGAAACCTATTTATGCAGTTAATCAAGTCTCATTAGGAATCAAGAATAATTCAGTCTTTGGTTTCTTAGGTGCTAACGGTGCAGGCAAGACAACACTTATTAAGATGATCTTGTAAGAAATTCCAGTCTCAAGTGGAACAATCGAAATCAACGGACAAAACATCGAAACATCAGAAACAATCAATGTTTGTGTTTGTCCACAGTTTGATGATCATTTGACACCACAACTTACAGGTCGACAGAACATGAAATTTTTCTGTTACTTGTTCAACAAACGAGGACAAGAAGCGGATCGTATTATCAATCGAATTATCGAAGTCTTAGATTATTCAGAACATGTTGACAAACGAATCCAAGACATGTCCGGCGGTAACCGACGAAAATGTTCAGCATCTATTCCATTCTTATCAAACTGTAACATCATATTACTTGATGAACCAACATCATCTCTAGATCCAATCGCGAGACATCATTTACATCAACTGATCAACATGAACAAAGTTGGTAAGACTATCATGTTATGCACACACTTGTTAGATGAAGCAGAAAACTTATGTGATAATATTTCAATCATGGTTAATGGTTGCATATATGCATATGGTACACCACAGTATTTATCTAACAAATTTGGCAAAGAATGGAAGATCGATATCATGTTGAATGATGATTTGATTTTAACATCACAAAAAGTCAAAAACTTTATTTGAAAGAATATTCCGAATGCAATCTTATCAGTTGACAACAAGACTTCTTTGATATACACAGTATCGAATGAAGATTATTCTATTACTAAACTTTTCAACATTGTTCAACAAGGCAAGAACGAAAACATCGGTATCAAATTCTTCACATGTTCATGTTCTACACTTGACAAAGTTTTCATGGAAATAGTCATGAGATCTGAGCTCAAAAAACATGCAGCAATAGAGTCACACGAAAATACTATAAGTATTGATGCGACTCAAACTTTAGATGATATATATTAATTTTTGTTTGCTTTACTAAACATTTTTATAGAGTTAGTTAAATTGAGAAAAATTACAACATTTTTATTTATTCAATAATATATAATATGAATATTTATATGTATTTGTTAACAAACAAATTCTATTTATTACTAGTTTTCATCATCTGCAAACATACGATAAAGAACATTTTCGAGTTGTTCAACAATGATATTGAATGAACGCATTCGGAAAATGGGTAACTTTTGTTCAAGTTCTTCGAGTAGTTCGGTGACATCATCACATATCGGGAACAATATATCTTCATCACGAATGGGACTGATAATGGCACCTTGAACATTAGTTTGCATCCATCGAAGTAAAACATCACGATATCGTTTGTCACCATCTATGTAAAAGATTGGTGTCAATCGATATCCACAATGGAATTTGCGTCGTAATTCGTTAGGACTACCATCAAATAACAATTCACCACTTCGCATAACGAAGATTCGATTCGTGAGACTTCTAGCTTCTTCAACTGAGTGAGAACTAACAATCGATGTGATGTTGTAACTAGAGATAGCTTTCCACATCTCTTGTCGCATCGATGTGTCCATACCTGATGTCGGTTCATCAAGGATGACAAACTTAGGAGAACCAATGAATGCGATCGCAACACAAAGTTTTCGTTTGTTGCCACCACTCAGTTTCGATGACCGCATGTTATCCATACCCTCCAAATGGAATCTGCTCATGCACTCATCAACAACTTCACAAACACGTTCACAACAAACACCTCTGATAGTAGCGAACAATTCAAGATGTTGATAAACACTCAGCTTGTCAAACAATATGTTGTCTTGATAACAAATTCCAAGATGATCTTGAAGTGCATTGAATCCAGATGGACATCGGATTACATATATTCGAAGAACTCCTTGATCACTACTGATACTTCCTGTCATAGCATTCAACAACGTACTCTTACCTGATCCATTAGGACCAATCAAAACAACTGTATCTCCTTTATTAATATTAAATGAAACTTCTTTAAGAGCATGAATTGGTTTTGATCCTTTATACATCTTATCAATCCCTGTTATCTCAATGAAACTATCTGATTCATTTTCAGCAAAAACATCCATCTTGAAATCGAATAATTTTTTCCAAACTGATAAATAGAAAATCTTGGAAAATCCAATTGGAGAAGCTCCATAAGTTCTCGGCATCAAAACATTCAATAAGAAGAAGATCACTGAATAACAAATTATTAAAACAACTGTGAATAGTACTAAATACCAGGAGTTCTTCCATCTCGCCAATTTTGTCAAATTTTCAAATGTAAAAGGTATTTTATATACATGTGAAATCATAATGTTGTCCATAAACATAGTGAGCATCCATTGAGGGAAAATGATTAAAAATGGAGAGTATTCCAGTATATTATAATTGTTTGCGATTGATAGTTCATTGATCAAAGGTAAAATGTTCAAAAGTATAAAAATACAAAGGAAAAATATTTTGTATGCTGATGAAACTGATAAAGGAATTGCATTCAAGAAAAATACATAAAAATATATAACACAAAAGAAAAGAAAGATAAATGCAAAAAATATATTTGTCTGATAACGAACATATAATATTACAGATAGTAAGATAGATGTGAAAACAATAAAAACTGAATCAATGACTAAATGTGACAAGAAAATTGAAGATTCATGAAATCCAGAAATTTTCATTAACAAAAGTTGTCTTTTCTCTCGAATTTCCATCATTTGGAAAAATGATATCATTAAAATAAACGTAATTCCAAAAGAAAACAATATTGAAATTTGGGAAAAATAATGATCAGTTGTTTTATACTCTTTTATGTAATCAACATCATAATTTACTGTTATATTTGAATAAGCTTTGATTAACTCATAAACAAATGAGTTTAAGTATCCATCAAACATATTAATTTTGGGAGATGATTCTCTTGGAGAGGTTGAAAGATTTGTTGTAATTTGAAAGAAGTGTTTCGGTTTCTCTCTGATTCTAATGTTCAAAACATCCATTTGTCATAAACTTTGATTATAAGTTTTGCTATCAAGAATATTACTCAAATTTGAGTATTTTGCAAGGGTAGTCGTTAAATTTGTTTTTGGACATAATGTATACTTATTTATCATCTTATTATCTAATAATTTGGAAACAAATTCGGGAAATTTTTTGAAATGGCTAACGGGGTCTATCGAAGTATTATACTCATTGTCGGTACTAATTATGAAGCTAAGTGATATTAAACAAAAACCAGCACAAAAGAAAATATAAAAGTTATTTTGGCGAAAGAGCATTCCAAACTGAATTTTAATGTAATGTTTTATAATATGGCGCTGTGGTAATCTAGATTTCAACGCTTGAGAGTTTTCTAGTAAAGGCTGATTTACGATTGTTGTTTCCATTTTAATTTTTCTAACTTTTCTTTTCACATGTCGGAATTTGTTAATTCATTGCATTTTTAAATATTTTAAACTTATTATTTTTCTCACAAGTGGCATTTGACGGCAAACTGTAGTTAAGTATTCAAAAATTGAGAAATAAAATTTTGCTAAATTTATCCACATTGCATTTGTATTCGAAAATATATATTTTGTTTTTCAGATTTTTACTCTCAATTTTTTAAGGGTGCACTAGGAGGATTACGGTTTTTTAATCCTCCTTTTTTTCTAAAAAAATCCTTGTACTTTTGGTACTTTCGAATTCCAAAAATATCATGAAAAATTAACATGAGCTTAAATACATCCTCAATGAGAGTGCATTCATATCATATATCTCATTATCCTTGAACTAAAACATATTTCAAAATTTTATTTAAATCTTCTTAATTTTCCCGATAAGCACCTTAATATGTTCTGCATATCTAATATAAATGAAATAAGTATGAATTCTAATCTAGAAAAACATCAAAATTTGATTTGTGATTGCTAATATTTTTCAATTTTAATTTTTTCGCACTTCTTTGCATTTTAAGCATGATAAACCAATACATTGTGAGAAATAGAATACATTTATGATATATTATATGCTTTCCTCTCATTTTTCAAATTTTTCATAATATTTATAAAGTGATTTTCCTTAACATTATGATGCATTTTATATTCCTTACTATTGTTGTTTTAATATATGATATTTAGAAGCTTTTTAATTTTTTTTAAGAATAATTCACAACACATTTAAGATATATCAAAAATAACACGAAATATATAATACTGATATCATTGAGAACTTATGTTATGATTTTTATGTTCTAATTTCAATTTTTTAAGAATTTTTATCCTTGGAGTGCAGGACTTTGTTTTTTGGACCTCTTTTTCAACTCTTTGAAAAATGAGTTTTTTAAAAAATAAATAAGATAAATAGCAAGGGTATATGTGTACCAATGTATTGATGAGAAGAAAAAATACATTTATCGATCAAAAAATGCCGAAAATTTTTTCCTCAAGTTCAATTTTAAAAAGTTGATTTTTTCATGATTTTTTCAAACTCGGCCAATAATAAAAATTTGAAGCCCAAAGTTATATATGTAATGAGGGTTCCTTAATTAATTCTATATCTTAAATCAAAATTAAAATATTTTATTACAATGAAGCGAAATATAGGGTTTTATTATTTTGGAGGATAAGAGAATTGATAGAGCTCTATGAATTTTTTGAGAACTTTCTAATCCTTGTAGTGCACCCTTAATTGAAAGATTTTTTTTAATTATACCCCTTATATTTTGGTAATTAGGAGCCAACTATGAATTCATTTAAGAACCATCTAATTGGGTCTATGTACAGACGCGTGTTTATTTATTGGAACACAAAATTTTCCTTATTATTAAGTTTTATTGTATCTATATTATTGGCAAATCTAGTTTGGGCAATTTGGCCTGTGATTGATGATTTTTTCCAGTCGGATCAAACCACTAAGCTTCCAATTTCAAAATTTGATCGAATTAACCTAACATTTGCAAGAATTTCAAATAAAAACTGTTCAGAATGTGAGTTACTCCAGATGAAATTTTCAAATACATCTTATTCTTTAATCAAAAATCATTACAATTCCGAATTAAAATTTTTAGACTTTGATTCTTTTAAAGATTACGAGAATTATCTAGATGAACTGTTTAAAAATCCAAAATCCCGACCAAATATACCAGCAGCATTCCAATTCGTCAATGATTCTGCAATATCAATATTAAATGGAAAACCAATTGGAAATTATAAGATAAGATGCTTATTAAATAGAAGTTACAGACAAGGATCAGAGGAATTTTTCAATAGGGCGCTACTAGAGTTAATGTTTACTGAAAAAGGAGAAAAAGTAAATATTTCAGCTGAATTCACTTTCAAAAGCATAGGGAAAATGATATTAAACTCTGAATCAGCATATATTTTAGATAGCTTCCTTTCATTCTTTATGCCATTTGCCTTATTATATTTTTCAACGATTTTTTTGCGTCAAAATTGTCTTGACGTCAAATCTCCAATTCGACCTTATATGATATCATACGGATATTCGAGGTTAGCATATTGGCTAGGGAATTTTGCAGTTGATTCATTGCTAGTTATAATATTTTCCATTATTGTTTCCCTTACTTATTTAGCTGCTGGATCTATTTCATTTAAGATTTTTTTCTTCCAATTATCATCAATTAGCTTATTATGCAGTATTTCAACAATTACAATTACTTATATTTGGGGATTAATTGTAAAAGGTGCAATTGGAATGTTCATTTATTTAATTGTTAATATTGCTCTGCTGCTTTTCAGCTGTTTTAATTTTAGTGTTGTCATTGCAATTTTTTGTCCATTTGCTAATTGGATAAGAATTATTTTCAGTATAACTTCCAGAATTATAAATTATCAACTGTCAGGAGAAGATGTTAAATTCAATGTATATAATTTATTCTTCACACAAATTGTACTTACATTCACACTATATCCATTGGTTGTTGCTTTATTAGAATTGATAATTAAAATACGAATAGATTCAAAAAGTTTCTATTTATCTCATATGAATGAATTTCAAACGATTAAAGATGGTTTATCAGTAACCGAAGAAGCCTTAGAAATGGAGAAAGACGTATTTTCGAAAGGAGATAATTATACAATTAGAATACTTGATGTTTCAAAGATATTCAAAGATGCAAAAAAGAAACCTATTTATGCAGTTAATCAAGTCTCTTTAGGAATCAAGAATAATTCAGTCTTTGGCTTCTTGGGTGCTAATGGAGCAGGCAAGACAACACTTATTAAGATAATCTTGAAAGAAATTCCAGTCTCAAGTGGAACTATCCAAATAAATGGAAGAAATATCCAATCCTTGAGATCAATTAATGTTGCATTTTGTCCGCAGTTTGATGATCATTTGACACCACAACTTACAGGTCGACAGAACATGAAATTTTTCTGTTACTTGTTCAACAAACGAGGACAAGAAGCGGATCGTATTATCAATCGAATTATCGAAGTCTTAGATTATTCAGAACATGTTGACAAACGAATCCAAGACATGTCCGGCGGTAACCGACGAAAATGTTCAGCATCTATTCCATTCTTATCAAACTGTAACATCATATTACTTGATGAACCAACATCATCTCTAGATCCAATCGCGAGACATCATTTACATCAACTGATCAACATGAACAAAGTTGGCAAGACTATCATGTTATGCACACACTTGTTAGATGAAGCAGAAAGTTTATGTGACCACATTTCAATTATGCTTAATGGCTGCATATATGCTTGCGGAACACCAGAATATTTATCTAACAAATTTGGCAAAGAATGGAAGATTGATATCATATTGAATGATGATTCAATCATTACTTCGCAAAAAGTTAAAAATTTCATCAAAAAGAACATTCCAAATTCTGTTTTATCTGTTGAAGATAAGATTTCTTTGATATATTCAGTACCGATTGAAGATTATTCCATTACAAAATTGTTCAGCATTGTTCAGAAAGGTAAGAACGAAGATATTGGTATCAAATTCTATACATGTTCTTGTTCTACACTTGAGAAAGTTTTCATGGAAATTGTCATGAAATCAGAGCTTAAAAAACATGCAGTAAATAAGACAGCAGACAATACTGTCAGTGTTGATAGTGGTATCAGTAATGATATACCATATCTTTAATATAATATTAATTGTTTATATTTAAACACTTATCATATATTAGTTAACTATTTATTCTATATTTCAAAGTTAATCTAATTTTTTTTAAATCATTTATTAGTAGAGCCATTCTCTAACAATACATTTCATTAATGAAGCAAAAAGTCTCTTTAAATGAATGGGTATGAACTTTGATTGGAATAATAATATTGGAATTATCAAAATATATTCTTGTTGTTTCTAAAAAGGTTTTACCAACATATCAATATTGATCTACAAAATAGCAGCGATGTTGATCTTTTGTTAGATATTTGTGGGTTGAACGCATTTTTTGCCTTCAATTAGCTTAAACTAGCTTTTATTAGAGGATAGGAGGTACAATATTGTCTTATATCCAGTCTGAATACATAACCACTCAATATTACGATAAGTGTTGTGTTTTTTTGCCAAAGTAAGTCGCTCAAAAAATCTACGAATTGAATAATTCAATGCAAAGCGTGAACGTTGGTCTTTCCAAGACTGCAAATTATGGAACCAACGTTAAAATCATGCTCAAAAATCTAACTGTTGACGTAGATTCGCAACTTCCATTTGATATTTATCATTATTTTCAAATTTCTCCACCAATATCAGTTATTGGCCAATGGGACACAAAAAATGCAATTCCATTTATTGCTGAAGCAGAATGTCTAATAGTTTCAAAAGGAAAACCATTAACTTGTCCAATTATTTTACAATCCCAGCAATATACAATTACAAAACCAAAAATACCCGAACTAGTTTCAGGTATGACCGTATTAAGGAAGCAGTTTGTATTCGAATGGAATCGAAACATTGAATTTCCAATTTATTATTCAGAATTACCTGTTGATTCGATCGTTGTCTTTAAATTTTATGCCAAACTCTTCCAAACAGAATCAAAATTCATTGGTAAGACTCAATTACATATTTTTACGCGCACAAAAACTCCAAGACTTCGATTAGGATTTTTCCCATTAGTTTTTGACGGAACGCCACCCACAAAGCTTTCCAAGCATATTAGACGCCTTTACACAGGAAAAGATCCAGAATACAAATACATTGACACTCAATTAAAATCAATCAACGCATCATTACATCCTACCGATGCCAAAATCTACTATCGTTCGATCCTTACACCATCAAATCCTCCCAAACTCTCAAGGGTGTCCCAATTTGCCCAAATTTACATTGAATCTCCATGTTCCGACCCAACAACATTAATTATTCACGACGGCATCATGTTGCCTACATCCAAGTCCCCGAACTCTCTCAACCCATCCCAGAGACTCTACCACGATTTGACCCATTCCACATCTGGCTTCAAATCTTCGTTCCTCAAAGACTCAAAAGTGACAAAGATTTTAAACAAAGTGAAGTCATATGGACCATTGGTCGAACTGCAGCCCATGGAAGTCAACTGTCTTTACAACAACTTCCGCGCTTGTCTTCAGGACCAAGCATTAATGCCTGCTCTTTTCAGAGCCGTAAATTGGGAAAACAAAGACGAAAGAGTCGAAATCGAGCAGATGCTTAAAGACAGAGACCCGATTGATGCTGAATACGCTCTTGAGTTCTTCACGGACAGATACAATATACAGAGCATCAGACAATTCGCTGTCAAATGCATTTCCGCGATGAAACACGAAGATATTTTACTTTATTTGCCTCAAATTTTGCAGGCAACAAAAGTACAATACACAGAAGGCCTTGTAGACATATTAGTTAACAACGCACTCGGAGACCCAATCTTCGCATCAACCCTCTATTGGAATGCACAAGTCGAAAAAGAACAATTTTCTGTTCTTTTAGAAAAATTGACATCAAATTTGACAGGTGAAGTGAAACAACAACTTGAAGATGAAATAGACTTGTACAAGAGATTGTACAATCTATTACAGAACCATCCTAAAGCTACACCTGCGGTTATAAGAGACACAATCAGAGATTTGTTGAATAACGATCCAGTTCATTCACAATTGAAGAGTTTCAAACCAACGCGTTTACCTTTAGATCCAAGTTTATTCGTTGTTGGAATTGATACTTCCGATGTCAAGGTTTTCAAGTCGAAGCTCTGCCCAGTTTGTCTCTGTTTCAAACTCCAAAACGGAGGCAAGTACAGAGCAATCTTTAAGATCGGAGACGACATGAGACAAGATCAACTGATTTTGCAGTTGTTTGAAGTGATGGCCCACATCTTTAAAGCGGCTTCAATGCAGCTTAACATCACTGCTTACAAGACACTTGCTTTCAGTGAGACATTCGGTTGTTGCCAGTTCATTGATAATTCAAGAGCAATCTTGGATATCGCGAAGGATGGAATGAATATTCTCCAGTTCTTGGCAAATCCTGATGGAACTGTTGATAGTGGAAAAATTGACATTTTCACTGAAAGTTTGGCCGCTTATTCCGTAATGACATACGTACTTAAGATCGGTGACAGACATGACAACAACATCTTGGTTACAAAAGATGGAAGATTGTTACACATTGATTACGGATTTATTTTGGGAGATGTGACAAAACCATTCACTCCTCCTTTGAAGTTGTCAAAAGAAATGATTGAAACAATCGGAGCAAACGGAATGCAGAGATTGTGTGACTGGGCTTGCCCTGCATTCAACTCACTCAGGAAGAGAGCGAGACTCATTTTGGTCCTGATTGAACTGATGTTCACTGCTCCTTTGGAGTGTTTCCAGAACAATCCAAAGAGAAGACTTCAACAAGTTGAGAACTGTTTGTTGCTCAGATGTACTGAAATCGAAGCTTCAAAATCTCTTCAAGCAACATTCACTCAGTCTCTCAACTCAAAGATGCAGGTTTTCTGGGATGCTGTCCACACTGTCGCTGTAAGTACAAACGGACAATCAGCTGAGAAATAAAACTATATTTATATTAATAAAATCTTTAATAACGACTCATAAAACAAATTACTGAGCTTGTTGCAATAATATTTAAATTCATGGAAGTGCTATCATTGAATTAATTTAATTGGTGGGTAATAAATTGCATATTATCAACTAGAAAAATCATGTTATATATTTTATTAGTAATGAATTTATTAATAACATCGAAGTGAAAATATTTCGAAGTAGTATTCTCTCTTTTCAATTGAAGAACAATCTCTGATTATTAAATAAAGTTTTATGATTGTAAAAATAAAAATATTTGTTAAATGAATTAGATTAGAGCAAGGAGATCATATTTATTGTTTTAATCACCGGTTATCTTCTCCGACTTTTGACAAATCTCTGATATTTTATTGGATTTGAGTGTTCTACTTAAATTTTTAACTCTGTTGAACACGAACTTGGAAAATGATAATTTTCTGGATAAATTGCATTTGTATTCTCGGATATTCTAACATCCTGATATATACCAGGATTAGAAATGTCGAAATAACATCGTATAACACTAATTTGATAATCTGAATAGAAATAAATAAATTTGATTTTGTTATTATAAAAACTACAATTAGTAATAAAAAGACTGATATTGCTTTGTATAAAGTAATAGCATTCATTTTGAGTGTAATGACAAAAAAGAATATTAAATTCGAGTGAATTAGGTGATCCATTATGAGATGCCTGATGGTCAAATTCCGAAGATGTACTGTTTGAAAATGTTGATAATGTTACATTAGAGTTAGATCCGCAATTAACTTCGTAAAAATTTAAGGATTTTAGATTTGAATATGAAATGTTGATCGATTTCAAATGTATTTGTCCATTATTTAAATAAATGTTTTTGTCATTACCAAAACTTGAAGATATTGTTGAATCAATGAGATAATTCCTAAATGAAGCTTCAGAAGAAACTTTAACTTCACAATAAGCACCCCAATTAGCTGATTTTGAGCGAAAACTGCAGATTCTATCTTGAATACACTCACCATTAGACAAGTTTACAAATAAAGAGCCGCCATAGCCGCTATTACTACCACATTTATCAAAAGAGCTTGTATCAATGAGAAATTTAAGATCGTTTTGTAGTCCATCTGTGATTCGAACTGCACCTGCCACATTCAGTAAAATAAAGTAGCATTTTGTGATGTAATAACTGTTCTCTGCAACAATGTCGATTCTTTTACTTTGGTTGTTGTATGATGTTTGGAATGAAGAGTCAAAGAAGTCTTCCCAGTTTTTGTGGGAAATAAGGTAAAACATATCTAAAAATCGGGGTCGTTATCGATTTTGTAATTTAATCGTTATCGTTATCGATTTTGTAATTTAATCATTATCGTCTTTTTCTAAACGTGCATTTTCTTCATATTGGGATAATGAACATAACTTGTTCTGAGCTTCCAATGCACAAATCGTTTTTATTCTAAATGGATTCATTCCTACAAGTTTGGCAGAAATCAGTGAATATCATCATATATCGAATTCTTCAATTTGGCAATTTATTTAAAATCGTTCTCAAGAATTCTTATCTTCATGTAGTCAAATAAAACGGAAATGCGAAAACAAACTTTTATTCGATATTACAAAAAAAAAATTTTATTGATCGCTAAGATTTAAATACGTATAGTTTAAGTATATGTGGTATCATTATGTGCATATTCTGATATATATACTTGAATGATATCACAAAAATAACAGAAATACAAATCTTGAATTAAATTATATCATAGAATACAATTTTAATAAACGAAAAATCAAACCCTCTCGCAATACAGCCATTTTTAAGAGTAGTTCTTTCAAGATCTTCGAAGATTTGGAAGATCTTGGAAGAACTACCCTCTAAATGGCTGTAGCTTCGGTATTGTTACTATCAAGTAGAAAGTTACGGTAATTACTGCCATTTTAAGAGTAGTTCTTTCAAGATCTTCGAAGATTTGGAAGATCTTGGAAGAACTACCCTCTAAATGGCTGTAGCTTCGGTATTGTTACTATCAAGTAGAAAGTTACGGTAATTACTGCCATTTTAAGAGTAGTTCTTTCAAGATCTTCGAAGATTTGGAAGATCTTGGAAGAACTGCCCTCTAAATGGCTGTAGTTTCGATGTTAACATGATAATATGAGTGAAATTTTCTTATTTGAAGTCGGTTAAAGAGCAGTTCTTTCAAGTTCCTTCAAATCAGGAAGGGTCTTGACAGAACTGTCCTCTTATTGATTGGAATACCGGTATTTTACGTTGGTAAATGCTTGATTTGAATTGGGGGCTGAGTGTTGGAGAAAAAAAACATTAAAAAAATAAAAAGTGCCAAAATAAAAGAATTCAATCTACATATATATAGTATTTCTAGGCCTGTCCAAACTTTTAAAAAAGCTTACCACGTGGAAGGAAGAGACCAAAAAAATCGTGCCTCGGCGGCTTCGCCGCCTCGGCACTAAAAACAGCATATCATATTTAATATGTCCTTTTTTCTTTTCCTCTTTTCCTCTTTCTCTCTCCTTCTTTTCTTTCTTCTCTTTTCCTTCTTTTCTTCTCACTTTCTTTTTGGAGCTGCTTTACTTTGAAATCTCTCATCAATTGATGAGAGAAATAATAGTAAAGTAGCTTCAATGTAAATACGTACATTGATTGTTTATGGTTAGCGGTAATGTCTGTATGTAGTTCGATTGAGCTGCCTCACTCTGAGATCTCTCATCAAATGAAGAGAGTTCTCAGAGTGAGGCAGCTCCAATGTATATATGTGTATTGATTCGGTTTGGTTAGCTGGACTGTCTGTGAGTAGTTCGATTGGAACTGCCTCATTCTGAGATCTCTCATCAATAGATGAGAGAAATAAGAGTAAGGCAGTTCCAATGTATATAATCGTATTGATTGGTTGCTTTAAGTTGGAGTGTTTGTGCGTAGTTCGTTAGAACTGCTTTGCTCTGAGAACTCTCATCGATTGATGAGAGTTCTCAGAGCAAAGCAGCTCCAATGTGTAAATTTATATTAGTTCGGGTGAAAGAAGTTGTAGTGCTGGTGCGTAGTTTGACTATCAAGAAGCTCGCGATTCAAAACTCATCAAATGAAAAGTTTATAGTGGGCTTCTTGATAATATGTTAAAGGTGATGTTCTTGTTCGAGTTGTAACAAGAAGGAATACATGAGTACGTAAGCTCGGCATTCGCCGAGCGAATTAAAGATAACGGACGAATTTAATTTATTTTATTTCAAAATTTAAAATTTTAATATTTAATTATATAAATTAAAGGTCAGGTAGGTGGGGCTTCCAGGCGCGTTGCGCCCTCTAGCCCATAAGAAATTTTGCCCAAGACCCAAGAGGAGGACCGAACCCCAGCCGACCAGCCGGTGACAAAACCAAAACCGTTGTTATTTACATCATATTAATGATGTCACTTTTTTAAATGTCACTTTTTGTCTCGCTTTTCACAAATTATATATGTTTTCATGTTTTGTCACTTTTCTGTCACTTTTCGGGTAAAAACATTTTTATTATTATATATAAATGAATTTTACAAAACCTCCGTTACCGTTCTTTGGAAATAAGAGTAGATGTAAAGATATTATATTGAGAGAACTTAAGAAACTACCGAATGGTCTAACATTTGTAGATTTGTTCGGTGGAAGTTTCTATATATCCCATTTGTGCCATACAATATTCCCAGACTCAAAGATTATATGCAATGACTTCGACAACTATATGGACCGTCTCAAACATATTCCAGACACAAACAATATATTGAAAGAGTTAAAAGAAAAGATACCTATAGGTAAGATGGAACGTATACCATTAGATAAGAAAAATATTGTGAGAGAGGTTTTGAAAAAAGCAGAATATATAGACTGGGATAGTATATCTGCTAGACTATTATATAGTGGTGCTATAAGAGTTCATGACATTGAAACACTTATGTCAAAAGTTTTATATCTTAACTATACAAATGTTTTCAAAGAGGACATAGAAAAATATATTGAGGGTATAGAGTTTGTGAGATGTCATTGGACAGAGTTGTATGAAAAATATAAAGACAAGGAAAATGTTTTCTTTATAGTGGACCCGCCGTTCTATAACACATGGGATTTTCAATACCAAGTAGACTGGACTTTGAGAGACTCTTTAGAAACTTTAGACGTTATACATAACCATCCATGCTTTTACTTTACATCCGATAAAAGTGGTTTGGAAACCGTTATGAGATGGTTAGAGGACATACATGACTATGAGTTTATATATGACAAGATAGAATATGAGAGAGGTCCTATAAACTGGAGAAAGTGTCACAATAAAGAAATTTTATTAGTAAGTAAATGTGGTTTGAAATAGGACTACGTGTTTTAGGTTTTTTCCATTGTGTCATTTATTTATTTGACGTGGCAGAAAAGTACAGAGAATATGAAGATGAACCAATGCCTGCAAATGTTCAGCATATGTACTCGTAAGAGATATTTTTATCTAATATTAAATGGACGCACAGAACTTAGCGAATGCACAGCAACCTGGACAACCAAACCCAGAGAATATTCCAAATGAAGTTAGAATACAAACTGCAATGGCAAACTATGGTCAAGTGCCAACAGATGTACAAATGCAAACTGCCATGTCAAATGACGCTGCGTTAGGTTTGCCACCATGGTATGCAAATATGAGATGGAAAGAGTTTTATACAAACCCTGAAGTGGGATATAAACAACTTTATGCAGATGACGCGAACACAGGAGTTGACCCAGAATATGTTTTCTACCAGAGGAGAAACAGAATGTATGAGCTCCAGTTAAAGAATGCTATGGAACTCAACAGGAAACGTAAGAGACTAGGTGGACATTAGATTTTTACTACTAGTAAAATGGGTTTTTTCAGTAGTATTGGAAACTTCTTTCGAAATGTTGGAAGAGGTATATGGAATGGAATAAAATCTATCGGAAGAGGAGTATGGAACGGTGTCAAAAATATTGGTAAAAAAGTAGGTCAGTTCGTTGGTATTATACCTAAAGACCCTGAACCAGAAGAGCAAGCTCCTGCTATACAACAGCCTGAACCTGCACCACAGTCTAGTTGGCAACCAAATCCAACACCTCAACCGTATTAAAAAATTATATTTTTATCGTTCGATAGTAGTTGTATATGAAACTAAGTTCTAAGTAAAACGCATGGTATAATGGAATTATTCTTTTTCTTCCATCTGTAGTAAACCATACTTGAAAGTCTGAAATACTTCCACTCGGCGGTTCATATAACTTTGTAGGTTTTTCGTAAAAGTCATTCATCAGACATAAGAAAGAGTTTTGCGCACCAGAAAATGAAGCATGAACAATAATAGCATCTGGGTCGAAAATATTTTCATATGTTCCATTAGGGTTTTCGACTTCATAATAGTCCGGGTGTACTGGATATGCTGCAGGCTGATTTAACATCCTCATAAATCTATACCATGCCAAGTTGTTATATTTTGTAGAAATATAAACGTTTTCTCCAAGGTCTTCTATTTTATTGATTTTAACAGTTGCATTTTTCCTGTCATAAATAATATCGAGATGGTATTCTCCTTCGTCAATGTTAAACTGGTTTGCATATTCAATATAGATATCGTTTATTTTTTCTTGAAAAGCTTGAAGAGTTGTTTCTAAGTTTATAAGCAAATTAACTTGTAAAAGTTTTCCTTGTTCAAATTTCTCATACATACGTTTTTCTTTGTTATAGTATCGAACTTCAATTTCTTTGTTAAATGGGAAACCATGTATGGCTTCTGAAATGAACTTCATTCTACGAAAGCCAATAGCTTTTGTGACGGATGGGTCTCTTAACCATCTTAATGGGTAGTCAAAACGATAGCCTTCATGCTTTACGGTATCTGTCTCAAACTTTTGACCGACATTAGTAAAAAGTTCATCTAATGGTTTAGTTGTAGCAACTCTAGAATTTTCTTTTTCTATTGGAAGCATATTTTATCTATAATAAAAATGTCAAATGAAACAGCGTCTATGAGAGAAATACAACACAACCGACAACTCATTATGCAAGCTCTAAATAAGAACACAACAAACTTTTCAAACTATTCTAAGATATCTGAGTCATTGAAAGGGGGTGACTTAAAACTGACAATAAACCCAATGACAAATGAGTTTCTATTTCAAGACAATAAGAACAATACTGTCTGTATAAATCCAACAAAAGGAACTTTAAACGAGAAACCTATAAATGAACTTCTTTTGAAAGCAGATGTTGACAACAAAGCTGACAAAGAATATGTAGACGATGCAATAGCAAAAGAAGAAGAAAGAGCTAACAATGCTTATGCAACAAAAGAACATACTCATCCTGAACTAGCAGACAAAACATATGTTGACAATAAAATGTCAAGTGAAGTGACAAGAGCTGAAAACGAATATTCTAAAACGACTCATATACATTATATTAACCAAATACCAAGTCTTAAGGAAACATTAGAGACAAAAGCAGATAAGACTCATACACATTCTATATCTGATATTACAAACTTACAAGAAACCTTAAACAGGAAAAGTGCCGTTGGACATACACATTCTATATCTGATATTACAAACTTACAAGAAACCTTAAACAGGAAAAGTGACGTTGGACATACACATACCATTGCAAATATTACAAACTTACAAGAAACCTTAAACAGGAAAAGTGCCGTTGGACATACACATTCTATATCTGATATTACAAACTTACAAGAAACCTTAAACAGGAAAAGTGACGTTGGACATACACATACCATTGCAAATATTACAAACTTACAAGAAACCTTAAACAGGAAAAGTGACGTTGGACATACACATACATCTTCTGAAATAACAGATTTAAACGTTAGCCTTGAAAAGAAAGCAGATAAAACATATGTCAATGAAATATACCAAAGTTTGATAGGAACAAAAAAATATTGAAACTATTGTTGGTGACTTTTCTGTCAATGAAGAAAATAAATATTTTAGATGGCAGTTGGTACAGTCCTTAAAAAATGGTACACGGCATAAACTCATTCCGAAAAATAACAATGAAATGTATGTAAGCTATAAAAAGAATGATGGTACACAAGTTAAAGTTCCATTAGACAACAACTGCTACTTAAACTTATATGGAGACAAACAAAAGAAATATTTAAGAGTTTATGAAATGGCAGATATGACATTGCCTGACCCAGCTCCAGCACCAACATTATTATGACTATGGAGATGACGACAGAACACCACATGTAGATGAACAAAAGCTAACATTATATTTAGATTATTATAGATATAAAAGATATAATGCAATAGAAAAAACGAGAATAGTATATTATTATACAGATGACAGAAATAAATATTATAGTCAAGATTTTACCTACCCTGAAAACATAAGATTATATTATAAAAAATATTCTGACACAAACAGAAGAAACCTGAAATAGTTGCACTATATTTTAAGTTCAAAAGAGACAATCCTATAATATCTCATATGTTTGATTTAATGAACCCAGTAGGTTCTATTTATACATCTATGGATGCAAGAGGTCCTCAAGTAATGTTTGGTGTTGGTGCATGGGAACAAATAGTCGACAGGTTTTTGTATTGTGCAAACTCTTCAAAGGAAACAGGTGGAAGTAAAACGATTTCAGGTGAAAATTTACCTGCACACAGTCATTACATAGATTTAAGTACATCTCAAGCAGGTTGGCATAAGCATAGATATTGGGATTGGTCAGGAATGACAAAAGGTAAAGGATATGATGTTAAAGACGACGTTAAGTTTGCTATAAATTGTTACTGGAGTGACACCTCAGGGAGAAGGAAACCATACACATTTTCGTTTCAGGATATACTACAAACAACGGGACAAAGTAAAGAATACATGCCACCTTACATGACAGTTTACGCATGTTATAGAATTGCTTAGTCGTCATTTTCAACTTCTTTAGCATATTCGTCAGGAGTTGTCTTATATTTGTTAGGAACTGTCTTTGAAAGTATACCACCTTGAACTTTGACAAGTTTGAAACGAGGTCTGACAATAGTAGTTTTATCTTCTGCTTGCAGTGTGTACATTTTGCCATGTTTGCCTAAAACTTCATAATATTCTCTTGTATACTTTCTTCTATTTTTACGAACACGAATGTGAGTACCTGTCGGGTTCCCATTGTTGTCATAGTCAATAGTATTTTCATATGGGTCGCGTTTAGGTATTTCTATTTTTACTTTGTCACCTTTCTGAAGTTTGAAGCCCGCATTCTTTCTTGTTTGTCTCTTTTGACTAAATTATTAAATATATAGTCTTTCTCTAAGTCAGGGTTGTTTTTCATTTCTTCGGGGGAGTGGTTTCCCAAACCTTTTTGTTTACGGTTATTGTAAATATTTAAAACTTGTCTCATCTTTGCCATGGAGAAGTGTCTATACTTGTCGTCATATGACATTTCATTTGCTTCACCACTTGTGGTTGGTTTAAGTCTCTTAACATTTTTATACATCCGTCAATGACACCAAGAGCAGAATGGTTTTGGTCGACAATGAAATATTGGTTTACATTTTTTGAACGCAGATAGTTTTTTAATATCATCTGATTTGAAAAACTTTCACAGTCAGATGTCAGTTTTGTTGGATGGTATTTGTCAACGAATATTGTCAAAGCAGTTTTCACATCTAAAATATTTTTGGACCATAATGGTATGGCTTCACAGTATCTTGTGTTTTGACCAACAAATATTAACCAGTATGGAGGTCCATCTGTTCTAACTCTCGGAATGTTTTCCAAGATATCCATAAACCAAGCATTTGGTGTTGAACTAAAGATTTTTATCATGAGTGCTTTCTTTGTCGCTTTAGAAACATAGGGGTCCTTGTTCGGATTCGTCATTTTTTTACCCTATAAGAAATGGGTTTATTTGGCGCATTAGCAGGAGTCGCATCTAGATTTTTACCCGCAGTGGGAACAATAGCCAGAGGTGCATTTGGAATTGGAAGGAAGATTTTGAGTACATTAGGTATACTGAAAGAGAAAGCACAACCTATTATACAAACTGTACAGAAAGGTTGGGATGTAGCACGAGATGCAACAAATCTTATTCCAAATCCTGAAACAAGAGGAAAAGTTCAAGGATGGATGGACAATGTAGGAAGACAAGCAGGAAACTATTATAACAAAGCAAATGACTACTATAACCAAGCAGGACACTATATGGACCAAGGTGAAAGATTCTTTAACAGAGGATATAACCATGCACAACAGTGGGTAAACAATAACCAACCTCAACCGCCTCAAACGTGGGGAATGTAAAGTTTTTATAGGAATGAACATGCAGCATTGAGACAAATGAGTTCAAGATGGATTTGTCGGCTTCCAGCATTTAAACCGATACCATATAGTCAGGCTCAGCATGTGAAACTGAATGATATTATTAAAGGAACCATCCCACCTCCACAACAACAAAGCCATTTGAAAACAAACCAAACTAAAATTTTTTACTGAGATGAAATGACCGAAGAAGTTGAAACGGTAGATTTGACACCACAAAACAAAAAGTTCAGAACCATTGTCAAAACCTGTCAAAGAACTTACAGATGAAGAGAAAAATTCAATAATAGAAAGTGCCAGGTCTGGAAATACAAACCCTAACTATAAAGTCACTTTTCATAGAAATGGAACGGCTAGTATCTCAAAAAAGAAACAGACTCTCACAAATAAAATATTGAAGTCTGAAGGAGCTTTCGAGACAACAGATGGAAAAGTTTACTTCACTGACCAACAGTTCATTATAGAACATCTCATTGACTTAGAGTCGAAATATTCTAAACTTTACAACAAACACAAAAAGTTGAAAGGAAAACAAAAACAAATGGCATATGATATTTATGAAGATGTTGACGACACAACTGTTCCTGCAAGTGAAGTAAAGTCAGAGGAACCGAAAAGTGACGAAAAACCGATAGAAGAAGAAAAACCAAAAACTGAAGATAAACCAAAACCAAAGTTTAGTTTCCAAACTAAACCAAGTCAACCTTCATTAGCTGGTATGGGTTGGCGTCAAAGACTTATGGCAGCAGGCGGTTATGTAAAGTAAAGAAAAAAATATTTTTTTATTTTTATAAAAATGCCCCCATATAGAATGGATAGAAAGTCTGCTAGAATAAAAGCAGAGTTACAAAGATATGGTTGGAGAGTTTCGAAGAATTTTAAATATAGGAAGGGAAGACCCATAAAAGTCTATGACAAATTGTCTGGTCTTCGCTACGAAATGGATTTGGAAACAGCACGTGCCAATTATCCAAACAGACTAGAGAGGTTAGAAGAAGAACGTCTTATGGACATGCCTTTCGATGTTAGTGAACCTCAAGTTGAAGGACACGACGGCTTTGCCAGATTCTACTGGAAACATGACGAACAATTGCATCCTTTGAGAAGGAAAAAAGGAAAAGGTGAAGACGCACATGCTCCCATGGAAAGAACAAGATATGCATATGAAAAGTATCGTGAAGTTAGAAGTCAAATTACATCTGGTCGAACCTTTACAGTAAACTTTGACGAAGGAAAGAACAAAGAAGGCTTCATGGGAGTACTTGCTGCAATTCAAGACGGAAATAAGAAAGGACACAATCTCAGATTGACCATAACAGATTTGGATGGTCACATTTACTATGCACATGGCAATGAACAAACAGCCGCAAAACTTCTTGACGCTTTCAAGACTACAAAGAGAGAACAAATGGTTGACTCCGACTCAGACATTTTGAATGCAATTGAAGGAATTGCAAGTGTCAAGTTCGAATGGTACCAACCTAACCCTCAAGCAGTCAGACAACATGCTGGATACTTCCCGTTCATAAATAAGTCTGACATTGACTTGACAAGGTATGGAATTTACAATTCAATTGAAACAATTGTCAACGAACCTTGCATTCTTACATGTCTCAGGAACTCTGGTCTTGTTACAGATGAGAAGATGAAGTATCTTGAGTCATGTGTGAAGACAAGGTACATTCTCAGAGGTCAATTGGCAAAAATTGCACCGTTGGCAAATGTCAATATCCGAGTCAACATACCTACAGCTAAAGGTTCTTCACATGACGACTATGTTGTTGACAAAGACTTACCATGGTTGAAGATTGTAATTGTCCACAACCACTTCATGTTGAACGAAAGTCTTACAAACCCATTCTTTGGTAAAAGTAAGTGCAACATTGTCAGAGCTGTAAACATTCTTTTCGAGAAAGGTTTGTTGGAACCAATTCCAGATGACAAGCTGACAGAAACTTTTGTACCAAAAGACGAAACAAACTTTTCATTGTTAGCAAGACCAAAAGTTGTTCCAGACAAAGTTCTAGTACAAAAGAAGTACACAGTTCCACAAGGGGTTGGTATGTTCGGATACCAACCTGAACCAGAAGAACTTCCAATGAGGTTGCAAGAACTTCAAGATGCTATAAACAAACTTCCATTGAGACATCCAATTGACGTCAAATTGTATTGGAGAGCATCTGAGTTAGGTCAGAAGGTTTTATATGAAACAGGTTGCTTCGACGATGTTTATGAGATAACAGGAGAAGTTTCTCAGAAGATAAGAGACTCACTTGAATTTCCACAAACTGGACCAATTGGTTGCGACAAGTTCGACTCAGATGAAAAGATATACTATGTCGACCTTAACGCTGCATACATGAGGTTTGTCCAATATATTCCGACTGGAATTCCAAACGAAGATGGTGAGTTCCCGGGAAGGAACTATACAGTTGGAAAAGTCATACAACAACTGTATGATATTAGGAAAGCTTCAAACCCCAAACTTGCAATGACACTCAAATTGCTTATGAATTCGACATGGGGATATTCCATTAAGAAACCTCAAGAGATGAAGAGTAAACATTATGAGAAGGTCGACAACTTTGTTGAAAGGTTTTCTCCTTTTGTTTTGAAGTACGAATTCACTCAAGGTCAAAGTGGCTTAGTAACCACATTAAAACCTATTGTCGAACATTGGTCTTACCCTCAGTTCGCAAAAGCAGTCCTTGACGAGTACAACAAATTCTTCTCCGAAGTCAAATCCAAAGTCAAGGTTTACTATGAGAACATTGACGCACTCATGACGAACGAAGAAGGATACAACAAACTCATTGAAATGGGAATGGTCGGTGAAAAGATGGGTCAATTCAAATTGGACAAAATTTTCACCGAAGTTCATGTCCTCTCCAAGCGTAAGTACTGGGGTGTTAAAGAAGATGGTGAAATAGTTAAACATTGCATGAAATAAAAAATTTATTTTTAAAAAAGTGACATTTTTTTAATGGCGTACATCCCTGAGCGCTTCGTCCAGTTCAACCAAATGTTGGTCTCGGACCCAGGCAAGAGATATTCCAAGCCCGAACTCGACCGTCTCTTCAAAGAATGGATTGAAGACTACAGAGGAGACGAGTGGTTGACAATTGAATTTGCTCGGGCTTGGAATTGCTACAGAAGGGTCTTAGACGTGGACCCAAGACTCACGTACAGAGGTTGGGATGTGGTCTTCACATTCCAAGATTGGTACGAATACCAAAAATAAAAACTTAAATTTACTTGGGGTTTCCCCTAAAATAATTTTTTTTACTCTTAGAACCACTCGAGGTTCTCCTTACGGTTGTTGAGCTTGTCACCGTCAATGTGTCTGACCTTCGTCTTCTTGTCTGGATTTGGAACCCATTGAATTGCGACAAGCTTGCCCATGGAGATTGAACCGCGATTCCGAAGGTTAAGGTTCAAGTGTCCCAAGTTGTTGAGGACTGGGGTAAGAACCTTGCCTGTCTCCTTGTTGCGGATTTGGTATGGGTAGGGTTGGGAAATTTCGTAACCGTCATCGGCAACAAGGGTTGCCCATGTAGCGGCTTCAGGAACTTCTTCGTGTTTCTCTTCTTCCTCTTCTTCCTCTTCTTCCTCTTCTTCGACAATTCCTTCTTCAATTTGGTACTCACGAAGTACGGTGTTGCATGTTCTGTCCTTTCCGAGTACCTTCCAGATGGCGTCTATCTCTTCGAAGAAACGGTAGATGAGTCTGGCAAGGTCTCGGTTCTCTCTCTCGTAATTGCGCAAGGTTTCCGCGAAATCGTTCAGGCATTTCTCATTGGAAGCTTGGTTCATGAGGACATCGGCTTTAAGTTCCTTCATCTCTGTCATAAGACTACTTTGGAGAGTCTTAATGGTGTTTGTCAGATGAGCTTTCAATTGGGCAATTTGAATTTGAATTGGGCGCTTGTCTGGCAACCTTGAAAGGACATCTGCCATTGTGTTCGGCTTCGGTGCTTGTTCGGACATCGAAAAAATGAAGTGGTTTGAGAATGACGGTTTTACTTCAAAAAGCTGGTTATGACAGTTAAGTCATACAACAAGTTTAAAATAATATCTTGCTCTTCTTCTGAACGTTTGTTGTCTCTTCCGATAAAAGTTTCGAACATGAGAACCAAAAAACGTTTTTTGAGGAACCGAAAGAGTTCAGGCAAATTTTCATATTCTGGATATGTTGGGAGCAGTTCAAAACATCTGAGCTGACTTTCGGACAAAATTGGGACAATGTCAGAAAATTCATCTTTGGTCGGACTGCTTGAAGTTAGTATACATAACAAAGGTACGACGGCACTGCGTTCCACCGTACCCCTGTTATGTGAATTTGACACTTTACGAAATCGTTAACGTATATTTTACAACACAAACGACAACACTAACTTAACCTTAAATATTTACAAAGCCGCAAATCACTTCACCTCACTAACGTTTTCACAAACGACTTCACTACTGTAAAAATAAACGTTCTCACTTACAAAAGTATTGCAACTCCTCCCATTGCTGTGCTTCATATAACAGCTCATAATCTTCTGACTCACTTTCTTCTTCATATAGGTCAAAATCACTGTCATAGTTTATACCTGTAAGTTTTGACAAAGCTAATGAAACACGCTTACCGTTTGTATCATATGCTTGTATAAACTTTCCATTATGCTGGTAGTCATAAACGCTCAAACTAACTTTACCCTTTCTCCCTCGTATCTGATAGAATGTATTTTCACGAGGAACGAAGAACAAGTTCTTGAACTCATGACCGTTGTAGTTTGTTATCTCAATAGTTTTCGTCATTTATATAAAAATAAATAAAAAATAAACTTAAAATTAATGATATCACCACCCTCACACGTATGAAAACATAGCACAAAAATAAATTTAGGTGAAGTGGTGAGATTCTCACCTCTTTTTCACCTCTTTTTTCACCCTGTTGAATCATTGCTTATAACTCTCTTCCTTTCTCCAACTCTTCTAACTTCTTCTTAAGTTCAGCAATGTTGTCCTCATGAAGTTTAATCTTTCTCAAAATTCCTTCTTTATCTAATGGTTGCTTTATCTTTCTAAAACTGAACTCTACCATCCTTCATAGTATGAACGTAAAAACCTTCTGGAATAATTCCTGATTTAATGTATTCTACCAAAAAACTTTTGCATTGCTTCAGTGACTTTATTTGTCATTTCAATCAAATAAAAATTTTAATATTAAATAAAAATAACGTTCTTTTTTCAGTAAGGAAACGCAGGAGTTTTACGATTTATTTGAGGAGTAGGTTCTGGTTTAAATGTTGGAGTCGGTTTAGGAGTTGACTTTTGAATAGGAGTTTGTACTTCCATAGGTTCAGGAGTCATTGAAGGTTTTGCTTGTGAAGGCGTTGGTTTTGACGTTGGTTTTGGCGAAGGTGTTGGAGTTTGTTTAACTTCAGCTACTTCAGTATTATTTACAACATTTGCTTTATTTCTTTTCAACATCATAACTGCTCCTGCTATAGCTAGCAAACCTAGTGGGAGACCATATCTTATATAAGGACTTGACCAAATGCTATTTTTGACAGGAGCTGGTGGAACACCTAACCTTGGTGAGACTGCTCTTTGCCATTGTGCAGCTCGTAAGAAATATTCAATAGGTGCTCCATAATCGTTTGGTAAAGTTTGTTTCATAGATGGTGAAGGTTCACGAGAACTTGATGAAGAACTCATTTATAAGCTTTAAAATAAACGTTCATCCTTTATTCCTCACTGTCGTCCGCAGCTAAGTTATAGTCATCTAATCTTATTATGGGATTCCATTAGCACGCACCTGAATGGCAAAGCAACAATCCCTCATAAATCCAATAAGTGGCTTTGGTACATTTTCAGTTGCTAGTTCAATAGGTCCTTTAACAGACAATTTGTATGTTATTGGAGCAGTAGATGTTTGACCTTGCTGGAAGCAAAAGTCCACTTCTGTTTGGAAAACCACATAAGAAATGTGTGTTGTCATAGCTATCCCATTTATGTTCCACACACTACCATCATCCACCAATGACCTCATAACATCTTCATTAAATCCAATCATATCATTGTTTGTATTGCAAGCGTTCGCAACCATTTCATAAAATACAGGTCCATATGATTTTTTCAGGTTCTGCAGGCATATTTCCATAAGCTCCCATGGAAAGCTGAAGATATTTAAACTTAGGGTTCTCAAAATTAACATAATAGTTGTCTTTCTTTCTAAATAATGCCCAAATACTTTTAACATTAATAGGCGTATAAGCTGCTGTAAATATTGCACTTGAACTATCTGTATTCTTTGAGAATGAACCGTCCATAGGAATCCAATCCATAACTTTAACAGGAAAACATAAAGCCTCGTTTGTATAATGTTCTACAAGTTCTGTATAAATGTTAGGGTCTAAAGAGAATGATTTTGGATGAATGAAACATTCATTAAAATCCATCTTTGTTCGAAATAGTTGCTGGGTTACAGTTGTAATAGTAACTGTTCCACTAGCTTCTATTGCCTTCGTTATCATAGTGAATGGTTCATTCCATGGAACAAATTTATTTGTCGGTGGATTTGAATCTGAAGCAAATGCAACTTTAAGAGTTGGATTGAAAGCAACGATATCATTTACAGATATAGATGTGCATTGTAAGGCGTCGCTACTGAACTTTACTTTAAGCTGAATGTTTCCTGCAAAAGCAGGAATAAATCGAATAGCTTCTAATGGAAGGAATCTTCTAACAGGAATTCTTAAACGAAGCTTAAAATCAAATGATTTCCTGCTGTAATTGGACCACTAACAATTTGTCCTGTTCTGCATGTTCCCGAATGACTCCATACATCTTCATGTCGAGTCTTTGAGAAAACATCTACTTTCTTTATTTGTTCGGTAGTTTGTGAGTTTGAAGTTATATATGCTTCTTCTCTTGCGTTGTCTTGAGAATATACGATACGACCATTTGCAAGGATTTGATATCCAGCAACTGCATAGAAAGCGTCATCGAAACCAATCCAAAATCCTGGTGGGTTTGTTTTATTGGAACCTGAACCAATTTCTTTATCTACAATAAATTGACCTTCCATTTTATACGTAATGAATGTATTGTAAAGGTCCAACATATTTTCACCAGGAGGTGAGAGATTGAATGTTACCCATGTGTTATCTTTAGCAGTTCCAGGTTGTGATGGAATCTTTGCGTCAGAATATTTTCTATTAGTGTCACCAATTTGAACTGCATTGTCTATGATATCGAAATATGAGCGAATCTGATGAATATGCTCTGCTGGAGTAAATTCGTTTAGCTGTTCGTTCTGCATGTATTTACTTCAGAAAAAATATCTATTTACTTCATTATTCTCACTCTTCTTCTTGGCATTCGTGGTGGAAGTTGTTTCTTGACATTTTCAATGAACTGTACATTCTCTTTTGTCTCAACTTCTTTCACTGGTGGGTCAGGGTTCTTTGACTCGGTTTGCTTTTCAATGAAATTCACGAACTTTGTAATAAGCTCTTGGTTCGTTATTGAAAGAACATCTGGCTTCTTTTCTTCTGGTTCTATTGACTTTTCAGTTTGAATAGAAGGTTTTATATAGGCTTCGCCCTCGGTGCCATGCACCTTAATGTTGTCGCTCTCTGTATTCGCTAATGGAACCTTTCTTTTTCTTACATATATTTTACCATCTTTACTCTGACTTACGTAATAGAAAGGATGTTGTATTCCTCTGGCGTCATTTAATATAATAGACTCTCGTTCTGATTTTGACAAGCTCATTTTACATCGGTTAAAGTTTTAATTTTGTTTTTTATCTGCAGTCAAATGACTCAGACAAGCCCTACGGACAAGACCCAAGGGGTCATAGATGTTGAAGCATTGAAGAAAGAAATTCGTGAGCAAATTTTATCCGAACTGAAGGAACAAAAGCCAGAGAGACCAAAGAGAAAACTTTGTGAAAAACAACTTGCTGCATTAGCTGCTGGAAGACAAAAGAACCCACGTTTGCTGGCGAAGAAAGCTAGAGAAGAAGCTGAAGCAAAAGCTAGAGAAGAAGCTGAAGCAAAAGCTAAAGAAGCTGAAGCAAAGAAAGAGTAAATGTGTTATTTTTATCGGAACTAAATGTATAGACAAATACCTTTATCTGTTGTGTTCAGTAGTGAAAACCCTGACGTCAAAATAAAGGGGAACAGAGTAACGTTTAAGTTTCCAACAGACTGGATTGTGAACATAAATGAAGAGAAGTACATTGGCATAACATCTATGTATATAACACGTGCTTTCAGAAAGGTTGACTTTATACTTCAAGTCGAGATAGAAAATGACGAACAGTCTTTAAGCGCCCAAAACATTCACATATACAAATACTTTAAAGACGATACAACATTGTTGCAATGTATGATTTCATTTAATGAGATGTTCGAGAAAAAGTTCAACATTGAAGTACAAACTTTACAGCCTTTACGTGAGTTTCTTGCACAACTGAAAGAAGAAGGTAGTCAGCCACAACTTATAGACTTTCATTATGAATTTAATGAAAATGAAGATGGAACACATGACTGTCAGTTTGTTGTATTCTCACCATTCAATGAAGTCGCTAAAGAGAAAGAAAATCCATTACGTATAAGATTTCAAAATCTCTGAACCAAGTGATGATTTCAAGAATGTTTTCAATTATGATGCAATGCTTCCGAGGAAAAATGAATTTTCAAAGATTGTAACACCTGACATTTGGGATAGAAAGCAAGCTATATTATATTCAAACTTAAGTAAGGGAGTTGAAAATGAGTTCATTGGTCATACAAGAACTTCACCACTTCCTAACCCTAAATACTATAAATTAACTGGCTTCAATCGTGAGTTTTGGATAGACATGTTCTCCACTCATGACCATAACTGCCCAGTGTTCTTGCCTCCAGATGGGAAGGACTGTCTCTACATTGAAGCACAACTCTTAAACTCTACCATCGCAGTATTGTAAAATCTACGCTAGCTTATTTTTATCACGAATGACCTCATTGCTGACAAAAATAAATGACCTCATTCATGATCTCATTGCTGACCTCATTCATGACCTCATTGCTGACCTCATTCATGACCTCATTGCTGACAAAAATAAATGACCTCAGAACTTCAACTTACGAATAAAGCTTGTTTTAGTCGTTATTGAGAAGTTAAACTTTTCAGCAAAGCAAGGACTAGAAGACTTACATAAGTCAAATCCAATCTCTTGACCGTCATAAAGTGCTTTATATAACTTCATAACACTGAACTCAGAGTCTTTGTCAAATTTTCCTTGCGGAACCATTAAACCTTTATCTTCATCATAGAAACACTGAACAGAGTCAGGAAACATTTCATTAGCGGTTAAAGCAATAACATCTTGCTTCACGCCTTTCATTCTGCAGTGAAATGCAACTTCATTTAAATCATTCGTGAGTAAGTCTATGTAAGTCTTCTTTCCACAAAATATTGACTTGTATGCTAAACTTTGTTTATCTTTTGTGATTTCTGCAAAGTCGCTATGAAATTGACCAAGGTTTTTACCAATGAGAACTCTTCCATAACGTTTCTCAAACTCTTCAGCTAAACGAGGGATATCTTCATTGTAGAGATGCATACTGTCCGTATCGCTATAAAAGATGTCCATTCCTAAGTCCTCAGCAGTACAGAATACTTCACACATTATTCTCTTCGACATAGACAGAATGTTAACACCAAGTGGACAGAAGTTAAAGTGTCTGCAAATGCTTTTCGTTAGCTTGAAAATAGTTTTATCTGAACCATCCAAACCTTCGAACTTCACTATATGGTTTGTAGTTTCTGATGGCATATCTTATAGCATCTTTGTCATCTACTATGGTTATTTTTGACTCAATAGGAGATAGAATAGTTTTGCCATAAATACTGTTCAGAATGAGCTTTATATTTTCTTGCAAAGGATTTCCTTCTTTCTTATACTTTAACCTTAACTCAAACAACTTCTTTACTTCATCTCTTATTCTAATATCTCTGTTTCCATCGTAATAGTATCCTTGCAACACTTCACATTTGACACCTTGATATTTTATGAGGTCTTGTAATGTTATATGGTCAACATACATTAAACAGCAAGTGTTTGAACTTCTGGGAACGTTAAGTTCTGGATTTAGTTCAGGGTCACAAACTATTAAAGGAAAGTGTCTATGTATTCCAATCTCTGTTATCTTAATGAGAACAAAGAAGCCAGACATAAACTTTTCACCAATGGGTTCCTTTTGGTCGTCATCGAATAAATGTCTCATGAGATACTCTGTGCTTAACATTTCTTTCTTCATAACCTTTGGAATACCTTCTAAAGTATAAAGTCTTGCTATAGCTGATGGATATAATGAAACAGCGTCGAAATCAGCAATGAATTTCTCTTTACTCTTTTGTTTAATGTTATCTGACAGCATACATCTTCCACCTTGAATGCATCTCGAAATAAATTCTCTTGGTTTATTTGAGAGGTCATAAAGATTTCCATTCGGGAAGTATACTCTGTTCTCAAACAATTTGTTAGCAATTGAACAAATGCTAACGTAATCATAAACGTTTAAATCAAACTCTTTCAATATATCATTGCGGAACTTAACAAAACCTTCTCTTAAAATTCTTACATCTTGTTTGCAATAAAATGTGCTATACTTTTCTAAGTCGAAGTGGTTTTCATCTATTCTGCAACCTTTGATGGAATCTATGTTTTTCATGAACGTATCCGCATCCCGGATAAACTTACATGCTTCAGAAATGACACCAGTTCTGTTGTCATTTGCTAACAAAACACTGCTGTAGTAGTTGTATGGAAATACTTCTTTCGGTCCTGTTTGTAAGTTAAACATAGCAGGAAATAGTTTAAGCTTCTTATTTATAACACTGTAAGAGTCTTTTATAATAATTGCCCTTCCTTTATATAAGCCAGTTATTTGCATTGTTCGTGAACCTTTAATGATGGGAGTTCCTTTCACTTCTGTCATGTGTCTTAAGATGAAGTTTATATCATAACTGAGGTTATGGAAATATATTAAACTCTTGTCAGGAAGTCGTTCCAAAAATTCTGTTGCACAGTTCTGACCCCAAATGCTTTCACTCACTGAACCATCTTCACTGTCATAACAAATGTTAAAGGCTTTATGAAAGCCGTCGTCTGTGCTACACTCAAAGTCAGCAAAGAAAACGTGCTCAGGAATGAACTTACATTTAGCTTTATTTACTTCTTTTGACTCTGCTTTCTCCTTCAGTTGTACACAATACTTTGGAGCATATGTCAAATCTTTAAATGGTGCAAGGTTCTGTTTATATAAGTCAGTCGTATATGTGAAAAGTTCTCCATAAGAAATAGGTTCGAAATATTTGCACTCCCACAATGTTTTCATAACATCCCATAACGGTGTTGTTCTATCATAACGAACTACATATTTGTTCTCTCTCTTTGTATAAATCTTCATCTGTTTCTCAATGTTCATTCCACCACACTCCTTCAAGATTTCTATATAGTTGCGAATGAAATATGTTGTCATTGGTAATCTTTCGTTTAGCATGTAGTGGTCTTCAACAAGAAGTAAGTCAATAGTTCGAACAGTTTCACATTCTTTTGGTATATATCTCTTTATTTCATTATGTCTTGAGTCATTGAAATAACCAATGGTAACATTAAATGCTATACCAGTTGCGTCAGAAATTTCTTGTACTTTACTTTGAGGAAAGTCTCTAACACGAATGACTTCTCTCATGTGGTCAATAGTTTCTCATTTACTCCAGCCTGAATGCAAGCATAAACGAAACAATTGTCTTCTGTCATAAGTGTTGCAGTTCTTTTGTTCAGTTCATTGAAGATTTGGTAGCGTTCAAGATTTATAGGTAATGTGCAAAGATACTTCCAGAACTGACCGCTTCTCTTCTTATAAAACTTCTTTTCACCATTATCTTTCCAAAAGCTTTCTATAAGTGCTGGGTTTCCTGTTTGCTTAAGAGCTTCCAAAATGGCTTTCTGGTCATTTGTCAGTGTGCTTTCATCTCTATATGGTCTTTTTTGGTTTGCCTTTCTTTACATCTGACATCGTTAAGCCTTCATATTCTGTTAAATCATACATCTTTATTTCAGTAAGATTCTTTATGTTTGTCAAGAAGAAGTCATAGTGCATTTCAACAATACCTGCAGCATTTGCTTCTATCTCTGATATAAAGTTCTCCTTCAAGAGCTGATGTAGTAATGTTCCAATATTATTGAGGTTTAACGTAGAACATTCATACTTTCCACCAAGTTTATAACATACCATCCATCTTTGTTGGGAGTTTATTTTAATTTTCTCTAAGAGTCTCATGAAAACCTTACCGAAATGTTTGTGTAAGTAGTCTCTGTTTGGTTCATCTAAAACTTCGATGTTAAAGTCAATGAGTCTATTGCCTGACTTCACATTTCTCTTCCTATTCTCTTCATCTTTCTTTAACCATCTCTCACCTTCTTTTGGTTTGTCGTCAATGGAACGAATGGCATCGTTAGCTTTGCGAACTTGTTCTATAGCACTTTTAAACATCTCTCTTCTCTGTTGTTTCAGTGTGTCGTCTCTTCTTCTTGTTTCACCGACGTTTGAGTTCGTAAGTTCAAACATTTCTTGACGAACATCATGCGAAAGAGCTTTACGAGTATGACCAACGTTCGCATTTGTTATGTCAAACATTTCTCTTCTTACTTCATGAGGTACTGAACGTCTATGATATAAGTCAATAACAATGTCATTTAAAGGAAATACTCTTGCATGGACTTCGTCCTCGCCGCGTTGCGGATTTATGAACTCATGAATTCTATCATAAGTTATTTCACCATTGTAGTCTTTAATGAAGTCAGCGAGTGCTTTTTTGTTTGTTGCGTAATGCTTTGCAACATCTATGTTAGCTTCTGTAAGAAGTTGTTTTATTTCCGAGTGTTCTAACCTAGATAACTTCCGATACATCTTTAGTAGGAAATAAAAAAAAATATTTTTTGAAAAAATTAGATTAGATTTTTTAAAGTTATTTTTCAAAATAATTTAATATTTTTATTTTAATGAAACACATGCAAGATTGCAAGTTCTTTTCATACAATGCTCTCGCTACTGCCATCAAGAATGAGTTCAATAATGCTTCAAATGTTAATGTTATCTTTAACAAGAAGTTTGTGAAAGAATCTAAGTTTGGTCAGTATGTCAGACCATTAGCTATCGTCATTGACCGCAAACGTTATACTTCACAAGAGTTAGCAGTAGTTTTGAAACAAAAGAGTTTCTTCGTGAATGTCAAAGATACTCATTATACTGTCATAAAGAACTCTAACATTGACTTCTTCAGTATTGCTTTAAATCTTTCCGAACAGAAAGAATATAAGAAGGGTGAAACAAATGTGAAATATTATCCTTCATCTCTGAAGACAATAACGAACAAAGATGTTATACAGAAATTCTTACCAAAGGTTGAAGAAGCTTCTATTGACATTGACGAAGGAAGTGAAATGGTTGAAGAAATTGACCCTGACGTCATTTAAGCAAAAATATATTTTTGGTTAGTCTTCATATGGATATTTTACAACAATTCCCCAATGTATAAACTTTTCATACGCTTTTTCATAAGCTTTATATACCTTCAGAAATTTTGCATAATCTTTAGAAGCATTTAGATATTGTTTAAATGCTTTGTATGTCTTCAGAAATTTTGCATAATCTTTTACATGTTGTTCGTTCTCTTCTTCTGTCATGAGTTCCGAATATTCTAAATTCATGTTCTTTCATATGAGATAAAATTTATATAAAAAATAAAATTAGCTTAGATTTTTTTATTCTTCCTCTTTGAAGTTATCGAAATATTCTGTTATTTTTTCCTTCAGTAATGGTAAGTCTTCTTTGAATGTAAGTATTGTGCAACCTTTGATGTCATAGTGTGTTTGAGGAAGAGTATTTTTGACAATTTCCTTTATTTGCTCATTCGGTGTCATTGAAATCGGTAAGTTGTCACGATAGAACCAGTTTCTGTCAGATTTATATATTTTAGCTAAGTCATAAAAGCTCTTGTTTTTCTTCTGACTAAATGCAACATAACCATATCTTTATCTTCTTCTTTCTCCAACTCTTCAGTATATATCATATACTTATAACTCTTTTCCTTTCCTTTTGGTACTGAACGCGGTATTCTTTTCTGTATGCTTTTGTCTTTGGATTCAATGACTTCATCTTTTGCTTGAAGTTTCTTTTCCATCTCTCCACGTTCTGCTTTATATAGTTCATCTAACATCATGAAAATATAACAAGCATAACGAGGTGAAGCCCACATTGCTACAGCATTTACTAAAAGTCTATGAACATAATATCCTTTCAAACCAGGAGCCAAATTCTTGCGATTTTCGTACGGAATCTCTTCTCTCGGTTTTCCGAGGGAAGCAATCATATGAGGAAATTCTTCTAAAAGTTCTTTTGTCTGTTGGTTTTCAAACCAATGATATGCTTGCTTTGTAGAACGAAGAGCATTCATTATACTTTGCATTTGGTACATGTCATCTTTGACCGAACGAATGAGGCGAAGTTGTTTGTTATATTGTATGTATTCGTATTCTTCATTTATGGCTTCATGAACGATAGCAGTTGTTGTGTTCTCTAATGTTGACATTTCTGTTCTTACATACAAAATAAAAAAATAAATAAAAATAAAACTAACTTTATTTTTCTGTGTTAAAGAAATGTTAAAAATTCATGGTTACATATGTGAAAAGAAGTCACGAACAAATGAAGGTCATAAGATTTGTCTTGAAAAAATACAAGACTTGTTCTGAAAAAATACAAGACTTGTCTTGAATCAGGACAAAACTTTACAAAATGTAAACTTTACATAACCGTTTCTATCGTACATGATATTTAGTTGACATTGTAAACTATCTTCATGTAAAGTATGGCGGTTTGAAACCGTCGGGAACCTTCACTTTTTTGACGAAGTGCGAATCTTCACTTCGTGTCATGATGCAAAAATAATGAGTTCATTTACTCACAATATTTTTGTACAAAACGACCCCAAACTTTTAACTTCTTTTCTGCAGCTTCTAATGCTATCTTAGCGAGTTCATATTCTCTAAATTCTCTCTTTAAATCTTCTTGTTCCCATTGGTCTAGTTCGTATGGAGAATCTCTATAATCATAACATATCTCACGTTCATGTTCTAATTGTTTTTCATGCATTTTCCTAACTTCTTGTTCGAACAAAGGTTTAGCATTCTCTACTGTATCTTCGAGTTCTTCTTCATCTAACTTCTCATGAACTTTCTTGTCTATGGAGTCCATAATATCTTTGACATAAAATGCATACTTTACAGAGCACCATTCAGCAACAAAATGAACGAAGTCAGGATGTATGTAAATACCTTTGAATTCATTTATAACACCCTTAGTAAGCTCATAAAATGCTTGTTTTGAGGTCGAGCCACTTTTGGCTCGACCGTATTCTTTCAACCAAAACTCAAGAATTTCCTGCATTTTAGCACTATTGAGAAATTTGTTTAAATGGTTTAACTTTCCTGCTTCTCTTGCCATCTTTGTTGCATTAATGTAACCATCCTTGTCTCTACGTAAGACTTCAATACCGTTATAAGTGCCTTTTGTGAATGTTTCGCCATTAGATTTGTTAGTGAATGTTTTTGCTTCGACTGACATTTCTGTTCTTACCTACAAGATAAAAAGTTAGAAAAAAATAAAACTAACGTTATTTTTCTATCATTAAGAAATACATGAAAATTCATTATTTTTGTTCATTTATGTTAAAATAAATGGTACCATTAATAATACATGACTGTTCTCATTCATGTCTGATTTACATCTAATGAAAAAGTTTAGAAGAATTTTCTTATTCTTTCTGGCTTATTTTTGTCTTTCCAGTACTCCCGCTCTAATGGTCCCAGATGTGTTGGCTTTGACTCTCTCAAGTTCTTAGATGGTATAACATCTTCAACGCCTCCTTCATATCTTACTTTATAAGTGTCATCGTTTATGTTATAGCCAAGTATTTCAATAACCACTCCTCGCTTTGCTTCGTCAATGGTTTTAGCAAGTTTGCCATTACTACTTTCGACTAATTTATCGAGGGTAAAATGCTATGGAGTCGTCAGCAGCTTTTATAAGATATCCATTACCTTGCGTAGAGTCTACGATATAATAATTTCGACTTAACCTTAAACGTTTCTTTGTCAACGGTTTGTCGTCAAGAACTGCACGAACTTTTGTACCAGGAATGAGGTAAATTGTGTTGAATTTCTGATATTTTTGTGTTTGGCTTCGTTTCTTTTGTATATACTTTTCTTCTTGTTGTTGTGTCATTGAATTTGGTGTATGTCCTGTTGTAGAATGTGTTGAGGAATTATATACTTCGAGAAATGTTTCATTGTTTCTTCGTAAAGTCTCGCTCTTGGTTTAAATCTCTGAGCGTTCTTATGAAGCGGTTTTATGATGCCGAGTATGTTATGGTTATGGTCTTCAGTAGTGTAGTGAGTTATGTTATGCTTAATGAGAAAATCTGTGATTTCATTGCTGAGGTATGCACTGTCTTGGTCTGATGTTAAAGTACTGGGCTATGTTCTGCTACAAACTTTTGTAAAACTCTTAACACTTCACGAGTTCCTTTATTTTTCATTATATACGCAAAGCTTTGCGAGTGTTAACATTAATGAAGATGAGGAATGGTTTATGTCCTCCTTTTCTGCTTTGAATGAGAGTGTCAAATTGGTATGCGTCAGGAGTGTTGGAGTAAATTGGTAAAAAGTAGTCGTAAGGGTTTATTTTGTTTGATGTACAACATTTTTGTCAAAGAACCTTTTCACTTCAGCTCTGTTAGTAAATCCCCAACTCTTTGCAGCTTCATTGAACTTCTTAAATGACCTCCATGGATGTTGTTCGAATACTTCTTTCAAGCTCATTTATGTAAAGTTAAAGATTTTATTCTGCTCAAGCGCGTTCAATGAACGCGGTACCATGCGAATACAGTCATAAATGGTGGCATATAATCTTCACCCGAGCCTGTTGGATTTGTTGTGAAAGTGTGTGAATGATTTCCTCCTGGTTCAGTTGGTCGAAAAGTCTTTTTTGCTGAATTGTTATAAGATGGAGATAAAACGTCATGGCCAGCTTCATACTCTGAGTTGTATAATGGGTGGTCTCTTAATGAGTGGCTATGGTCGCCAGAAAAGTTTGTCGTTCCTGTATGAGTGTGCGGTGGAAGGTTTGCTTCTTTAATTTTCTTCGAACCTCCTGTTTGCTTTGAATATCTAGCACAGTATAAGAATTTATCTACAATCTGCTTCCACGTACCAAAACCTAAAACTGTTGATGGATTTGTTGAGTTCATTGACGTATAAATAGAGCCTATAGGATATAATGTTTGAAGTATTTCAATCTTTAATGTTTGAAGCTCTGTTTTGTCTGCTTTCTTATCTAACATTGTTGGTAGTTCATATGCTTCAAAGTTTCTGGCATGATCTTCGATATTCCTGCAACTGTTATCTAAATTGTTAAGAGTATCTTTTACGCTTGTACTTGGATTTTCTAATGGTGCACTTGAACCAAGGGTATAGTTCAATATTATGTCGTCTGCTCTAACAGTAGTGAAGGATTTATGTGTATGGTTCTTGTCAGCTTTATTATCATATAAATCTTGAGCAGTGAATTTAACATTATTTTTCATCATCCATGACATAACATTTTTACAGCTAATTTCTTTCTTCGTTGTTATGTTTTCATTCGATGTTAAACCTTGTGGAAAGTTAGGAGGTTTATAATATAAAGCAGCCGCGTGCGGCGGGCTCCGCCCTCCCCACCAGTTCCTTCAACCGTTCCTTCAATACTTTCTATAGCAACAGTTGAGAAGGAGTTATGTGTATGTTCTTTATCTGCTTTTTTATCTAACATTGCTGGTAGTTTATATGTTTCAAAGTTTCTGACATGACCTTCAATGTTCATACATTTACTATTTAAGGAGTTTAGTGTATCTTTTACGCTTGTACTTGGATTTCTAAAGGTGCACTTGAACCAAGGGTATAGTTCAATATTATGTCGTCTGCTCTAACAGTAGTGAAGGATTCATGTGTATGGTTCTTGTCAGCTTTACTATTTAATGTAGCTTGAAGTTCATTTATATCGGAGATATTGTGTTTATGAGATTTCAAAACTTTGTTCGTTGCGTCAAGTTCATCTTTGTCAGCTTTACTTTTAATAGCATCTTCAAAAGTTATTTTTGCCTTAACTCTCAATGTAAATCTTGGTTCAACTAATACACCGTTAACAAAGAAGTATGAAGCATAAATTTCATTGTTATAACCAAATGCTTCTGGTGCTTTACCTGTGTCATACTGTACAGTACAGTGTATGTCATAACCTTTAGCACGAATGAATTTATATCTTCTTTCATTAACATCTTCAGTGCTTATTTGTTCATCCTGTGTTAAATATCCATGGTAGTCCGTTATAATCTGTTCGTCTGAACTTATATAATGAACATGGTTTTTATCTGCTTTTTCGGCTAATTTCTCTTCTATCTCATTTATTTCAAGTTCATGCCTACCACCACCTCCCGAAGAAGTATTTTTCTTCAGCTCTTGAAGAACGTCCACTTCGCCATCTTTGGTGTCAATAATGAGACTTTGAGTTAAAACCTTTCCTGTCTTAATGGATGTTTGTAAAACTTCTTCTTCACCTGTGTTCGGGGTCATGGTCGTCATCATATCTTGTGAAATCAGAGATGTTGTCATACATTAAGCATATCTGTCTCAAAAGTTCTGCTATTTGAAACTGGAACGAAAGATATACAGAACTTTCATCATCTCCTAAAGTCAAGTCTGCTTTCTTAAGTATTTCTTGAATGTATGCAATGAGAACAGAGTACCTTGGAAAATATTCGAACAATATTTCATTAGCTGTTGGTTTTGGTGGTTCTTCTGTAGGTTCTGTTGGAGTTTCTGCATCTCTTGACTTCAATGCTCTTGCTCTCAAAGACCTAAATGTTAGAGCACCAGGTTTTACAAAGGACTTTATAAATGCTTTAATAGTTCCTGGTAAGTTATTGTTAGCATTAAGTAAGTTCCTTATGCTTCCATCATGTACGTCCATAGCACTATGTAAAAAATCTATACTTTTCTTGTAGTCAGCAATAGACTGACTGTGATTTTTTAAAGATTTGTCAATACCTTTAAGCCAATCTTCATGCATGTCTGATACTGAGCCAAGAATATCATTTGCTTCCTTTAGTGTATTTTGTGCTTCTCGTAAAGTATCCAATCCCGTACGTGCATTGTTTGCTATACGTCTTACAGTATCTATTTGACTCCTTGTTTCTTGCATCCAACCAGATAAAGTTTTAATAGTATCCGAACCATTTGAAATGAAGTTCAAAGCATTTTTAACGTCATCTAAAACTTCTTCACCAAGTACTGCCCATATCTTTCCGATTTGGTATTGAAGAACTCCATATGAAGCAGCTGTTAAACCAGTATTTATAAGGTTCCATATCCATGATTTAGCAGTTTTTCCATCCTTTCCATCTTCACCATTCAAACCGTTTTCGCCTTGAGGTCCTTGTATTCCTTATATTCCTTGTATTCCTTGTATTCCTTGAGGTCCGGTGTCACCCTTCTCTCCTTTCAGTTCATCTTTATGTTCGTTATAATATTCTAATGTCATAAGGTGTACATCATTACTGCTACCAGCAACGCCGAGAATTTGTTTCTCATTCATGACTAAATTCTTTAGGCATTTAATGTTGTCGTCAAATCGAAAGCTCTTTAACAATTCAATGAGAACATTTAATACTTTCACTAATGAGGCATCTACTGTAGAATTTATATATTGCACCGTTCCATCATTTATGATGGGAACCTTGCTTGTTGTAATGAATGGGTCATAAGTGTTAAAAGTATCGAAATCAATGACTTTTTTAGTTTTTCCATCGTCAATGACTAAATCATTGCCTTCAATGGTTAAAGTTGAGTTTTCGTTTACTAGTTCATGTGCTCTTCTTGCTTCATTTGTTTCATACGCATATGCAGCAATAGTCATATTTTAATGAGAATAAAATGTTGTTCTATTTGCAAAGTACAGACCCAAACGAATACGGGACAGTAAAGCTACAAACAAACTTAGGTCTTCAGAATGAAGCGCTTGCTTTCAGAGTTGTTGACTTCAATACTATCGCAACTTTTGTCATAACAGATGAAACAGATTTCATAGAGATTGAAATAGATGACAAAAGAAGTGTTATAACATTTCCTAATAGAGCTGGGTATAGAATAGATAAAATTGCTGGAGTTAAATACTCTCATAAATGAAGAAACTATTGACAACATAGATGTCGAACTCTCTTCTGAGGGAACATTGAAGTTCAGCAGCGAAAGAGTTTAAGATACCAAGAATGAGTCATAGAGTACAACTTCTTTTGGGTGCATACCATATGACATTTCCTTTGAAAAGTGTTGACAAAACGATTGAGATGAAATCTGTTCCATACGTATGTTATGGTAATTGTTTGTACATTGAGTCAAAAATAGCTAATGTCACAGGTATTTCAGGAGTTAATAGTAAAGGTTCAGTAGAATATAAGTCTTTCTGTTATGCAGTCAATTCAATGTTCATTCCAAACGTTCCTGTCATAGCAACTCATTTAGGTAAATGGGTTCGCATTAGTCCTCATAATTTGAAAGACATGCAATTCAGACTTGTTGACTTTCAAGGAGAGCCTGTAGAACTGAAGGCACCAGTGCGAATGACTGTTGAAGTTGACTTTTTAGAAAATATTAAATGCAACAGCTTACAAGAGAACTCAGAGCTAAAAATATAAAGTATGAATGTTATGTATTAGGTCATGAACTTTGGTTGTTGCTGTTTGATGAAACAAATGAGTTAGTTATGTCAGTCAAGAGAACAGAAAAATATTGTGTTAGTGAAAACTGCACCAAGTCAATAAGATTAGGTTTGCATTATGAAGATGAGTTCGATACTGTTGAAGAAGTTTTGGATAGATATTACAAATTGCTAACTTGAAATTTTTTGACTGACGGCGCAAAGCGCCAAGATGGGCTCAAAGAGCCCTCCTGACTGCTTTAATTTACTAAAACATATTTCAAACAAAGCTTATAGTCAGTAGATAGTTTTGTATACTCGTTCGAATATTTATACTTAAACTCAACTCCTGTAGTTCCTGGTGTTTCAATGATGCGGATGTTACCTATTTTCATGAATAGTGGAGTTTGACCACAGCATTCGATTTCAGGGTCGAGATAGTCAATGACACATTTTTCCCTGTTATTCGTGAGATAACATTTTCAAGGTCCTCCTTTGTTAGAATTATTTGGTTCTTACTTATAAGATTTGTCAAAAGCTTCTTATCGTCTTTGAGTAAAATTGTTTGGTATAACTGAAGAAGGTAATGGTCTACGTTATCTGAAGGATTTGTTTGAACATTTGTGTAAGGGTTGTCGTTGGCTTCTCTTGAAAGAATTTGGTCCAGTGGTGGATACTCTAACTTAACATCTGATGTAGCGTTAGCGTTTGAAGCTGTGTTTAAATTCACCGACTTAAGATCTGGTTCTTTTTCTTTCAAACACTCGAACTATAGTTCTTTATGACAATATTGTTTGTCGTTCGTGAGTCAACATTTGATGTTGGTTCAATTGGAACATTAACGGCACCAGCTAAGATGGATTTGCTTCTCATTTCATATAGAATAAAAACCTTTTATATGTATGAAATGAACAATATACTCGACAAGGGTTTGAATGTAAAGCTAACGAATGAAAATATTGTTGAATTCACTGAGACAGGTGCTGTGTATAAAGATGTAGAACTACTGAACAAAAGAGCTAAGGGAAGAAGCAGGAACATGAACAAAGGGTGGAAGCCTATAAAAATTTATGTCAATGATGGCTCAGGAGGTTCAAACATAAAGTATGCAGAAAGTTATAGAGTTTATGCTCTCAAAGGTGAAAAGCCTTCATTTAAGAACAGCTATTCTAACGCATATCCTCAAAAGCTAACGGATGGGAAGTGGATGATATGAATGACAGCAAAAATATTAACAGAAATGGCGACAGAGATGCATGGAATTTGTTTACCATCAGTCAATTGAAGGTTAAACTTTAAAACAATGTTGGTCGTTCCCATGGAATATTTTTGACTTTAATGGTATTAGTCATGATATGAATCTCAAGGTATGAACGAGGAGAGATGAGAGACTTATATGCTTCCCAAATTTCTTCAAAAGGTAATGTTATACCTGACTGTTTCCAAATGAGTTCAATATCATAGCGTGAGAAACCTTGAAAGATAACGAAGTCAGTTATGAGACGTTTTATGTTTAAAGCTAAAAACCTCCATGTTTGCATAAGTATTGCTACAGTTAAATGGTAATGTCTGACTTTAGTATGATGTTAGCTAATGGTGAGTCTGGTTTTGACACTAAACCTTTTCCGGCGAAGTCGTCACAAACGAAAGTGTTTGAAGGATACTTTTTGAAGGGGTATTTTGAAAGTTTTGACAGAATGTAGTTTGTAAGTCGTTTCATATCGTAAACTCCTGAGTATTGACGTAAGTGGTGTTTGTCAATAATTCTTTCCATCTCCTCAGAAGTCTTTTGCATTCCTGACTGTATAAATTCAACGATGGCATATATTTTCTCTTACGTCGAATGTAACGTTGAAGAAATTCAATGAGTTCACTGTCTGGAACTTTAAGACAGAGGCTTGAACTTTTGACATAAATGTTTTCGCTGTTGAATCCATAGAGTCTGAAGTTGCTGATATAATGATTTGGTCATAGTAAGAGTCGTTTCCTAAACACTCTGTTATGAGTATATGACGAATGAGGTTAAATGTCTTACCTGAACCCATCTTTCCACAATAGAAATAAACGCCATTTGAACAGAATTCATAATCTTTGCTGAAAGGAAGAATAAGAGAAGAGTTAAGTTTGTCCTGTAGTTTCATTCATGTCTTCATCTACATCATGTATTAAATGCTTCATTTTATCTCCATTAAAATGCAAGTCAGAAATATTCAGAACATAGCACCGAGTCTAACTGACAAGAGTATAAAGATATACTATGAACATTTATGATGAAACCAACCAAAATTCAAGAAAGTCAGTAATACTTATGAATATCCAAGACACTGGGTAGAGTATGTAGGAGGTGAGAAAGCTATTGAAATCAGACAGGTTCGAAGTATTCCAGCAGGAAGAACAATATTATTGAAGAACTTTAATGTTTGAGATATAATGATGAAACAAAGAAGCAAGATAGTTTCCCTGTTGCTGTGTATGTGAACCTAGACACAGGAGATGACATGAAAGTTTTTAACACAAAGCTTCAAACGGTAGTGAGAGAACAACTGACTGCGGAAGGCATCCATTACCTTCAGAAGTTACCATAGCATATAATTTTGAAACAAACTCAATAGATTTTAAAGTCATCTTCTGCAAAGAAGTCAGGATTTTAACATTTAATGAGCAGATGTATATTCGAATGAAAAACTTCAAAGCTATTGCATGGTTAGATAATGACGATTGCTTTAAGAAAATCTTTAAATTCAGTGACTCAAAGATGTCAATAGATGACCTTCGTGGAATGTTACCATCGACGTTTCAGTAGAAGGTTCAGCAGGATTGCTTACAAGATTGTCAATTGGTGGCATTTGGTCTCGTGAGAACATTGTTATAAAATCCAGTATAAGTGAATTTGCTGAAGAATCTATATTATGTCTTTCAAAACTACATGTATTCGCCGCCGAAGCATTATAGTATAACAAACTTTGTCAGTAAGTTTAACATAAGACTTGTCGAACCTTCTTCAATGAAAGATGTTGTGCTACCTAAAGATGGAAAGGATGGACTCATTATTGAGATGATTTTAATAGCATATTAAATGAGCTTGTTCTTGAAGGTCATTCATGATGAAATACTGTTGTAGAAGATGTTAGCAATTGTTCAGACATTTTATTGAGAATAGATGAGATAAGAAAGAAGTTAGATAGACCGCAAAGTGGTGAGGGCGAAGCCCGTGAGAACGCTTATGTTTCATTGACTTTCTCCAGTAACGAGAACTTTTATGAGATAATATTGAAGAGAGATGATTTTAATATGGGGTAAATGGTAGCTTGGGCAGCTTTAGGCGCAATGGGAACAAAAGCATTAGCATTTGGAGCAAAAGCACTTGGAGCTTATGACGCAGTAAATAAAATGAGTGGAGGAAGGGTTTCGAAGACATTAGATGCAAATAAAGGGAAGATTGGAGGCTGGGTTGCAAAGAAGTTAAGATTAAATAAAATAGGGCTCATAAATAAAGCATCCAATTTGGTTGCGACTGAGTCAGAAAATGCTTTAGGAAAGGACGATGAGTTTGCAAAACACGCAAAAGACTTTAATGACCAGATGAAAGGTGAACACAATGCATTTAAATAGAGTCGATGGAACTAAAGAAAATGTTTCTTCTCCACCAGTAGTTCTTCCGTATGGTCCCTATGGAATGTATGGAAACCCTTACGAAAGACCATTTGACCCATTGACTGGTGGAAGTAACTGGTATCATTACGGACGAAGAAGAAAGACAGTCAAGTTGGAGACAGACGTGAAGAAAGCAACTAAAAGAAACCAAGGAAGAGAGTTATAAAGCAATGAATTCAACAGGGTGAAAAAACAGGTGAAAAAAGAGGTGAGATTTCACCACTTCACCTAAATTTATTTTTGTGCTATGTTTTCATACGTGTGAGGGTGGTGATATCATTAATTTTTAAGTTTATTTTTTATTTTATTTTTATATAAATGACGAAAACTATTGAGATAACAAACTACAACGGTCATGAGTTCAAGAACTTGTTCTTCGTTCCTCGTGAAAATACATTCTATCAGATACGAGGGAGAAAGGGTAAAAGTTAGTTTGAGCGTTTATGAACAAGCATAATGGAAAGTTTATACAAGCATATGATACAAACGATAAGCGTGTTTCATTAGCTTTGTCAAATTACAGGTATAAACTATGACAGTGATTTTGACCTATATGAAGAAGAAAGTGAGTCAGAAGATTATGAGCTGTTATATGAAGCACAGCAATGGGAGGAGTTGCAATACTTTTGTAAGTGAGAACGTTTATTTTTACAGTAGTGAAGTCGTTTGTGAAAACGTTAGTGAGGTGAAGTGATTTGCGGCTTTGTAAATATTTAAGGTTAAGTTAGTGTTGTCGTTTGTGTTGTAAAATATACGTTAACGGTTTCGTAAAGTGTCAAATTCACATAACAGGGGTACGGTGGAACGCAGTGCCGTCGTACCCTTGTTATGTATACTAACTCTTGAAGGTAAGTCCCTTACATGTAAGTAGCTCTGGTAAAGTCTTCTCATCTCTGCTAACTTCTGGAGTATAGCTTCGTAATTTAAGAGTTTTAATTTTAATTGTCTTATTCCTCTCTTGACATCTAAACGGTAAGTATCCATGAGGTCAAGAGTAGCTTTGGTAGCTTTAAGTAGAGCTATCTCTTCTTTGACTTGTGCAATTTTGGTTGCAATTGTGGTTTGAGCTCCTTCAAGTTCGCCGTCTATGTCGTTCTCAACACCTTCAACCATAGCTTGAAACTCTTCATCGGTCCATTGAGTTTGGTGTGGGACGAATTTAACTTGCTTCATTCAAAAAATGAAAAAAAATGTTTTTACTCTAAACGTGCCATGTATATGGCTATAAGAAACTTACCAGAAGGCTTCTTCTTCACATGAGTCTTTGGCAACTTGAGAGTTCTTGTTGGAGTTGAGTCTGGAATTTCAATTCTTGCCACCATAAAATGTGTATTGACCGAACTTGCATTTGCAGGAAGACCGGTCACTACAAGGTTCACAGTTGAAATAGTTGTACTCATACCTGGTGAGTACGAGTGTGAGTAAAAACATAAAAAAGTGAGTTAAAATGAGATGTTTACTGAACTGGCTGAATGTCGCCTTCACAGGTTATGTAGAACGGCTGACCGGAGAAGTGAAGGAGAGACTGAATTGCCAATTTCATATGGGGTAGGGGGTTCTCCTTGTTTGGTATTTTTATCCAAGGACGTTTGTTTAGGAACTTAACAAGAGCTTCTTTTTTGGCGTCCTTTATGCCATCGTAGGCTGTCCCGTCTGGTATTTGAATTGGAATTCCAGTCGAAGTCTCGAGCTGAAGTGTAGACCTTCCAGAAATAGTGATGAACTTGACCTTGGGCTTCATTACCTTGCGCAAGTAGTCTTTTACGCAGTCGTTAAGTTCAATGAGGTAAATTGCCTCGTCAAGTCTTTCTTGCATTCCAAGTTCTTCCATCCGACAGGAAAATATTTTCCTTCCGACAGGAAAAATTTTTCCTTCCGACAAGAAGAACTCTTCCAGTTGTCCGTCCGTAAACCATTCAAATTTTCGAAAATTGAGAACTTTTTGGTCGAACTTCAGAAAAAGTTTTTCCTTCCGACAGAAAAAGTTCTTCCTTCCGACAGGAAAAATTTTTCCTTCCGACAGGACACAAACGGATGACTGACGTTCCTCTTCCTGAATGCCTTCCAAAGCCAGAAGAACCGAAAGCTGCAGAACCACAACAGTCTCCTCAGCAACCTCAGTTCCAGCAAGTACCTCCGAATTACTACCAATTTCCACCTCAAGGTTACTACCCACCACAAGGCTTCCCGAACTACCCTCCTCAGCCTATGCCTTACTTCCCCAACCCTTGGATGTTTATGCAAAACCCTGCCCCACAATTCCAATCTCAATCCAAGAGAGACCAAGACTTCGAAGAAGGTCTGAACCGCTTACGCAAAGAGTATGCTACAGCTCCAATGGAAGACGACAGGCTTTCAGTCTCTTCCCTCAAATCGACCGATTCGACTCGTACCACAGATTCGGTTCGTGACCGTGAAGACTACCTCAAGCAGTCTGAGAGACTCTTCATCCTACAACCATTTACAGTTGGAGCTCTCAAGAACATGCGCAATTACGAAGGTCAGACACCAGCTGGAGACCGCAAAACAGACGTACTCGCAAGAGCCGTCCAGCTCGTCAAAACAAAGACGGAGATAGTCGACTTCATACTTGCAGCTTGCCCTTACAAGTAAAAAAATAAACAATTACGAATTAAACTTTTTACTCTTTCTTTTCTGAGTTGTTTAGAGCTGGTTTCTCTTGTAGAAACCTTTCGTACTCTTTCATGGTCATGTAATTGCGAATTTGGTACGCAATTCCAGGTTCGTTGTTTTTGAACCTGATGTATGTAACGCTTCCATCCTCCTCAGGGAAGTAAGCTGCTAACATCTGACCAAGTTTTCTCGGTGACTCGGAGCTCATAAAAATGTCACTTTTTAAACGTTAAGTTTTTAGTCTTAATTTACCCTTTGTTTGTCAAGGTAGTATTGGAGTGCAATTTCTCCAAATTCTCTGTGTCGCAGTTCTTCAGCATTTTCCAAGGTGTACCTGGAGAACTCAAAGAAGTTGTCAAGAAGATACTGCCATGCTGCTCTTCTGAGTTCGTCGGTATTTTGGAAGTGTTGCACCTTCGAGTCTTCGGACATGAAAAAAATGACACTTTTTCTATTAAACCGTTTTGGCATTTCTCATGAGTGAGTATAGTTCTGCCGAACCATTGGAAGAGAAGAAGTACCCTTGCTGGCAAAAGACAAAAATAGTTGCCTTAGTTGTCATTGCAATTGTACTCGTAATTGAATTCATTGTACTTCTCTTCACGTACATAAAACTCAGCAATGGTATTTGCTTTAAGAAGCTACCATCTTACTAAGACTAAACACTTAGATTTTTCAAGCTTGACTTTTTACAATTTGAACTTTGTTTGCGTAGATATGAATTCTGAAAGAAGTATGAGGGTCTTGTATGACTTTGTACTTCTCCCATAGTTCATGTCTGTCAAACTTACCTGCCATGGACTCTTTCATAAGTTCCATGAAATCGTCTTCGGACAATCCGGGGAAAAGTATTATGTCAGTAAGTATTCTTTTAACATCCTTACTTAAACTCTTTGCTGTCTGTACACAAATGACAACTGAGATGTTAAAGTGTCTGAGCTTCTTAAGAATTCGACACATATCTTGTTCTCTGTTCTTTAACAAAGGATGAGAGGCGAAATCATCTAAGATAAGAAGACATCTATGAGGGTAAGTCTTCCAATCGTAAGATTGCAATTTCTTCGAAATGTATTCTATCTCTTTCTGTTTGTTTCTGAAGTGTTTCTTCTCTAATATTCTCTGCATTTCCTCATTAGGGTCTTTGAACTTAGAATTTATATACTCATTTATAGCATTATACTTCAAAACTCTTCTTTGGTACTTCTTTATCCAATCCAACAACTCAGAGTCTTTTATACATACTAACTTAGACTTCTTTATAATATCTTTGAACGAATTGACGGTTTGGTCAAATTGACCAGAAGTACTACAAATGACTACTAACTCATAGAATGGGTTCTTCTCATCTAGTTCTTGTTGTTGTGCAGCCATTTTAAGATAAGTGAAAGTCTTACCCGACCCAGGTGGTGCAATTAGACCTGTTATACCATTCTGAGCAAATAAGAACTTGTCATGTATAGGTTTTATCTGAGCATTTTCTAACTTCCTCTTGTTCTTATTTAAAACATTCTCAAATTTTTGTCAATGTCAGCAAACTTTTTTTCTAACATATTTTAGAAAAATTAAAATTTTTATCTTTTAAAAATGTCTAGCGATTTCGCTATCTATTCCGTGACAAACTTTTTCGACTCTAAAACTTCTGTCGACCATAAAATCTTACATTGTGTCAACAAGAAGGTGAATTTGTTCTAAAGTTCTGTTTCTGGGAATATGACAAGAACCATAAAACATTACAAAGAGCAGTCTTAAAATTTGTCAATGACAGACTTGTTGACAAGATGACGCCGATTGGAAAGATGAAGTCCAACAAAAGTTCTTAGAATGCAAAGAAGACACATGCGCTGTTCTTGAAGATGAAATAAAAACAGAATAGATAAGCTATTAAAGGACAAAGAACTTTTACATAAATATGGTTCTGAGAAATTTGACGTCTCACCACCAGAAAGAAGAAGAAAGAAAAGAAAGAGAAAAAAGAAGAAGAGAAGAAAGAACCTGAACCAGTTCCAGAGAAAAAGAAATTTGACATGTAAAAATAAAATTTTATTTTAGAACATTTCTGGGTCAATGTCAATGTTCTCTTCCTCTTTAGGAGCAAACACTGGCTTAGACTCTAAAATCTTTTTACCAATTTACCTTGAACTTCTACAACTTTAGACTCATAATATTCATAGTCGTCTGTCTTCTTTGGTTCATAAGGTATAACAAGTTTGTATGCTTTGCCTTCTTTAAGGTTTGAGAACCTTCTGTCAAAACTTTCTTTGACTGCTAACAAACCTTCTATGTCTAAGTCTTCAAATTTCGCACCATTTTTAGTCACAATAGCAAACTTAACTGGTTCGATGTTCCAAACTTTGCTGAATGAAGACTTTTCAAAATGGTAGAAGTAAACATTCAAATATGTGAATGGGTCTAGTTCTTCTTTAAGTCTTGACATGTACTTGTTTACTGAGATGAATTTCGTCATCTTTTCTATCGGATAAAAAAAATATTTTTTTTAAAATTTACTCAGAAAAATTTTTCTTTGTATATACACCATTCTGTACGTCTAAAAGACTTTTGACATTTGCCAAGAATGTACGTTTAGAAGCTGCCATATAACCATATTCTTGACAATATTGTTTATATTCATCATATAAAGACTTTTCATCTAAACACTCAAAGTCGCTTTCTTCTATGAACAGTTCATATACACTCTTGTTTGCTTCTAACAATGTTTGTCTCTCTTCGGTATGTGGAATTTGTCTTGGATTGAACTTAGAAATATCAAATGCCATGAAATATGAGAACAAGTGGTTGTAAAAGTCAGATGTCAAAGTTTCTGCTAAGTCGTCAAAATATTCTGTATCTTGCATATGAGAATCTGACGTTCTGACAACTACATATCTTCTGTCAGAACTTTCTAACTTCATCGGAACAGCATTGTTTGAAACCATAATGAAGTTTGCAACATTTTCACAAACTCTTTGGTCTTTATACTTTCTTTCAACAACTCCAACTTTATCTGTTATAAGACTCTTCAAAGCATCTGAGTTTAAAACTTTTGTTGTATCTATACTTTGAAGCTCATTGCAAACTATAAGTTTCATATTCTCAATTGAAGAGTTAAATTTACCGCAGATGTTTTCTAAGTTTGTCATATTAGGGTTCGAATAACCTTCTAACAGTTTGCACAAAATATCTGTAAAGAAAGTATTCTTACCAGTTCCTTATTTTCCAATTATAATGAGAGCAGTTTCATTTTTAGCACTTGGATGTTGTAAGATATTTGCAAACCAACATAAGATATACTCATAGACTCTTTCGTTTCCATTGCATATAATTTCTTTGACATGGTCTAACCAAGCTTCTATAATATTTTCTTTCCATTCTACTTGTTCGTATTTATATCCAGTGAAGATAGAATAGAAGTTTGGAGAAGGTGTAGAGAACTTTATACCTCGAACTGAAAAATCTTCAATTTTTGACAATAAGATATCCCAAGCATCTAACATCTTCATTCCAACTTGTACAACTTTTATTTTCTTAAGTTTCTGTCTACATTCTTGTTCAGACACTATTGTTGCTCTTGGTTTGTTAAAGACAACATCCCATTCTTTCATGACATAACATTCTGGGGCAGAGTCAACATAAATGACTAAACGTTTCAAATTCTCGACTGCTTTGTTATAGTCTCTAAATGGACACATATTTCTGAATGCTTGGAAGTCATAAAAATCTGAAACATCTATTCTGTACATTTTTATAAAAATAAAAAAATAATATTTTTTTATTCTTGACTTTGTTGTTCCATTTGTTGCATTTGTTGTTCTTGAGCTATTTGTTGTTGAAGTTGTTCTTGTAATACAATACTTTCACCAGTTGCATCTTCCAATTCGAAACTTTCTGCCGTCATTGACAAATACATAGGACATAAAAGTTTTACAGGAACAAAGTTTGCGTCAACTAATGTCAACGTTATACTTGCCAAAGTGTTTGAGTTCACTAAGGTTGAAAATTCTGCATTCGAATGAACAATAGGCAAACCAGCAGAGAAAGTATTGTTTATACGCATAAGTATCTTTTGGTCATAATAGTTTCTGTCGACATTCGAATAACACTTTGAACCTAAGTTTGAAACAATATATAAGATTGGTGTGCTTAATGTCAATGGAATAGACATTCCTTGTATGACACCTTTTCCTGTTATAGGAAACTGTTGGTAGTAAAAACCAGAAATAAGTTTTGTATTATAGCTCATATCATTAATAGTAAACTCAGTCGGACATCCAAACATAATGAAACCTGCTCTAGTTGCAGCACATGTTACACCCGTACTTAAAGTATTAAATAAGTCAACAAAACCTGTTGGTGGTATATCTGAGTAAGTATCTTCAAAGGAGTATTTTTTACCATTCACAACAATAAAGTCTTCTGGTGTCAAAAGAGCAAAACAGGCTTTAGTCGTCATTGTGTTTAAGGTTAGTTTACAATATCGTCCTTGAGGACTTTGTAAGTTTGTTGTTATAGAATTATATGACTCAGGGTTTTTAGTCGTAATAGTATAAACCATTATGTCTTCTGCCATTTACTTAGCAAATAAATTTTAATGAAATGTTGTGGTCGTCAAATATTTTTATAACGTCTGGGAAACTATATTTTAAGTTCAACGTTTCACCTCCTTTCATAACGTATATCTTGTCAATGACATTATATGAAACACCACAGCAACTAATGTCGGGTTCTATTTCTTTGATGTTTATATCGTCTGCCTCTGTCAAAAGTTTCAATAGTTCTTTCAAAACTTCATGAGGTGCAATGACATATGAGTTCACTTTTACAGGGTTGTGTTCGACCAAGTTTAACATTATACTTAAAGCTTGACAAATCTTCTCCTGAGTTTGAAGTTTGTCTTTCAGTTGTTGGTAGTCGTTTCGAATATCTGCAACAGAACTTAAGTCTCTGTTAACTTCAGGATATGTTGGTTCTTTTACAGGAACAATTGTTATACCATCTTCGTCTTCGTATGGTTTCCCCACTTCAACATCTCTGTCTTTGACATTGCCAACAATACTTTGACTGTTTGTTTGAGTTGGTGAATTTAACTTCACATCTGCCACCGCCATTAAACCTTTTGAAACACTTACGCTTCTATTTTTCGGAAATGACATTTTACTTAGAATAAAAAGATGGACGTATTCGATATCTTATTTAATTGAAGCAGAACAAAGTTTATATCACAAACAATACAATACATTGACAGAATAGTTCTTACACAAACAATGGAAAATGTTATAGAATAGCAGTCTTTGCTGAACCTAAATATTTTCATAAAGCAAAGAAAGTTGGTATAACTGAAATGGTGAAGTTCTTGAGCAGACAAAAATATAACTTCAAAACTTACAGATATTACTAAAGGAAAGTTTATAATAACATTATGTCAAAACTGGCGTACTGTATATTTGACGGAGAGAAGTCAGTTTCAAGAACAACTTACTGACCTGCTGCCAAAATCTGCTCGATGGAAGCTGTCGTTATGCCAATCTGGAGGAGCCCAGCAGGTTTCATCGAACGAATCTTCAAAAGAGCATCTTCCGTGAAAAGTGCTATTGGTTTTGTAAACTTCTTTTGCTCTCAATTCATCTGGACCGTCTCTGTCACCAGTATATTGTTTTGAACTGTACCAACAGTTGAAATACCACCCATAAAGTCTTCTGAGTCAGCAAATGGAATGCCAAGCCAAAAGTTTGACGGTCTCCATTTGTATATTGAGTTTTTTGACCTCCTGTATGAGTCCATACTTTCCATATGGCATAATAGAACTTTGCATTTCAGGGTTAATGGTTGTTTGTGAAGTTGTTGTTAAAGTTCATAGCATCTAATGTCAAGTTGTATGACCTCATATCCTCACTGTGAATATTCTTCTCTTGGATAATATTTGCCATCTTTTTATATGATATTTAATACCAGGGTTGTAGAAACAAGAATAGTCATTTATAGTTCGTCTGAACAGTACAAACTAGTATCTGCATGTTTCATTGCAGTTTTAAAGCATATCTGTTCTTGCACCTGCGGCTCCTGGATTTTGGTTTACTTCACCTGCAAAGTCTTTGACAGATATTTGGTGTATAGGGAACATAAGTGGAACTGCAATATATTTGGCAGCTAAAGCATTGAATATCTGGGTCCAACATATAGACTGCAAGTCTGCTTTCTATTCTCTTTGCATTCAAACTGTTCGCATGTGAACTTAACTGGGTCCCAAGCAGTTCCGCAGCATTGAAATAATAGTTTACTTCATTGTTGAAGTTTGAGAAACCAAAGTCTAAGTCAACTTTGTCTTTGCAAATTCGGCGAATGACGTTTTGATTTGTTCCTTTACGTCTGTAATAGTGAATGGGTCTTGTGTTGGTGCAATGACTAAGTTATTTTTGCTTGGAGTAAGTTCAATAGAAATTTTTCCTGCCAGTTTGGCAAGTATCTTTAAAAACCTGAAGATGAGGAAAGATGACAAAAACTCTAAGTTTCAGTTTACTTTAGTGGCAGCAGTTCCATCTGAGCCAGAAAGGTTAACATAAACTCCTGGAACGTTAGGGTCAAGTCTTCTTATTTTTCAATAGTTGCATACTGGTCTGTTTGTTCTCTAGCTTGTGGTTGTACTGAGTTTCTCAAAGCGAACCATTTCATAGTTTGCCCATGTTTACTGTTTGAACTAAGTCAGAGTTAGAATATATCTTATTATTCCCATAAAAACTTCTGGAGCATATTGGTATCGACATAGAAAATTCCATTGGCAACCTTTTTGTCAGACAACTTGGCAGAAGGTTTTATTTCAATGTCTTGTTCACGTATAAGAATGAGTTGTCAATAGAAATAATATGAAACCTGTCGCAAGCAATATCTACTGTTGTTGAAGAACCTTCTCCAAACTCACCTACGTTTCCATAAGAAACAGCAGTTGTATATTCGTAAGTTCCAGGAACTATTTCTGACCTTCTAATGGCATTGTCACATTGTATATACCATTCGGAAACATTTCCGTTCATGGCATCCAAAACTGTTGGCGTTATATTCTGAGCGGCGTACATTTCATTGGTAAAATATAGAATAGTTGGATTATGTGTCATAATAGACCCACTCGGACCAAGCTTTACTTTCTTCCTGACTGAGTTTTTAACTCTTCTTTTTCCTTCACTGCCACTACTTTCACTAGATGAAGTTTACTTCTTCACTACTTTCATTTGTTCTACTCTTCTCTTCTTTGGTGTCGCTTTTGGTAACTTGCCCTCTGCTTCAAGTTGTTTGCATCTTTGCCTCATGTTCACCTAGTATGTTGTAAATTTCCCATGTCTTTTTGTCTTTGGGCTCTGGTCGCCCATCTCAGGTAACCTATATCCTAGAAAGATTTTGTCATAGTTTGTATTTGAGTCTTCGCTTATTGTTTGCATGACTCTTTCCTGAGTTTCCGGTTAAGCTCTTCAAACAGAGCTTGTCCATATGGAATAAGCTCGTTTCCAAATATATGTTTTTGTAGCCATTCTGGTTTTCTTTCCATGTAACAATAATATCTTTTGTGAATGGGAAAGCTTTTACCCAATGTTTCAGTCTTGCGTCATTTATTTCTGAGTTGGTTTTTATTTTGTCAAGGAACATGTTTTTCAATACTAACATTTCATTTGGTCTGTCCATTTGAGTTTTCTTAAATATTCATCCCTTCTCAGTTCATTGTCTGCAAAGTAAGTTTTATGACATTTTGCAAACTTTCGTTTGGCAAGGTCATGTACAATAGGTTCTCTTCCTTCTCTCTCCCTAACTTTCTTTCTAAACTCTTCACAATATACATCTCTATGGTTCTGTGTAGTTCTTTGAGATAAATGTTCTAGAACGTCAGGTTGTTATATTTCCCTCAGCATGTTATTTCATACTGGTAATATCTGCATCTTTCATATCTTTCAATGGCATTAAAGCGCGCTGAAAATACCCGTTATATCTGGTTCACCATTTCATTCCATTGCGTCTACAACTTCTTGGAATTGAGGTTGTAAGTTTATGAACCACCTATCCGGATTAGCTTTATGACCCCATCTCATTGTAGTTCCATAGTCTGCAG